AGACGGTGTGAGGTAGTACCAGTCTCTTTTGCTGCTGACGACGCCGTGGTGGTTCTGCATGGAGCTGAGATGCCGCGCGCACGGGGGACGATCGTGACTACCTAGTAAGTAGCGCGGCTTAGTATTCGTCTGGTGTTGGTGTTGGTGGGTGTTGGGATACATGTACCTTTGTATCGGCTTGGGAGCAGAGAGAGAGAGAGATCAGACTGCGTGACTGCTCTTGTAATAGTCATAGTTGAGGTGGCAAGACAAGATTTGGCCAGATGAAGCTGTGCAAGAACAGCTCAGTGGCTACACGGCATCTTCCCCTGAAGTCGTGTTCCCCCCCCTCTCTCCGTTAAATCCTCCTCTGTCCATGTGCCCTCGTCCACCTCGTTATCGACGTCATGCCTCCCGTCGCCAAGGCAATGACCCAATCAATCAAAGCCCTTGGTGGGACGCCGCCAGCCAGTAGAATCCCGCCGCGGCCCTGGATTCTGCCTCCCCCCCAAAAGCCCCTACAGGTCGGGTGCTAGTACAGGTGCTACAGGGGCTGCCCTGGTGCGCTAAGGCGCTGGATAACCCCCCAACTAGCGCCTCTGAAACCGACAGCTGGTCCAAGGGTCATCTGGAACGAGGGGCCAGGGGGGGGGGACGAGTTTTGCTCGAGCTTTGGCCCACGGGCCTGGTCTCCGAAGCCTCACTGAAACTGCTACTTCATCAACTCTGAAACCATCGTTTGATCTTTTTCTCCCCGCTCCTCGTCCTTTTTTTCCTCATGCCGTTTGATTTGGCTGCTTCTGCTGCTGTTTCTTTTTCCGCTCAAGAGCGCTGATATCAGGTAATAGGAGGAGAGGATCTCGGCAGCGCCTCTGCGCCAGGAACAGGAACAGAACCACAGCCTCACGTCTGCGGAGTGTTTACGAGTATCCGTCGGGAGGAAAAAGTCGCGAGAAACAAAGCCAAACATTCCGGTAATACATCTCGGTACCTTGCATGATCCAACACGCCGCCATTGGCGAGCATCCTCACCAGCAGTGCTTGATCGCCCATCTGTGAACCACTTCAGGGTGTGCACAGGCCGCCCGCGTGTCGTGTCTGTCGCGCTCTGCTCTTCTCTCCCGCATCTGACGACTGCTGCTGCGCCGCATAACGATCCATCTCTTTGGCGGCACTTACTACTGGCGGTCCTTTGGCTGCCGTAACCCAGAAGCAGGAGCAGAAGCAGAAGCAGAAACACACGCTGTTGTCGTCCATTCCACGCGCCACCAGCGGGAACGTGGAGGGAACAGAGACGCTGGCGAATCCAAAGTTGCGCCCTTGAATCCCGTTTCTCGGCGCGAAGAGTCGAGTACAGACTCGGTACAAGAGAGCACTGCTGCATATCATTGTCGACGTCTCTCGACCAACCAACCGCCCTCAATCACCTTACCTTGTCCCGCCGTCCTTACCAGTTTGAGTACGCATACTAGTACTATCACCGACCATGTCGTATAATCGCCTAGGTATGTTGCTTGTCATCTCCCGTTCCCTCCCCCCTCGGACGACCCTTGGCATCCCAAGGCCCCCTGCTCGCCTAATCTCGAACACCCACTTATGCCCACATCGTCCTTGCGACGTCGTCGCTCCCTGTCGCGACATCTTCAGCATGTCGATGGCCGACCCTCTCGGCTAGCATCTCTCCCCACGTTTCCCTGAGTTGCGGCGTGCTACCCTCGCGCGCATACAGATAGACCCGTCGCGCGCCGTGTTGCGCCTCGTCTCCAACCATCTTCCTTCCATGATCTCCTCCTCCTGCCTCTGCCTTCCGAGCTTCTCTTGAGTCTCTTCACCGCATCCTAACGCATCCTGTTACCGGCAGACTACAGTCACGAGGACGACTACCAGATGGATCCCCGGGGTAACCCGTACAGGACTCCGTCGCCTGGCCATCCGCTTCAGCAGGGATACCAACTCGACGACAATCCGTACGGCCACCACCCTCAGAATGCCCCGATGCCCAATATTGGCCGGCTGGCCAGTCCCAGTGATCAGCTACACATCAACCCCGCGGTAAGTGTTGAGGGAACTTGAAACAGAGCCATTGGAGATGCTCCGTGTCTGACTGCGGACTCCCAGCACTCCGTCGACACGCTGTCCTACAACAGCCAGCACCCGTCGGACTACTCAATAAACCCAGAAGCCCATCACGATGCGTACTACAACGCTCCATATGAGCCTCAGCCCCACGACGGCCAAGGCTACGACCAGCACCAAGCGTACGACCAGCCGGGCTACGACCAACCGGGCTATGACCAGCAAAACTACGACTATGACGATAGGCGACCGATGCTCTCCCACCAGAATACCGACCTCCCCCTCAACCAGGTTGAAGAGACCCGGCCTGTCACGCCGACTGGCGGCATCAAGAGGTGGAAGACGGTGAAGCAGGTGCTCCTGTACCGCGGTAACCTAGTGCTCGATTGTCCGGTGCCACCCGTCTTGCTGCGCGAAAACCCCCACGGCGAACGTGACGAGTTCACGCACATGCGATACTCGGCCGCGACCTGTGACCCCAAGGACTTTTACGACGAGAACTTCACCCTGCGCCAAAAGCTCTTCAGCAAGCCGCGCCACACCGAGCTCTTCATCGTCGTCACAATGTACAACGAGGACGACGTGCTGTTTGCGCGGACCATGGTCGGTGTCTTCAAGAACATTGAATACATGTGTAACCGCCCCAACAGCAAGACGTGGGGCAAGGACGCCTGGAAGAAGATTGTCGTCTGCATTGTCAGCGACGGTCGTGCCAAGATCAACCCCCGAACGAGGGCCGTTTTGGCCGGTCTCGGAGTCTACCAGGAGGGCATCGCCAAGCAGCAGGTCAACGGAAAAGACGTGACTGCCCACATCTACGAGTACACCACCCAGACTCACCTGCAGCTCAACAAGGACGTCGTCTCGCTCGTCCATCGCAGACAGCCCGTGCAGCTGCTCTTCTGTCTCAAGGAGAAGAACGCCAAGAAGATTAACTCTCACAGATGGTTCTTCCAGGCGTTTGGCCGCGTGCTGGACCCCAACATTTGCGTCCTCATTGACGCTGGTACGAGGCCTGGTGGCAGCTCCATCTATCACCTCTGGAAAGCGTTCGACCTGGAGCCCATGTGCGGAGGCGCCTGTGGTGAAATCAAGGCCATGCTGGGCACGGGCGGCAAGAACCTCATCAACCCGCTCGTTGCTACGCAGAACTTTGAGTACAAGATGAGCAACATTCTCGACAAGCCCCTGGAATCGGCCTTTGGCTTCATTTCCGTCTTGCCCGGTGCCTTCTCGGCCTATCGATATGTTGCTCTGCAAAACGACAAGAACGGCCAGGGCCCTCTTGAAAAGTACTTCCTTGGTGAAACCCTACATGGCGGTGGCAAGGCCGGTCTCTTCGAGTCCAACATGTACCTGGCCGAGGATCGTATCCTCTGCTTCGAGCTCGTCACCAAGCGCAACTGCCACTGGATCCTGCAGTACGTCAAGTCTGCCACCGGAGAGACCGACGTGCCCGACACGGTCACGGAGTTGGTTCTCCAGCGGCGTCGTTGGCTCAACGGTTCCTTCTTCGCCGCCATCTATGCCATTGCTCACTTTCACGACTTCTTCCGCTCCGACCATTCCTTTTTCCGAAAGATGGCCTTCTTCATCGAATTTGTGTTCAACACCGTCAACATGATTTTTGCGTGGTTTGCCATTGGCAACTTCTTTTTGGTATTCAAGATTCTGACGACCAGTCTTGGCTCGGATGATCTGCTGGGTAAAACCGGTGAGATATTGGGCGTTGTTTTCGAATGGCTCTACGGCGTCATCCTCATCACCTGCTTTGTGCTGTCCTTGGGCAATCGGCCGGCGGGTTCCGGCAAGCTGTACTCGGCCATGGTCTGGTTCTGGGCAATTATCATGATGTAAGAGCCTCTTCTCCTTTTTATTTTACGCAGCTTCCCTCTAACCCTTCATGCAGCTACCTGATGTTTGCAGCCATCTTCATCGCAGTCAAGGCCATCATTGCGGATCTCAACGACGGCGACGGATTCAACATTAGCCAGCTGTTCAAGAACCAGGTCTTCTACACGCTCATCGTTTCCGTCATGTCGACGTATGGCATCTGGCTCATTGCGTCCCTCCTCATGTTCGACCCGTGGCACATGATTACGTCCTTTCTCCAGTACATGCTCCTGACGCCTACGTTTACCAACGTTCTCAACGTCTACGCCTTTTGCAACACCCACGACGTGTCCTGGGGTACCAAGGGTGACGACAAGGTCGAGAAGCTGCCGTCCGTCAACACCAAGGACGGCCAGGGCAAAACCGATCTCCCCGACGAGGGCGACCTGAACGCGCAGTACCAGCGGGAGGTTGCGCTGTTCAGCGCCAAGTTCAAGGAGGTCAAGAGGGACCCTACGCCGGCGGATCTGCAGGAGAAGCAGATGGACTACTACCGTGGTGTCCGTACCGGCGTCGTGCTCATCTGGATGATTACCAACTTTGCCCTCGCCGCCGTGGTCCTGAGTTCAGCCGGTCTAGAAAGAATTACGCCCGGTACGGCGCAGGATCAGGAGGCGCAGCAGACGGAGCGGTCCAACATTTACATGGCCGTCGTCCTGTGGAGTGTTGCCGCTTTGAGTAGCTTCAAGTTCTTGGGAGCCATGTGGTTCCTCATTGTTAGAATGTTTAGAGGTGTTTGAGGGTGCACGTTTGGATGCTGGATTGAAGAAGACTTGGAACCAAACAAAGAGACGAAAAAAAAATGAGATACGGACGACATGAGGAAGAGATTGCATTGTGTTTTATTTTTCTGGATTATACCCCGTTTATGTTATTTGCTGGAGTGGCAAACGAGGGCTTGTTGGCTTTGTGTATGTATGTCCACACTTTTTAGAACTGCCGAGCTACGGCTCTGCCAAATTTGAGTCTCTCATAATTGACGGTTCGGAAAGTCGCCCAGCTTGTATGGGCCTGATCTGAGAAATGTTGATAGCCTCTTCAGTCTCCCCCCCTTAGGGTTTAAAATGAACCATCAGTTGCTTAGAAATGGCGTCAAACAGTTCGGCCCTCCTTGCCAAAAAGGCGTGCGTGTCCTCCTCCGAACATCCAGCAAGTTGTCCGATGATAATCTCCTCCTTACCTTGCACAAGCCCGGCGTACGCCTTCTCGGTGAACTCAGCAAGGGGCATGCCTAGAGCTCTGCCGCGCTCAAGTCCCATGTAATCGTGGAGCTCAGCTAGTTTTGAAAAAGTAACGTCAGTTGCCATGGACTCTGACAGAAGTCGCCTAGGACAGAAAGCCACTGGGGTTGCTTACTTTGAACAGCGGGAGGCAGAATCTCGATAAACTTGATCTTCGAGACACCCTGGTATTGCTGTCGAAGAGATTCGAAAAAGGCCTTGAGCGCCGCTTTGGAGGCGCTGTACGACGGCATGGCAAATGCGGGGACGACGGCGAGCGTGGAGCCTGTGACGATCATGGCGGTGGGATAATCCTTCTTCTTCAGGTGAGGCAGGAATTTGAGGGCAAGGTTCACGATGGAAGTATAGTTGACCTCAAAGTCGCGGTGGATAGCGTCGAGATCGAGTTCTTCCGATTGAGTGAGCTTCAGTTGGCTCTGGGTGCCTGAGTTGAGAAAGACACAGTCCAGGTCGGGGTATGTCTGGACGACCCTGCAGCGACAAAAATCAGCGTCTTGAATTTACGTGATATGAAGAAGGAAGCTAGTATTTCACCACTCACTTGTTAACAAAGGCATCAAGGCCAGCTCTGTCGGTGACGTCGAAGCGGATGGCGCTGGCTCTCTCTGCGCCGTGCTTGGCAACAAAGGCGTCGAGACGGTCCTGGCGACGGCCGACGGCAATCACCTTGGATCCTCCCTCCTCGATGAACTTGTCTGCCAGAGCAGCTCCAATGCCGGCCGTGGCGCCAACGAGGAGAATGCGCTTGTACTGGAACACCATTGTAGACAGGCTTTGCTAGTTGTAGATGAGATTGCGTTTGTATGGTGAGATGGTGGGTGCTGTTGCTGTTCGTCGTCGTTGTTGCGACAGACTCCGTCTCAGAGGCCTCTATATAAATGATTGAGGCTCGGATTTAGAATCTGCGCGAGTAGGCGCAAGGCCGAGACTTCGCTCTTCGCCATGCAATCCACACCGATCCGGTAACTTGGTGAAGTCATCGTGGATCGCCTCAGTCGCCGTTTTGGGGGACTCTGCAAGGGGGCCACATGGACCACAGGGTTCTGTGGAGAGTCGGGGGGTTTTGCTGCGACGGTTCCTGAGAATATTAAGCAACGAGCATGTTGCCGCTGAGTAGGTACACTATACTAGATGTGATCAGAATTTTGGCAGACGACGGAGATGAGAAGAAAAGATGCGACAGACCTCACATTGTTCAGGTTGGGAGTCTGTTTGCTGTGTGTACCGTAATAAACTGAAGGTCCAAAGGTACAAACTCGCGCTGCGCCTTCTGGGGAAGGTGCGAGATCCACCGATCTGGGCTCCGGAACGCTAGCCCTTGTCGGCCTAGTCCCGGCAACTACGGAGTACGTACCCATTGGCTGTTGTCGGGTCTCTTGTCTAGAGGCGAAGCGACAATGACTTTAACTCCGAGATGCCAACCACCAACATCTGCAGAGTCCCGAGCTTCAAGATTCGACCATGAAGCTTCTTTCTTCGACAAAGCTCATGAAAAAGCGGAGAGGCTTTCGTCGCCGTTTAGCGCGTTGATCACTTTACTTGGTACTTTTGCATCCCGATCTGTCATTCATTGGCTGCCGAGGGCATATTCATCTGGCATCTTGTTCGTGATATCTGGGATAGCACTCGGAGTAACTTCAAAATGGTCTACAGGGGGCCCTCAAAAGACTGTTTGCCGTGCCGAAGGCGGAAACTCAAGGTACGACACAAAGTACAAGTTCAACTCGCCCCGTCTGACATATGCTCATAGTGCGACCTCCGCAAGGACGGGTGCGGCCAGTGTCTCCGGGCCGGCATCTCGTGCTTCGGCTACCGGGACTCAAACGACCTCGTCTTCCGCGACCAGACGCGCAGTGTTGAGCGCAAGATGCTGGCTGCCAAGGCAACGACGGTGTCTCTGCAGTTTGGCACCCTGGACCATGTCATCCTGCCCAATGCCAGCAGCCTTCCGCCCCAGCTTCACCAGCCGTGGCATTACTGTGCTCGTCATGATGCTCGCCACTCCTTTTTTGAGCACTATGTGTTTGGCCTGTCCAGCAGCTTCGACATCTTGCCTTTATTGTACGAAAAGGCGAAGCCGGACGATCACTTATCGGCCAGTGTGGACGCGGCCAGTCTCGCTTATGCAGCAAATCGATATCATGACGCATCCCAAGTGCTCTTCCGACTGGCGGCTCAACAATATACCATTGCTCTACGGCGCATCAACGCGGCTCTTTCAGAGCCGGAACTTGCCAGTGCCGACTCTACACTGCAGTCAATTCTGCTTCTCGATCTCTATGAGAAGATTGTTGGCCGCGACCTCAAGGCCGCGACGCCTTGGCTGGCGCATCTCAACGGCGCCCTAGCGCTCATCAAAGCTCGCGGGTACAATGACATGACGAGGAGTCGAGTGAGCAGAACACTTGCAAACAAGCTCTTCACAACTCTCCTGATAAGTTGTCTCATTCTGGGTCATCGAATACCAGAAGGAGTTGTCGAACTTGGTCGCAGACTCGAAATGTTCCACGCCAAGGACGATCTCAAGTGGCAGATCTCCAAGATGAATCAGCAAACGATCAACTTCCGGGTTGACATTGCCGAAGGAAAGCTGTCCAAACGTCAGATCGTCGCCGGGGCTAACCGCCTGCATGATGCCTACCGCGAGATTGAGGAGGCATCGTCCCCAAGATGGCAGTCAAGGCGGGTCATGGCCTCGGAAGTGGACCTAGCCCATCGGTCTCTCATATTTGGGGGGGAATACTTGGATCTTTACAAGGATCATTATACAACGCAGGTCCGTAACACTATACGGATTATGCACCTACAGCTCCAGTCCTACATCCAGGAGAACTTGGAAGACGACGGTTCAGACGAATACGCCCGCGCTCGTGAAGAATCACTGAGCCGCACGGAGCACTTCGCAGAGCAAGTCATTGCCTCGGTGCCCCAGTTCATCATACCCGGCATTCACCCCAACAACAGCATCCCATTTTCCAGCGTTCAGACACTGAAATGCGGTATCCTTCTCCCGGCGTTGTTTACAGCCGCGGGCGCGTCAATAAACCCGGATCTCCGCCTCTGGACGATTCGCACACTGAGATACATGGCGGCATGGGGGAATATGAAATCGGCTCGAATGACGGCCGACATGTTGGAGGAGCACCCCGAGCTGGACTTTCAGTCTATGTACGCGAAGCTGGGCGGTTACGCGTTCACGTCTTGAGGCGATTACACTGCGGCTGCATGTTGGCCAGCGAGTAGAATATACCACCATGCTTGTTTCTTATACAAGACTAATAGGTTTATAAGATGTGTTTATTCTAGGTTACAGGCATTACAGACCAGCGATCTATGGCCAATTTTGCCTTCGGGCTGATAGGCAACAAATGCCAGGAGGGCTTTAACTGGCTTTGTGACCAACTAGACAGCTCTCAGCAGCCGCTTGAGATTCCTATGCCTGACGTTATCGTGACTGATAAAGAAAGCGTGCTGAAAAAACGCCCCAGAACGCATTTCCCTAGACACACAGCAGCAGTTGTGTCTATGATCACATCAATGCCAACGTCCACGCCAAAATACACACGCGCTGGAAGAAGGAAGAAGGCGAGAAAGACGACGACGACGACGATAACGAGGGTCCTGACAAGCCTGCCGATAACGAGGTCCCTGTCTAAGCTCCTGCCGCCGGCGAGGCTTACCCCACAGCATAAGGGATAACAGGAACTTAGGGTAAATATAAAAGCCATGTGTGGTATAATAGCATAGGCTATATTATCATGGATATAACCCCCAATACTGCACTATTAAAGTCAGATGGATAGAGATTAAACTCGGCCAGGTCTGCTGGATTTCCTACGTCCAAGACCGGTGGTTGCTTGTTGACCAAGTGTGTGAAACTGCCGTTATGCTTAAGTTGCTCTTTAAGGAGGGCTATTAATGCGGCTGCTTTAATAATGGAACGTGTGTAGAGGGTGACGGGGCGTTAGCATAAGGCGAGGAGGTTAAAGGATATTTAGCTCTCCTTATACTGTAGTATCCAGCCCTTGATTTAGGGTTAAGTAATGTTTATCCAGCAAGTTTCATTATCCCTAATACATCCTTTATATAACAGAGGTTCAGCCATTCGTTAGGTTCTGTAAAGCAGCGCTCTTTATATATACCTATGCAGTGTGGCTTGCTTTAAGTAGCGAGAGTAAATATACTATTAGATAGTAAAACAAGTAGAATATATATTTATTTATATAATAAATAATTTAGAAGATAGAATAAGAAGGCATATAATAAGTAAAAGGTTAGTAAATATAGTATATATATTAAGACGCAAGGGAAACTCTCTATAGGCAATTAATTAGCATGTTAGGCATTGCTTCTCTAAGGCGTATTATCCACCCTGCAGCCCTAATTTTTTCAATATGGCGGTTGTAACTCCCAGCAAGGCAGAGAAATGCTCCCATAGGCGTTGTACTTTTAATGAGAAAGATAGGCTAAGGAGAATGGAGGCGTCTTGCCTATTTATATCCAGGGGAACACCTAATTTTCAGCATGGCGGTTGTGACTTGTCAGGTGACATAACATCACCTCCGATGTATATACCTTCCCGGTGGATGCGCTAGAGCAGAGCTTAGCTAGATCATCATCATAAGACTCAGATACGACGACCCAAGGATCCTGTTGTCCCTTGTGTCATGGAGTGTCAGATGGTCATCATATGACTCCCGGCAAGATAGAGAAATGCTCCCGTAAGCGTTGTACTTTAATGCTTTCCCATATTGACGGCTATTCCGCGAGAAGAGATTCACAATAGCAGAAAATGCTTGGTGGCAACCGCGTAACCATGCATTATGGGAGATGTTTCACAATTACAACTACCGCTGCCATGCATCGTTTGTTATGTTTGCGAGCATTTATGGGCGTTCAGGCACGGGAGGACCTTCGCTCGATTGCGGAAACCAACTACTTTGCACTGATTGTTGTGGACCATTTAAGTCATTATCATGCTTGGCGCCCACGGTCAGTCTCTAAGACTATGGTACGATCAGATGTTCCAGTCAATAAGGCAGAGCCTCTGGCCACCCAGTCTCTACTGCCATGCAGAGGCAACAGTCAACATCTACGGTTGCTGATATGTGACAAGCTCCAGTTCACTGCAAGGAAGATAACCAAACTGCAAGAGTCAGACCTGCTTATATTCAGCAAGCTTCTGTTCCTAGTGGAGAAGACTGTGAGTCCCTGACAGCCCTTCTCGCCGATAGCCACCAAATTGATGCGACGATGGACGAAGAGCGACGTGCGCAAAAACGTGCTAGAGCATTCCGCTGCAGCGCGAATTGTTGCAGGTGACTATCCATTTAGACACCGGATCGCACAATCTGTGAGGAAGACTGGGGAGTAATCTGCCCAGCTTCTTTAATCTGTCCATGTTCCATGGCGTGCTGTCGGTGCGAGGAGTGTATATTTTGCGGGGAGCTGGCAAATTATGATTTGTACCAAAGATAGCGATGCCACTGTAGCTTTCCTTTGACTCTTCGCGCAGTGCCGGATCCGACGACGACGGCAAGAGTTATAGAAGGGAGAAGCGATTGCCACCCTGCATATGTCGGAGGAGTACTGCTTTAGAACTGGTGCTCCAGTCAAAGCCCCATGTACAACGTTGCTAAATTACCTACCCATCGGCCGGTTCATGAAAACCTTGTATCATTATCAACACTAAGTGATGCATGGAGCGATGGAAGAGGATCATTGGGCAATGTATAACAAGGTCATGTATATGCGTCGAGAGCGAGAGAAGGGCGGTTACAGTATGGCCGCCTCCAGGAAGGGTTGTTTACCACTTGCGTTAGCAAGGGCCCAAGCCAGCCTCTGCCGACAAAGCGTTGGCGAAGTCGCATCTCCTGCCGCGCTGCAATCTGCTTGTAGTCTCGTTCTTTCTTAGCCAGCATCTGTACGATCGCCTTGTCGAGATAGAGAAGGTCGCCGGTGCCGGTGAGGAGATGACTCTTGACGTCTTTATAGGTGGTCTCAGTAAGACTATTCGTCCTCTGGCTGTAATTCCTATAGCGTTTAATGTGGCATTGCAGGAACTGATCGCCTAGAGGGATATGGCGTTGAAAATACTGATACCCGCTCAAGCGTTCATATTGGCCCAAGCGAAGCCCTGCTAATAATACCTCTGACGCTGCTGCTGCTGCTGCTGTGGCCTTGACGACGAAGCTGCTGTAGGTAGGTAGGTAGGTAGGTAGGTAGGTAGGTACTGGTGATGGGGATGGAGAACCTGCACCAGATGGAAAGGTGCTCACACTCGCTTGGAATTTCCTTTGTTTGCAAACTTTTCCCTAGTTGTTTGTTTATTTCAATCTCTGCTCACGTTCCTTCTGGCACAACTTTCTTCTTCCTAGGTACTATCACACCTACGACTCACTACACCACCTCCCTTGTCTCTCCACGTCGCTTCATCTCGGTCAGGACGACCGCGCATCTGTCTCAGACGGACGCAAGCAACAGACGGTATGCCGCAAGGAAAGGGACATGTACCCAACCCAGTGGTGGTGGTTGGGTGGCTTGGACGGCCGAGAAGCTGAAGGAAGCTTAAGACAAATATCGCCAGTCCTAGAAAGGCTACACTGGCGTCGACAAACCGGTCATTCTAAACCAAGAAGACGCGAAGAAGCATGGCAAAAAACCTCGTCAAAGGTGCTTTCGAGTTCATCGGCCTTGAGTACTCCGACTACCGCGATTGTTTCAACGCATGCGTTAACAAGAGCGTTAATGCTGGCGTTCTGAAAGTTATTCTACCATCTGGTCCAAGTGGGGAGGCTATAAAGCCTTTAAGGGGAAATTACCTAGATAAGTTCAGGACCTTAATAGAAGCAACAGGCAGATAATAGTATAAACTACCTTATATTATTAAACTATATAGTTATAAATGCTTCAAGTAGCAGGAGTAAATATACTATTAGATAATAGCGCAAGTAGAATATATATCTATATATATCTAATAATTCATAAGATTAAAAGAGTAGCAGGCATATAATAGGGCAGTATAAGGTCAATAGCCATAGTAGGTAGGTACATCTTGTTATAGCCCAGCGGTTTCCCATTCTAGAAGAGTAACATCATGGCAGGTACGGCGCATCGGATATGGCAGGACATTTTAGTCTTGCTTACCTTATTATGCCTTCCCTTTTAAAATGAGCGAGAGATGAAGCACGAGATCTTTTCCACGCACATCTACCTACCTACCTTATGAAGGTTCAAAGGACATGCATGAGCTTCTCGCCTGGCTCCGTCAATTGCAGCCGTGGCGAGCACTCTATGAACATAGCGTTCATCGGCCTCCAGAATCGCCTCCAACGCCAATTGGGACAATGACAACGAGCTCCTGAGGGGCCCGATTCTGCGAATCACAATGGCCACTCCGCCGCAAAGCACTCAACGCCCTCCAGATTCCTCACCAGTTCCAATTGAAGACGACGACAGCGAGCTCACTGGGTCGGCACTCCAAATGTACTCCGGCTCAGCGTCTCTTCCGGATACCCCCATCGCGCCACTTGCGGATGTTGAGAGCAAGCCCCCGGGCCTGGCACTGCAATTGGATTCCCCAGGCTCGGCACCACTCCCATTCACTATCACTATCCTCATGCCCATTGGAGATGTCGAGAGCAAGCTTCTCGATCCCGTTCCTTTCGTTTCATCTGCAACGCCAATCGAAGATGCTGCTCACCAGATTGTCACATCTCCATCTGGAAAAAGTGTCCAGCCAAACAAGGTATGTGACAAATCCCAGCCACCGATTTCACAGCACCAGACTAACCAATCTTTAGCACGCGAATCGTTGGGTCGAAAGAGTCAACGCACCCATCTTGTCGGCTCGGAAGACCCTGATGATGACTACAATCCTGGTTCCAGTGATGAGTCTGATGATTCTGATGATTCTGATCTCAGCGACGCTCCGGGATTGGATGATGGATCTGAGGCGATGCTCACTTGTCTCTACCATCAGCCCCTTTCACGCCAAATGCGGTTCACGAGACCACACTCCCGGGTCCAGCATTGCAAGTTGACCCTCCAAACTTGACAGTTCCTCCAGTTTTTCCAGTCACCCCCACTGGAGATGAGGGCAAGCTCCCTAGTCCCACGCTGCAGGCACCGCTTCTCGTTTCATATATTACGCCCACTCACGGTGCTGGCCATCAGACTGGCATTACATCGTCTGGAAAACGTGTAGCAGGACATGGTATGCTTACTCAGAAATATGGTTTCGGTGGCATCATTACTCATATATCTTTGCCATGTGAAGCGCCTTGTGACAGCATCGACGCACTCATTTGGTCCTTTCGAAATTAGTACAATTCTGGTTCCAGCGATGAATCCGATCTTGGCGATGCTCCGGGCTTGGACGATGAACCTGGAGTAATGTCTGGTGCCGTGTTGATGAGCCTCGAGGATACTACCGCGCCGTCAAAGTCCAGCGGTCTAGAGTCAAAGTTGGAAGCTCTAGGAGTCCAGACGCTCATTGATGATATTCAAAAGTCAGAGACTTCCTACTAGGCAAGCGGCGGGACCTTGAAACTACAATAAGGGGTCCAAAAGTTCGTCGAGCGGTATGTTATCTATTGCCTATTGTCTACGTGCATACTGATTCCCGCCAAGGGTTCAACAGGCCTCACATCCCGTGTCCAAAATTGATCCATTTGCCTTTGTGCAAGATGTCGACAGGCCGAGTTGGCACGCGCATCGCGACGATATAGATGCGCTCTGGAATCAGTATCTTCAGGACATCAAGCCCTTTGCTGGCGACGACTACGATCTCACAACTCTGGCGAACCCCTCTGGCGCAATAGGAGCGGTCCTCCACATCTAATGGTAAGTCTGGCATGTTCCAGTTCTGCTTGACGAGACTAACATGGTGTGCGGCAGGAATGATGCTACCTTTGTAACAAAGAAGACCAGCCTTCGTTTCGGCATGTGCTGGTATGAGTGTTTGACAGCCCGACGATTATCCTTATTCTAGCGTCTTGCTACAGGACTCGACCGACCCAAGCCTGAAGCAGCACGTCCGAGGCTTGGCCCCCCTCCAAACGTGTCCGTCGCAGATATGATTCCCCTCCGATATAAGTCTCGAATCCCCGAGTAGGAGAAGGATCCCGGGCCGTCGGTATGGCCCAGGCTCCTTCGACGAAGTATGAGCCTCAGCTACGACATCATGTCATCTTCCCCCATTGTCCTGCTCGTCGGCAAGCACTGTTACAAGGCCTTCTTTCAGGAGCTCAACAATTTTTTCTCTATATTGCTCACCATGGTCAAGTTCAAGTTCAAGTTCTCCGTGTTCAAGGCATCCCCGTCATTCTTTGTTGTCTACAACAAGGCCACACGTGAGGTCAAACAACTCATACTTTACACATACCATGCAAGCCACTTTCTCTATGGGCTACGGTCCGCGAGGCTGCTTTTGCGGACCTGATCTGGGCGCAATGGGAACGGCACTGGCGTGCGCGTTGATGGGAAGATGCCGCCGTTGAAGGAGAATCGCGTAAGCTTTCATGATCAAGTCTGCGATAAACAACCATCAACATTTCACTGACGTCAGATTACAGAACGGCAAAGTGATCATCATTCCGGGCGAGGCTTTCTGTCGACACATCGGCCCTATGGGCATGATGTGCTTCAAGGTGAGAGCCACATTACAATGTGCAGAGAATGTATTCTGACAATACTCCAGAACACTCCATATGAGAAGACGGGCGCGTTACGAAAGCACTATAAAGAGTGCCACGACTTGGGAATAATCTCGAAGGAACCCGGTAGCCACAGGGCCCGCTACCAGAACGAATTGACATGTGAGTGCATTATTATCTTCATGCCTATATGCGTCCAGACTGAAGGAAATGTTCGCAGAAGAACCACTGACCAGAGGTGGTGGTGATGCTGTTGCAATTAGGGGGTGAACTGCAGCATCTGCGTAGAGAGCGACACTCAGTCAGGCACCACAGTCTTTGGTTAGACAACAATGGCCAGGAGAGCCCGCCTTTTCCAATCAGACAAGATAAGCAATAACGGTTTCCGCTTGGCCGTCAGGTAATCCAGCTATAGTCTAAATGTCTATTACCTAGGTCTAGTAGAATATTAAATAAAATATCTTAGGTTTAGATACTGCCTACTACTCTCTGCTACTAGTAATATATTATTCTAGTTTTTTTTTTTTTTTTTTTTTTTTTAGAAAGTATTATAAATATATATAATCTCTGCTACTCTAGCTATATTCTTCTAGTTAGTCTATTAGATCTTATAACTATAGTAGTTCAAGTTCTAGTAATAGACTTAGTAATAGCTTATTTATAGACTTGTCCTTAGCTGTCTGAGCTTTATCTGCGGCGGCATTCTTGGGCAAATGTGCTGTTGTGGTTCCTGAAGTTCTAGTGGTAGACTTGTCCATATGCATCAGCTTGACAACCCATTCTTCGATCAATCGCATGGGCCTTGGCCGTGTTGTTTTGTATTCAGCAACTCTTCACTCTCTGGATTTGGTACCCTTTCGCTGTCTTTCCTGCAGGGAATGTGGGACGGAACGCATTGTCAATGGGAGGAACCGTAGTGAACCGAGGCAAATTGAGCGAATGAGAGACGGTTTGCAATTTCTGCCGGCATGGTCCCCTTGAAAAAGGCTGCAGGAGAGGATGGTATGGCACTCTGTGGCCTAGGAGAAGACAGTGCGTGTAGAACTCTGTCCAGCCAGTCGTCGTGATTATGCAATCACGCGTCTTGAGAGAGTGATGCAGATTTGCCAAAGCTGACGAACCGCGAAGGAAGAAGCTGTCTTATCCGACGATGAGACTCAGCATCTGGACTCTCGTAGACATGACTGCAAGTCGCCTCTTTGTTGCTCATCAATCAGTCCGGCCGGTTTTCGTAAATGTGATCATGAGTCTTCGGTAGTTGTATCAATATAGTGTGAGCTGATGAAACCTCCTATAAAGACGCTTTCCTGTCTGAATATGAGAGTCAGCTGGGCTCTCGTAGACGCAACAGCAAGTCGCTTCTTGCCGTCAACGAACCTATCTTGCCGGCTCTCATCATTCCATTTCGTCGGACATCGTACTATTGCAATTGCAAGTCTCGTCTTTGGTAGTGGCGTAGGTCGATCAAAGCCAATGAACCGCGTGGGTAAGAAGCTCCCTTTTCCAACAATGACAGTCAACATCTGGCCTCCAGGAGAGACCTGCATGTCGATTCTCGTCGGCCATGAATCCTGTATTGTCGGATCTCATGGCGTCGCAGCTGCCCGTCTCGGCTTGTTTGTCAGGAGTCCATCGTCTGGATACGCCTCAGTGGTGTGTTTGACGATCAATCGTGTGGCCGCCAGTGGTTGAAGGCAGCTCAATTGTCTCTCTGTGGTGATGGCTGAGACGGAGCTTGACAGCTTTGTCTGTTCTATGGTTGTCTAGCAATGTCTCAGCTTGCACATTGTCAGTAATAGAAACAAGAGAACTCGAAATCTTGGACTTGCCACGGCCATGACTTACTCTGGCTTTTATGTTGCAAGCTTACTCTTTATGTTCCTTCATCATAATGAACACAAGGAAGCGAGGTTCAGTGAATCAACATGCGGGTGACTACACGTGACTATGCAGCCTGCCTCCATCTCCCGAAGATCACAATCTTGGTAGGTCATTAAAGTATTCATAGCTGGTCTCTTCTCTGAATAGACCATCGTATCATTCCCGGACATGGAGCATACAACAAAGCGACTGAATATCAGTGAAGAGACGTGCGTCGTGAGCCCGGCATTCACTTATTGCAGATTCGTTCAACGGGTCCCGTAGGTGTTGTTCACTTGGCCGGCGTATTTCGTCACATTTCCTGATACCGCTTGGGGTGACAGTCACTCCATCACAGCGAATCTGTCTTCTTCTGTGTTCTTGCAGTTTTCCATCTGCCCGACAACCACAGACCCTTTGTGCCAAAAACGGTGAAACTTAACGGTGGAACATTCGAGGGATGATCCAAGGTAACATAATTCATGTCCTTCAGTTTCTCGCTATTAGGCATCACCTGGTGTCAGTAACTATAGAATCTCCAGCAATCATTGCCAAAAAGAGAATTCCTGTCCACAGGACTGTTGGGCATGAATGCTCCGACAGACTTGGATGTATGGCAGACTCCGATCCAACAGTGGCCACGTCTCGGCTTTTCGAGGACACTCGCTGAGTGAACCTAGGTCATGAGGCTTTCAAGAGAGACCCTTATGTGTAACATGGTGAACTAGGCATCAGTGTTACTGCGGTGGCACCGCATGCAAGACCTCGAAGCAGCTGAGGGAAAGCATACATAAAGAACATCCACCTCCAAGACGCAGCACATGTGTTACGTTACCAAATATAGGTCCCCGACGCCCATGCAAACGCACTCACCCTGGTGGTCCGTGAGCTGGACCGCGGGGAGGGGAGCCAGCCTCATAATCCTCGCACGGCTTGCATCGGCACCTCGGGATTAACCTTGAGGCAGACCGCAGAGGAGGATTCGGAGGCGAGTCGTGTCCAGTGGAGCGATGTTCCGTTCTCGATGCTTCTGGAGTTCTGTTTAGGCCCAACGTGGTAAATGCAGGTAGAGCCATGGAGTAACATGTCGATGCAGCGTAGCATCTGGCTCTCCCCGCGATTGTAGACGCACGGGAGCAGGAGAAAAGCGGGTTGTCTCGTCTATGCAAAACACATCATCATGAGCGATCGGATTGGGCTTAGAATTGTCGCTAGCAATACATACTGAGTACCACTGATATGTTCAGGCAGATGATGTGTAGCATCCAGGATTCCTTCGCTGACGTCGCACACACCTTACTCGGATAAGGCCCGCACGCGCGAAATAAACCCAGGCTGACCGCGAGTGCGTACGATATGGAGTTGTATGGCCCTGGAGTCCTGGAAGCCTATCGAGTAGCGTAAGCCAAGGAGCGAAGAGAGGAAAAGCCTTGCTAATCTCTGCTGGAGGCTGGAGCAGGTACTCCGTACGACTAATTGCGAAAATGTCACTTGGACTGCCTCAGCGTGATGGAGTCGCGATGATAAGAGCCTTGGCAGCATCTCCACTCGCGAAGAATTCTCCAGGAAGGAAAGACGGTGTGGTTCAAAAAACAGGCGAGGCGGACGGATGAAGAAGAGATAAACAAGAGAAGTGAGAAAAGGCCTATCAATCTGCTCCGTTCTGCCTCCATGACCGTGCTCGCAAGCTGTCAAGGGCTAAGCAGGAAATGGTCTCGCAGCATACAAACAACAATGGAGAGATGCGCGGAGAATCCGTATGGAACCGACACTCCAGCGACCCATAGAGAAGATACACGTTGGCCAGAGGGCAGGGAGAAGACACGGATTGGATCGCACGGGCGTGATGCAGACATGGTAGCAATGTCAGTACATAACTGGACAGCCGGACCTTCTTCACGATTATCGGCGCACAGAGTATGTCAACTTCAAAGGACTAGGCAGATGGCGATGTTCGTCGATGAAAAAGTGTGAGGTCCAGCCTGTGGCTGCAGAAGCCAAGAAATTGGAGCCCGGGCGATGATGAGGCTCACGATGGCAAACATCTCGCTGATACCTGATAAATTCTCTGTTGTTACTGCCATTTCTGCTCGTTCTCTGGAGCCTCAGCTTACTGGAGAAAAGGACACTTGCAGCCGAAGGAACCCAGATCACCAGCACGAACCCGGCCTTCCCCTCAGAGGCCACTCAGCTGCGCAGCATTTGGTCCTTTTTGAACGCTCCCTCGGCTGTTTTATGCATACGGACGAGCCACTCGGTGGCCCTTGACCTAACGACCGGGGTAAATCACGTCAAGGGCCCAATCAGGCAGGTCGAAATGCTTATCCAGAGGGTGGACAAATGGGAGGATCGAAGAGTCGCGTAGTGTGGCGGGTCCAACAACCTTAAGATAACCTAGAACCAGGGCCTGGCTAGTGCGGGCATTTGGAGAGGAGGGGGTGAGCCCGTATTGTCCAAGTGCGAGTCGCGATGATGATGCGCCGAGAGAAGACGGTTGGATGAGGGAGTGGGTTGTGCTCAAGTTGTTTGCAAGTGGAAGTTTTGAGGTTGAATGAAGAGGCATGTCAAAGAGAAGAACATGACGTGGGCGATAAGTGAGATAAGGCACGAGAGATAAGGATAACGATGCAAAACGGGCAAGAGCAGCCCAGTCGAGTCCAACCTGATGGTACTACTGGATCTGCACAGGTGCCGGACTCGCTACGAGTTGGCGCTGCTTAGCGTTCAAGCCCGCTGGACCAAGAGGCCCTAAATGCCCTGAAAAATGCCCTAGACGCAGCACCTTATTCCTGCCAGCCCGCTGTGCTCCTCTTCTAGAACTCTTCTGCGCCACCAAGCGTCGTTGTCGTGTTGGCTTGCATTCATCGTTTTCTGCCGCTTATCTTGTGGTTGCTGTCCAACACTCGACCGGCCAGGCACCAGCCGTTGTAATTCTCGCAGAAAATCTTGGCTCGTTGGATGAATGGGATCGGGCTGTCTATTCATTGAGCCCAATCTTCATATTCACTTGATCAATGCTCGCGGTGGTGGGCTCGTCCGTGGGCCCCTCAGGGATTCTCCAGGTCGCCACCCCGGATTTTTCACGTAATAGAATGACAGACAGTGTGTCCGAAAGATACCGAGAGAGGCTTGGAGAAGCACAGGTCGGGATGTGTTGAGCTGAGACATTGGGCTTCTGCCACCTCGTCAGCTTTGCAGTATGAGTGAAACATTATGTAGTAGTATCTCGAAAACGAGGCAGACAAGCCCAGCTGCCTGCTCAGACAGTATGTATGTGATAGTGTTCTAGATCGTTGACCGACCTGGTCGGCGTCAGCCGAGGCAGAGTGCCATCCACCGTTTGCAGACTGGGGCATGATAACACGATGCTGGACATCTATCTCACACCCTGGGGCTGCACCGACTCCAGCCCGGTAGCAAACTCCAGGGCTTTCTCCGAAACGTTATCGGCTCACGGTCCCTCCCTGTGCCCACGGTCATGCGGCGACTCGCCAACTTCCCCAACTTTTCGTTTAATCTGTGGGAAGAAGTTTGATGGGCCCCGGATCAGGAGAAGTGTGCGCGTACAAAGTGCTTCTTCCAGGTAGTACGTAGGCAGAATCGTTCGATGAGCGAGATGCGATCCTGCCTGTAAGTAAGTGGCATGTGCTTGTTCGAAGCCTTACTTGCAGGCATCTGCCGTTTTATGGTCAGCATCCAGCAATAGTGTGGGTGTCACGGTTTGGCGCACAGCCTTCTCATGGACTCGAGTGTTCAGTGACAAGGCACGCATATAAGAACAGATTTGACACGATTGAGGTACTGATACTACCCATCGTCTACATGGCTTGAGGGCAAACAGATTCAGAAGAACAACAGCAACTCGAGGCTAGATCGTGACAACCCCATGCAGTCACCACCATCCCCAGGTTGCCAGGCTAGGTGTGATTGTTGGTCCCCAGTCTTCTCTAGCGGACCATCGCATCCGCACCAAGCATGCATCGACCTGCCCGTCGCTTTACAATCCCAAGCAGGTGCTGATTGCCCTTGGCTGAGCTCAATTGAAAACCCCAACTCCAGCAACGGAAAATTGCGGTCACACGAGGTCTCTCTCCCACTCTCAATCTGCTACTACTAGCCTAGCCTCGGAGACCTCGCCCCGGTCCGTGCAGCCCAGGAGCAGCCATGAGGCCACGTCCCTTGCCTCTCTCAGCTTGCCTTCCCCCCACCACCGAAGCCCTAGGCTCGGGCGTTTCGCTGGTTGTCGCCGTTGCCCAGTGCGCTGATAGGCTCATATCCGGAGGAGTCGAGATATGGACTGCAGACGCAAGCAGGCCAAGAGCTCGGAGTGACCCATTCTCCATGCCTTGGCGCATGGCTAGCTTCGGGGACCCCCTGCTCATGGAGCCTTGTCACTCGTAGTACATACAAGTGCAGAGAGAAGTGAGGGCTCGCTGACAGCCCCAGGCACAAGGTTTCCATGACAAGATAGCCTTACCTGAATGGATGCCGATCCCTGGGTGGTACGAAGCACCAGTAGGTAGGGAATATATATCACCCACACCAGTTCCTTTCCCCAAGCGACCTTTTCATCTGTTCACCACCACTCTTCCGCTCGACGCTTACCATCCATCGTCGTGCCTCTCCGCCAACTCACGACTTTGGTGGTTTGCCACGTCTCTCTTCGCCTTGAGACATTGTCGCCGAGTGGTGCCATCTCGCCCGTCTTTCCCCATTCTCCCGACACCGAAGCCTCGAGAGCCACGCCAGCATGAGCGATCGCGACGATGGGCTCTACGCCCATCAGGCGTCCCCTGTCTACGGCCAAGACCCGGAGAAGAACAGCACCAGAGCCGGCAACTACGAGAATGTTCACATCCACGGACTCGAGACTTCGGCCTCGACGTCGTTGCACCGCGGCCTCAAGGCACGCCACATTTCCATGATCGCCATCGGAGGTGCTTTGGGAACTGGTTTGATCATCGGAACGGGCAAATCATTGGCCCAGGCCGGACCTGGTAAGTGCCTCAGAAACGATAGAGGCTCGGAAACTGAAGCTAACGGGTAAAACAAAAAAGGCAGCCTCCTTATCTCATACGCTGCCATAGGGATTCTTGTTGCTGTTATAATGTCTAGCCTTGGAGAGATGGCGGCATATCTTCCCCTCGCAGGGTTCTCGAGTTATGCCGCTCGGTATTGCTCTCCCTCGCTTGGATTCGCGACAGGGTATACCTACCTTGGTATGTCTCGAATTCTTCAGTGCCTTCACAGTGTTTTGAGTGCTTCCCTTTCCAGCCTCCCATTGTGAATCATCGCATCTCCGAGTCCTCACGAAGCCGTACAAGTGTACGCGTATAATTAGGGACTTGGGTACCTACTTGCCTAAACGGGTAGGTACTCAGGTACTTGACCGGCCCACACAAGCGGCATCCCCACATTTGTCCGGAGAACCTCAACCTCAGAACTAATATGATGTGGGAAAACAAAACAGGAAAATACCTTGTGATTACACCAAATCAACTGACAGCGGCCTCCCTGGTTATCCAGTATTGGTGTCCACGAGAGAAAGTGAGTCAAACTCTGTGCCTCAAAGCTTCAAAGTAACTAACCTTGCCCAAGGTGAACCCAGGTGTATGGATCGCGATCTTTCTGGTTGTCATACTTTTGGTGAACGGAATCGGAATTGCAAAGTTCGGAGAAATCGAATTCTGGTTAAGCTCAGTGAAAGTTCTGGTCATGTTGGGTATTATCATCTTTGCAATCGTCATCGCTTGCGGGGGCGGTCCGAATGGCGATGCCCCGGGCTTCCGATACTGGCACAACCCTGGTGCCTTCGCCGAGCTCTACGACACGGGGGCAACTGGAAAGTTCCTAGGATTTTGGTCCGTATTATTAAACGCAACATTCGCCTACCTCGGGACTGAGCTAGTAGGAGTAACTGCGTCGGAAGCCCAGAATCCGAGGCGCAATATTCCAAAAGGTATGTTGATATCCATGTCTCTGATCCTCATTTACTTGTGTCTACTTCTTCTTCTACCCCCTTTCCGTGGAAATAGACACTAAATAAAGCAGCTATTAAACTCACATTCGTCCGGATATGCGTCTTCTACATCCTTTCGGTTTTCTTGGTCGGGCTCATCGTCCCTTACAACTCCAAGTCTCTCGCTTTCGCGAATGCTCAGAAGACAGGGGCGAGCGCATCCCCCTTCGTGGTAGCAGCAATTGTGGCTGGCGTCAAGGTATGTTTGTGATATCCGCGTCTGAATATTGCTTGGATGATGTCTTGTTGGCATCCAGTGGGCATGTTGCTTGCGTTGTCCGTGTATCTTGCCGATCTTCGCTTTGCGCGTGCCCCCCCCTTTTCTCACCCCGGCGGTCAACTAGCAAAGCTGCGAGCCCCAGTCCCTTGATTACATGTCTATAAGTTTATTTGGCAGCATAACTAATCTGAGACAAAAAAAAACAATAGGTGCTGCCCCATATTCTGAACGGGAGTATCCTGATTTTTGTACTGTCGGCATCAAATACCGACTTATACATCGCATCAAGAACCCTCTACAGCATTTCATCGGACGGGAATGCTCCTGCCATCTTCAAGAGAGTGAACAAAAGAGGCGTCCCCTATGTATCGCTCCTCTTTTGTGCGGCCGTTGCGTGCTTGGCATTCCTCAACGTTGCGGAGAGCTCGACTGTCGTTTTCGGCTACTTCGTGAACCTCGTCACGGTATTCGGCATCCTGACCTGGGTCTCCATCCTCGTCACCTATCTCTTCTTCCTCCGAGCCCGTCGTGCCCAAAACATCCCCGACAGCAGCATGCCTTATGTGGCCCCCCAGGGCTACTGGGGAACGGCCATTGCGCTGTTCTTCGTGATACTCGTCACTCTCACCAAGAACTACGATGTCTTCGTTCACACTCCCGCGCGTCAATTCGACTACAAGAACTTCATCACGGGATACTTGGGCATTCCTGTGTACATCTTCCTCTTTCTGGGCCACAAGCTCGCCACCAAGAGCAGGATCCTAAAGCCCCACGAGGTTGACTTCTTGACTGGAAAGGATATCATTGACGCACAAGAGAGGGAGTTTTTGGAGGAACAGGAGGCTAAGCACGCCAATGCCGAGGGCATGACCAAATTCTACAACCGCTATGTATCGTGGCTATTCTAGCCTTGGCTCGGATGGTTATATGTGGAAGAGAGTTCGCAGATGTCTTTGAAGCATTAGAATTTACATATTCTGTATACTGTTTATGTGGTATGAATCTTACTTTCCATCTACGTTGCTCGTTTCTCAACCAAACGATGGGCTTGGCTTCCACTGCCGTCCCATCTGCTTGTCAGCAAGATACTTTGACTGACGGTCCTTGCATTGGTCGTTCCGATGACTACATATGCATTCCCGCGGCCCTGAATCCCCCGTACTCTTCTCTTTGCATGATGGTTTCTGTGAGTTCCACATACTTTTTTCGGATCATCTGCTGCCTCTTTTACAGATGCCTGCACCTCTGATCCAGCATCTTTAGGGGTTTGTATCCACACCAGGTACTAATGTAATCTTTCGTCTTGATACCACCACCTAGGTAGCCAGGCTGTAGAAGAAGAACACCAGACTAGCTCACACACTCTACCTAGGTAGGTATATTTATAGTGCCTAGATATTACTCCTACCTACTATTATTAGTGATATCTATAAAAGAAACGGGTCTCTAGTTTCTGATACTATCGCTATGTACTTCTATTTTACTGGAGTATGTTAAATAAATCCTAGTTAATTTATCCATACTAGGTAGATTGAGGTATAGAAATCTAGCGTTAAAAGAGATCATTCCCATGTTTTCTTTCCGCCGCATGGTAGCACCTGTTACTTGCAGAGTATAAATTACGCAGGAGAGGGAACAGTGAAGTTATTGAAGAAGCAAGCTTCTCTACGGAAATGGCAAATGCAATAAAATTATATATTAATAGACATCTCCCTACCGTACTTACTTTACTTACAATCGGAGCGATTGCAGAAGGGTTTAGCCACATCAAAGGACGACATAATTAAATTGTCACAACATGTGAAATAAATTAAGACTCGAGGGATCTATGCTACTCATGTAAGCTCTGGTATTTTTCACATGAAGTCAGGCAGGATGTCGTCTTCCATGAGCTTTATTTCTCTGGTAAACAGCCTAGGAGTATCGTTCTTCCAAGCTCCAAAACCCCTCTCCCATCTTCGTTTCGTCGCATCGCCGGCGAAAACAAAATCCAACCGTCCCGCTGCCTCGACCCTTCGCAAGAGGCTAGTCTCTCTCTGTTCAGTAAAGAGAGCCCGATAGCCCGTATCCTTCTTCGCAACCGCCTGGGGACCCGCATCCCGAGAGTCGCCGATGAACAACGTCGGCAGGTGAGGATGGCGGCTCAAAGGCATCAAGGACATGCTCTCCGTCATCTTTCCGGCTTCGTTCACCACGAGAAAGCATGGCGAGAGGTCCGGTACGTGATCATAGAGCAGGCGTACGTCCGTCGGCGTAGCGACGATGACATCTGCCTGGGTGATGAACGTCGATAACAGCCGCCGTGCGTCTTCCAGATAGGCACGTTTGTTGACGCGATAGGTTACTGGATCGCTTTCCTCAAGACTCCAAGCCTCCTTCATGATGGGATACTGCGTCGGGTTATTTTCGACTTCGAGCCGTAACTGTCGAGAACATGAGGTGGAATCGGTTGCGGGATTCCCCTCATCAAAACGTTTCTGCTGAAATTCATTGGCTTGCCGGAGAAGTCGTTCAATGGTGCTCGATGTCCTCTCAGGTATTGGAACTTGTGGCGGCGTATCCAAGGTGGCCTTGAGGAAAGTGCGAAGCTCGAGATGATACGAGTACATGCGCAAGATCCGCTTGTGAGGCATCATTGCTCTGAGGCGCTTGAATCCAGCATCGACGTCGGCGTTGTGAGGCGCAGTCCAGAGTACAACGGAAGGCGACCGAGCAGTAACAGCCATGTCTTGGCCGCTTTTGATGGCGTGGACTACTGTTGCCGCGAAACGTAACCTGCCAGAACTTGATCCGCCAGCAATGAAGACTTTGCTTGCACGGGCATGCCTGAAGGCTTCTATAGCCTCGTTATACTCCACAAACTTTCCTTGGGCGATAAACTGACCGAGGCCAGTAAACCTCTCTACAAGGTCATGTGCTGGTGGTGTGAAAATAGGATCAAAGGACAAGAGGAAACTCCACCAATTTGACGCAGTAGGATCCTCGGCGACATTATTCAAAATGTTGATGGTGTCGCATTCGAACTCTGCCGTTGTCTCGTTGATGTCATACTCGATTTTGATCTGGCGGGTATCGGCCTGGTGTTGGGCAAGATTGTCCATGTATGTGCCGAGTTTCCAGGGCATGGTTGAGAGCGGCAAGTCGACAAACTGCAGTGGTGGTTGTCTGAAACATTCAGGCCAAGTGGGTTGGAGCGGTGCGTCGACTTGAAAGTATGCAAGTCCGGAACGATAGCTAGGGATGTTGACGCGAATACCGGTGCAGGGCTGACCATATTTGCCATTGAGAGGTTTGCGGGCAGCAGCGATCTGAGACGCCATCCACCCAAGGATGCGTTTACGATGGTCCAGTTCCTCTTCGTACTCGCGCTTACGAAGAAGCTCAGCAGCCTGGCGTGCAGCGAGGCGCCGCTTAGCATCAATGTCTGCGTCAGGCATTGAATAATGAGCATCTCGGAAGAATGTCGCAATATAGGACAAGATCTTTGGGGTGGCAACTTCGAGATACTTGTCGTCGAGTATAGTGTCAACAAGCTCCTCCTGGGCATCAAGTTCAATGTCATCGTAGCGCTCATGCAACATCTCCTGCAATCTGTCTTGTGCAACATTGAAAGACTTGACTGCTTCCGAATGAGCTTCGGACAAACCACTCGCAAGCGCCGTAGCGAAAGACTCCATCTGAGAGGCAATCAGACTTTTGTCTGGGCTTTGATTGAGCTTTTGCGGCAGGTTGATGTACAAACGAACTGCGGTCCCTGCCTCTGGTAGCAGGCATCGTTTGAAACCGCCCTGCAAGGGGATAGCCACTATGAACTTGGTGGGGGCTCCCGTTCCCTTGATGCCATAGACCAGCTCATCCGTCTCCTGAGCATCCCATTCCGAGCCGGGAATCGGCAAGACCCAACCTCTGAACACGTCCCTGCCACAAGCGTCTGCTTGTTGCTTCAGCCAGTTGGCTTCATCGGCTGCGCCACCAATGAGTGTGACGGTCCGTTCATCTGTCGTCAAGAAAAAGGTGGCGGCTCGGTCAAGGGTATTTTCGCGATCCACAGCCACGAGATTGATGTTTCTGTAGGACAAATCATCGATGTTTCTCTGGCATACGTCCCGGGCGATGTGGTGGTATGGGTTACGACATGAATCTCTTGAGAGCAAAGGACCCCATTCCGAAAGCCAAGATTGTTTGTCGTCGGGAAACACAACCCACAAAGAAGAGTACCCGCCATGCTGGATGCCCGAAAGGACGTTTCTGACGGTGTCGGCGATGTCGCGGGCATCGCTGTGCAGACACTGAAGTTGCTGCTCCCAGAACTTGGTCGGATAGTAAGTTGTCAAGATAGGAGACCCCGCTTCATTGAGGTTGATATTGATCCGCACTATCTTATCCGAAATAACGCGCATGTACTCCGCCAGGGACGTGGCAGGGCTTATGTCTTCGATTGTATTGAGATAGCTTTCGTCTCTTCTGCCGAAGCCAAGTTGAGTTGAGGTGATGAGGTCTCGGAAGTGAGAAGTGATGAAGGAATCATCGACTGTGCGAGTTTCCGCCGAGGGCACCTTCGAAAGACGTGCCATGGCAATCTCGCAGACTGCAAATGTGCGGAGGACGCCATCGACTATGATGCTGAAGTGTATGGTGAGTGAAGGCTCTATGTTGGGTCCCCAACGTTGGATCGTGTCTGTCCGAAGGCCAGGCGCACAGCTTTTCCCAAGGCGACGAGCATGCGAAATGTGATATCCCAATAGCAGCTCCTCGTCCGCAAAAATGAAGGCGCTGGATACAATCCTGTCATGACATCCCCCAGTCTGGGCAGTTGCTTCTATAGCTTGCTCGTCGACTGGGACCCAACCGACACCTGCATCGCGGTCACGAAGTGCGGCAGTGTCCAACTGAAGAAGAGGATGCTGAAACTCTTCATGACCGGCATCAGAGCCATCATCACTTGCGCTGGAGCGATGTTCCAAGGCCTGTCGCTGGTTAGCCCACAGCTCAACACTGGTCGATTGAATTATAAGGTAGTAGGCAAGGTACATGTACTCACTGAATGTACGTCTGCAGTGGAATGCGGAATGTCTCCCGACGAAACGCTAGGCTGAGCTTGAGAGCTCCCATGGCTAGCCATAACTGGCAGTCGCGAGGGTGCTAGAGGCAGGGATAAAGGCGAACAGAACGACCAGAGACAAGGACTAGAGCGAAGGAAGTAAGACGCGGTGCGAAGGCGCGGCGAGGTGCGTGGGAAAGATGCAAGGATGATGGTGGGGAGAAAGAGAGGAGGGAAATCGGAGAGAATCGCTAGCGGGTCAGATACAAGTACGTGTATAGGTACGTATACGTATACTAGCGGTAGGGATTTGTGGGTCCGCCATGGCAGGTCGATTGTGAAAGAAAGTGAGAAGTGCGAAAAAAAAGTGAAGAAAAAAAAACAATGAATAAGGTGCTGAATGCACGTTGAGAGAAGAGAAAAATGGTATAGGTAGTCAAGTGAAGTAAACTGTGGTATGTAGCTGCCAAGCGGCTGCCAAGTCCCCAAGTCTTCGAAAAGACGAGCCGGACGATTTGTACGGAGTAGATGGAGTCCATATCGTTCAGACGTGGGGGGTCGACGAGAAGCCTGATGACTGGACATGGATGTACCTGTCATGGTCGTTGGATGACAACATGAATGCAACTGTCGGATGGTAGTGGCCGGTTCGAGATGTTTGATAAGAAGATAACTAGAATAGTAAAGACCCAAGACTCCGAAAGGAGTCAAACCAGTCTGATGTGCGTATTCGAATCGTTGCACAATGCCAGGCGCATCCACACTTCATATTCGATAGCACCATTGCGAGTTTGTCGGCTGACAATGTTCTCGATGATGGGTTTCTCCTGACCGTCGGACTGCAGGGGCCCGAGGGCCATAGGGTCGAGTGTGCGGCATAACTAGCTCGAGGGGTTCCATGATGAACTCATTCTTCTGACGAAGATAATCCGGAAGTTGTGGCTTGTCCTGGTGTTTCCGCGATTACATTAGTGACGGCAGCCATTTCTCCGGCGAGAGTCACCACTGCCAAACAGCTCTCCTTCGTGCCATCGTCCGCGGTGGAGTCGTCCACACTGGCGATGCCTCTCTCCCTCTGGCTTGACGGGACGGCGCTCTGTGGAGCTCCCGTTCCCGTGGCGGTGCTCAATCGCACCGATCCAACTGGGGTCCCAGCCTGGGGCATGGTGTGTATGAATATACACTGGAGCCTTGACACCCTACAAGCATCACAAGGGTTAGCTCGGCAGCACATGGCGAGGTGCGGTAAGTCATACTTACATAAGGTATGATTGCTATTGCAGCGATCGGAGACTCGAGGGCTTCAGAGTGGGATGAGGCTCGGGCACATCAGCCCAGGCTGATGGGCCCGGGCTGGGAAGAGCTGAAAGTTGACGAGTCTGGATATCAACTGCCTCAGTCTTCAAAATAAACAAATGGTTGCAAGATCAAGTTTTGTCAATCAGAAAAAGAGATGCGGCCGTGAATATGGCTATCTGTGGGGCTCGAAGAGAATGGTCCGTGCATGAAGATTCTCCTCAAAAGTCTCCGGGGAGGACGTTCACCATTCTAAAGACAAACTACCAGTCAAATTGCACTAAAAGTTGTCCTTTCCCAGAGAATCTCCTCCATCTTGCTCTTCCTACGTCTGTTTAGACTTCATTTAAGGAGCCCCGAGAGCTTATTTGCCAGGCAAGGGCTGGTCCCATTCTCGGCGCAAGTACCGGTTCTTGGGTAGAATACCTAGTATCTTGAACGCATCTTTATAGGACTCTTAGCATCGACGCCGCACATAGGCATCCGTTCTCTCCATGTGTCAGATTCTAAGAAATTCTAGCATTCAGGGCAGATCACTGCAATTACAGCCCAGACCGAATGTCGCAAGGTACCCCAGCGTCTTAACCAGCCGATTGTTCATGGCTTTTGTCACCTTAGTCTGTCCTGGCTTCCAGATGAGTGAGTCAGCTCCACTGTACCACGCCCTCCTGTCTGCGATCCGTCGAGATGGCTGCGATAGAGTCTCGAACTATATGCGCTCAGGGCACCAACAACACAGATGACATAGGAGCCGTGACTAGGGAGCTGAGCTTCCACTTCGTCGACACATCAGACAACTGCTCCACAGAGCGACTAACCATCTAAGCGTTGATGAGGCTTGGCTTTGCGAACAGCACCTCTGCTATGTTTCATCATGACTTCCGACACCTCTTTTCAAGTCATACAAGACGGACTTTTACATACGGATGAAGTCAAGGCTGGCGGTGGAATGATGTCTGTCTTTCAAGCAATCAAACAATTGCTACTTCGTTACTATTAGCACTATCGGTAAAGATTAACCACCCAAGTCGAAAGTCTCTTGACCTATCTCCTTGCTCATATGTCCACGCCATATTATAACATATCCCGAGTATATTGAGGTGTTGCTCATTAGGTCTACTGCGAGACGTAGCGAGAGAGGATCGAGTTCGACACGACTCCGTCCGGATTGCTTAAGATTTGTCCCATGCCTCCAGCTGCTCCAGACCAGCACATCCCGACTGATCACATGGACTAATCACGCCTTTTCACGAATCTCTACTGGAAATCACTCCAAGCTGCTGATAAAGAAATCCATCAGCTTAGGTGCAGTCTCGAGAAGGTTGTCGTATAGGTCAAAGTGATTTCTTCCCGGCACCACAAACATCTCCTTGGGGCCCCTCGCAATGGCAATGGCCGTCCTGCTGTAATGAAGCGTCTGTGCCTCCGATCCCGCAATCATCAACAACGGCCGCGGGGCGATGAGATGCTGCAGATTGAACGAGTCATAGCTGACCATGAGATCGTAGCTCTGCGGCGGCACCCTCTGCGTGCTCCGCTCGTGCTTCCCCCGTCTGGAGCCGTAGTAAGCGGCCGCGTCCCTGAAGAAGGAGTCCGGGTTGTCAGCGGCCTTGGCCGGGTCCGTCTCAAACATGACGGGGGCCTCGAGCTTGGCCGTCGGGTTTTTGGCCGCCATGATCCGTGCCTGGGCGGCCGCCTCGAGGGCCATGGCGATGGCCTGCGGGTTCTCCCTGGCGGCCTGCTCCTCGTGGACGCCGCCGCTGCGCGTCATGCGGCCGACGCAGGCGGCGCTGACCGTGGCTAGGCACTTGATGCGGCTGTCCGACTGCGTCGCGTACGAGGCGTACCCTCCAGAGGCGCAGATGCCCAGCAGCCCGATCCTGTCGGGGTCGACCCGGCCGCTGAGCGCCGTCAGGTAGCTGACGGCCGCCTTGATGTCCTCGACGCGCTGGTGAGGATCTTCTAGGCCGCGGGGCTCGCCGCTGCTCTCGCCTTGGTAGCCGGCGTCAAACACAAGCGCGAAGAATCCCGCGTTGGAGAGCATCTTGGCGTAAGTCGTCGACGTCTGCTCCTTGACCCCCGTCATGGGATGACTGACCACGATGGCTGCACCCTTGCGGTTGGGGGAGCCGGGTTCTGGGGGGAAAAGGTCTCCGCGGATTTGCAACTGGAATGATGGAAATGAAACGGCGATAGGTGTCACGGCCTCGATGTAGGACAGCATCTTGGGCACAGAACCTGGATAAGTTGACCGGAAATCAATTGCTTTGAGGGGGGAGAACACGATTGCTGTGCTTGTAGGTATGAAGGTATGAAGTTAAGCCTCCCGTGTAGTTCTAGATCTCGGAATCGAATTCCTGGGTCCTAAGATGCTTTTCATGTCTTCTTATCAAGTTGTACGTTTACGTGACGTCGGTGGTGCTCCCATGGGTGGCATCAGGAGATTTCCTGGGTATCACATGGAGCTACCATTAAGGTTTGCGCCAGCGCGAGATTGCGGACATAAAACACCAAATTTTAGTCCAAGACTCTTATCATTAACCTAAGGTCCTATGCTAGGTACATGTAGTTAGAGGCTAGGGTCTCTTGATGTTTGTTTAGTTCAAGAGATTCGAGATGGACCATTCGATGACGGCTCCGTGTCTGGTTCCCGAGATTCCACCCGTGCCGGCCTCATACTACCCCATATAGCGGAGAGCGGTCCTTCGACATCATAATCAGGAACCCTGACAATGTTTAGATCTGGCTGCCTCTATCGGTCATCAGCTGGGCTGCACAAGTTGTAGGACGAGCGTCGATCAAAAGCATCCACCGGGGGAACTTGTTCCAGTAATGCCGGAGAGGAAGTGCCAGAGACCAATATCCAGGTGCAGCTGCCAGCAAAGAATCGAACCTGAAAAGCTGCCAGTTGGTTACGGCTGGCCAGGCAGAACGCGTCTGACACGTGTTGCACACGTCTGCCTACCTACTATGCTCTTCTTCCCGCAGTTTCAGGAATTCACGCTCAAAGTCCTCGTTCACCTTCCTCCTCTCATCGCCCTCATCACCCTCATCAAATCAACCAAGCAACAGCATCACAACGCCGGGACGGAACAAGCTTCAAGCGTGGCATCAGAACATGCGATGGTGGAGCACCCTCTCCTCATTCGAGACGAACCGGAGGATCTCACGCCTGAGCAACTAGAGGATGCTAGGGAGAGATTCCGTGCGCTGCGGACAAACTACTTGCAAGAAGATGCACTGGTGGCCAACGTGTCGAGGGAGAACCAGCTCATCATCTACCAGCACCTGGTCAGAGACGCCTTTGCCCTCGCTGGTGTAAACTCCAACGACTATCCTGGATGTTTCGCAGCCTGTGTTGACAAGTGCTTGGAAACCAGAGTCCTGGATACCAGGGCCTGGAGCTCCTGGGGCGGTTATCGCGAGTTTGCCGAACTGGCAAACGCCGCCGCAAAGTACACGCAGGAGACGCACAAGATTCATTTACCTTACGCGCCTTTTCTGGTGGCAGCCATGGCCGTCCGCATGCTCCGCAAGTTTGAGCCACGACCTGAAGACCAGCTCACCCCGCTGGTTATCAACTTTCAGATGTTCGAGCACCTGCAAGGCGTCATCAAGTCGTGGACGCCAACGACTCCCGTTATTATGCACACCACTCTTGACTACAAGAATGCCAAAGGTCAGGCCAAATTTGACGACCCTCAGCGGCTCGCACAGACGGCAGGAGTGGTGATCTTGATCGAGGAGGACGACGCAATCACTAACAAGGCGGGCCTGACAGTGGAATGTCAAGAATTTGTCCAACCGTTCGTCAAGCCGAGACCCAGAGACACAGTCATGGTGGCCGTTCATATCAAGCGAAGACTCACACGCGATGAAGTGGCCTTTGAAGTTGACCCGACTATGGACCAACTAATTGCCGAATACGAGAAGGTTCAAGCTGACGAGCTGCTGGACGAACTGACTGAGCACATGGTTGCGGTCATGCCGGCGAGTCGAAAGCTTCTCTTGGGCGCATGGGCGGAAGTCGAAGGAAAGAAAGCCGTGGTTGACTGGGTCAAGAAGGCCAAGGAGGACAAGACTGAAGTCGAGTGGACCGAGAGCAAACTGGTTCCGGAGGAATGGTCTGATATGGTTCAGCCGCACGAACATCTCGAAACTCTGCTTGATATCACGAAAGACATGGACGACGCGGTGCGACAGAGGATTGCTTCATTGGTCTTCGGTATTCGTCACTACTTCATTACCATGCGGAAGCGACACATGGACAAGGCAGAGAAAGAGGCTATGAGAGAGATGGGCGGCTTGTCACAGGGACTTCTAGACAAGATCAAGCGAGAGATCGACCAGGTCTTTCAAGAAGCCATCGGCGAACGTACGTAGGTATGAGGAGGCGTTTTGTCATTCGCAGTCAGACTAGCGCCGCTGCTCAAGAGCGGACAGAGAGTTCTGGTCTGTACCCTGCAGATTGGAGGCAGTTTTGCTGCGGCCATCGGGATACCGACGGTCTTTTGCCTTGGGGGACAGGCGGTTATGGTTCTGGGATACGGATGGAAAATATTCAGGCGTTGTTGGCACTCTTGAGCTCTAGCATAAAGGTCCATCTAGAGACACTTTATAGGTAATCAATCTTGAGCTATCTTTTCTCATACACACCCGCCAATGTCGAGATCGTCGAAGCTGCTGGAGGATAGCGGCCCGTTCAAAATACTGAGCGAGTCCGTGATCGGCCACCTCTCTGCAGAGTGCTTTGCGCGGCCACTCTTCCACGGTCATTGACAGTAATCGCAATAACGAGGAGTCCGACTGTAATTCACTTCGCAGACAAACCACATCAATAGCTAGGTAAGTATTACCTTATGGCATCTATTCGTACTGAGTAGTACCTATGTAAGGTAGGTAACCGAGAGAGCGAAAATTGATACCGCCGCCCATCACATACAAAGCAGACCGGGGAATGGCTGTCTAGTAAAAGACTCTAATCTCCCTACTCTCTGCTACTATTGCTACAAGTCTATCAGTCAACCTACCTGTCATAGGATAAGCTACTATATCGATATTTTAATTGATAAATCAATTTGAACAGTTTAACCTGGATTCAGGGCCTGTATGCCCAAACCTGAGGTGCTGGAAAACTAGGTACTCCCTGGAATCATACCTACATAGCGGCTGACCGGCGGTGGTTTCCTTCTTTCCCCTGTTGGTAGCTTCGGGCACGGTTGCGCTATCTCGGCCCTAGCCGACCAGCCCTAGTGGGTCCACACCCTGTGCAAATTTCTGGTGCCTTGGAATTACCCCGCCCGGACAGCTTCCCAAGCTTCATCTTCCCTCCTCACCCGCAATCATCCCTGTCACCAATCAACCAACCCAGTGCCTGGCCCGGCCCTCATCACACGCCATGGCGCGCCACCGTCCTCTCAGCGCCGGACTCCTGGCAGTTTGTGGATTCATCCGTTGTGCTGTATCAGAAGCCCAACGGTGAACTCACGCTGCAAATCAAGCGCCTTCATCTTAGGTATGAGAGGGCTGCCTTTGCCCTCGGAACAGCGATGCGAAGACCCAACACTGAGTGTTCGCTTACCAACCGCCCTCAAATGACGCTTGGACACATTCGCAGCTTGCCTGCTATGTAACCATGGCTCGTCTTCCCCAGATTTGGCTCCCGCGACACACCCGCTAACACCCGTTACAGGACCCTCCAGGCCACCTCGACTCGAGTGGCTTCGGCAAGACAGTGGAGGAGAAGAAGATCTCACCCTTCTTCTCAGTGCCCTGTGCTTCCCAAGAGACGCCTGATCGGCTTCCGCACTGGGTCTCTTCCACCCGAAGATTTGCGTCGCACCGATACCACCAGGTCGTTTGCAGGGGATGTTGACCCACGATACGGGAGTCAGGTCGGTCTTGATATGCCACATCGAGGCATTGCCTTGCTGAGTGATGCTCACCATCACCATCTAAATCTTCCCGCAGTCTGGCTTGTCTTTCGGAGACTTGGAGACTTGGCAGCGTTTGGCTGCTACATACCATAGACCATACTTTCATTCACGCTTTCATTCACTGTTACGGAATCCAAATATCCAGCCTTACACACTGACCCTCTTCATCTCCACCACCATCCCTGCCCAAGCAGACGAGGTCACTCACCTCCAGCCTAGCCAGATATCTGGGAGGTTCTACTATATATCCAGTCGCCCTGCACATATACACCCTCTCCTCTACCCGCTATACTCGCCGTCACTCCTGCAAGCTGCGAAGCAGACGAGTCTATCAATCTCCAACCCAGCCGGATCCCCGGGAGACTCTACTACCTATATATTCAGTCGCCTTATTTACGTCTACTCTCTTCTTCGCCCCCTTCAGGTGGCCCTCATCGGTGCTTCTAGATTTGCGACACGCTGTCAGCCATCCCATCTGCGGTATAGCGAGCCCGTACGTATAAATGAATGTTCAGCCCCGGTTTCATACTTTTTTCTACTTCTCAGGCCTTTCGCCCTTCAATTTTTGCACCCAAGTCGCGGCGTCATGCTTACAGAAGCTTCCGGGAAGCGGTTCAGATCTACTCTCAATTCAGGTTTACGGGACGCACGACACGTGGATCAGCGTTGAGATCAGCATCAATTGGGTAAGCCCGTTTCACAGCCTCTCGAATCACTTCACGCCACCTTTGAGCTGTATTTTAGCAGACGCAGGGAGAAAAAAAAGACACCGAGCGTCCATTCATCATCGGCTATTACAGCCACGATAGTGGTGGCATTGACTAGACCGGCTGCACGAGGCAGCCGACTCGTCATATTCTTGCTGATGCCCCTGCCAATGGCTCCCAAGCGCCTCTGGAAGGCAAGCAAACAAAAGCCTCCCTGCATGTAAATGAGACACTCGACCACAGCAATTGTCCAGCTGGTTGTTCTGTTTCGGATGCCTTTTGATGCCCTGGTTTACACATTCTGCTTTTGGGACACCATTTAAACCATGATTCCTGGCCCTCCATCACCATTCTTGTTTCCATCTCACAGCCTCAAGTCTTTGAAGGACTCGAGACAGACGAGATGAATGCTTTCGCTGGAGATGAGCCAACAATCACTGTTCCCGCGGTACTCATGGAATTTTTCTCCGCCAATGAGCCCACGCCTCAGACAAGCCAGAGTCAAGCTGCCGCTTATAAAGCCCTCATCGCAGACGGAGGCCGGCCCTCTCATCCGCTGGGTCTCCTCGAGCGCACCACCTCCTCGCCCAACCGGTATCGCGACATCTTGACCTTTTGGCAAGACCAGCCAGAAGAGTCGCAGGTGTTTCACAAGCAGCTCTCTAGATGGCAGGAATTCCGCACCCACCAGAGAGCATTTCGGTCTCTTGGTCATTTTAACCAATACGTCCTTGACCTCCGGGAACGGCTTGATCGTCACGGCTTCGAACTTCCCAACGGTTATCGCATTGCACCACATGGGCTCTGCTTCGATGTTCAGAAGCAGAGCAAGGTGGCCACCTGGATTGAGTACATCAATTACGAATTCAGCAGGCGTGAAGAGTACGAGAAGTGGCTCGAGATCCGTCGGCCAGACTATGACGCAGCTCTGGCCCAACTCGTGGGTGCACAAGTCCTGAAGCCATCTGAACAGCTTCAGACGCCCACGAGCGACATCTGCCACTCCTCTAGCCTCGAAGTCACCAGGGGAGAGGAAGAGCGTCAAAGGGCCAGCGAGGACCGCGAAGATGCTGAAAATCGACTGGAGTGCATTGATCCCCTCGGACAGACGCAGACGCCCCAGCAGATGGACGAAGAGGCCATGCTGGGGTCCAAAGCCATCAATGACCGGGATACCATCATGTTCGAACTGAGACGGAAAACCCATGCCTACCGCTTTGCCATGGACAGGACCCAACGCCACGGGCTGCTCCTCCGATGGGCCATGGATCAGATGCCTCTGATTGAGGAAGAAGTCAGACAGATGGAGCGACGAGACGCAGCTTTTCGGGCGATAAGCAGTCATCAGCGCCAGAAGCAGCAAGCCGAAACATTTCCGCAGTTCCAAAGACTACCGCCCGAGATTCGGCAGCGTATCTGGGAGGAAATGCTACCAAAAAGCCCAAGCGTGCACTTCTTTGACGTGCTGTACTGCGAGAGCCAAGAGCAGATAGCCACGTCCTGGTCCGGCGACGATTTCCGCGTGTGCGCCACCAGAAAGCGTGACTCGGGGTACCTGTCGGTGTACTCGCTCTTAGCAACCTGTCGGGAGTCGCGCAGCATCGTCGAGAGGTACTACATCCGTCGCCGGCGTGGCGTGAGATGTCCGCTGTCAGGAGACGCCATCAATTTCTCCGACAGACCGCCCGACTTTCGAACGTTTGACTGGATCCCTTCCAATGACCTACTCGTCATGTGCTTCCCGCCCGTTGCAGTCGCCCAGCTGCCGACCCAGAATGCCTTCACGCTGACTCCTGGACCAAACCAAGCTGCGAGGCGCCTTGGTGTGATGATTCCAAAAGCACTCATGTCTAGGTCGTCCCTCGATCCCCTGGACGATATCGAGATCGACGACAGCGCCGCGGAACTCGCCCTACTTCCAGAGTTCATTGACCACCTTCACGGCCCGATTCTAGGCCCCCAGATGGACGCCGCCACACGCGGAATCTGGAAGCTCTATCTCATGGTCGAGGGCTGGTCCACGAACCACATCCAGATGCAGCTGACGGCCAAGGTCAACAGCAAGAAGCCAGTGGCCGACTGGGCAGATGACACCATCTACTGGCGCTCTCCAACAGCTGAAAGGGGTGAAGGAATGCTGTCGTGGAGAACCATAAGCGAACCACTTCCAGTACCCGAGCTTCCTCTCGGCGGCTTTTATAACATGGTGCAACATGATCCCGTTTTCTTCGACACCCACTTCAATTTGAACAGCCAGATGATGATCCAACAACCCTCACCAGAGTACGGCGGCGCCCGCCAGCTCTACTGGCTCGGCTCACGTCGTCCCGCCCTCGGCACCCTCCATCCCGATGACTTTGTCGACGAACGCTCTGGGCAGAAGCTCCACGACTTCATGCAGGTCCTCGACGTGCAATGCCGCGCGCAGGAGTGGCACCACAACTTTGGGGGCATCGAGGCGCTTGGCTGGCTGGAGCCCGCGAGCAGGAGGAGCCTCAGTGCGGCAGAGGTGCGGGAGATGAGGCGGACGAGCAAGACGGGAAAACGATCGCGAGCCCTTCGGAGAGTGAAGAGGGAACAATGGGATGACTAGGAAGATGTCTTGATGAATTTGACAATGCAAAAGTCCTTTATGTGATACTAGATACGTGTGAGATTTTCTGTACTTGTCGCTTGTGAACACCTTTATTGTATCCGAGCAGGACGACCACTTCCAGCGGCATTAGCACAGGTCGGCCTAGCAAAAAGCGGTTTCTTGAGGGCTGCGACTCGTTTGTCACGAGCGAACTTTGATTGCATTTTCTACATATAGGGGGAGGAGTTGACAGCAGAAGTTTTGTCATCACGATGCTCTGGACAGCTCTGTATTGTATCTCCGGCCGCGACAGCCGCCCGCTTAGATCCTCTGCAGCTGTTTCAGACAGTCCATTTCCGACGTCATTGACGCTGTCCCCGTATAATACATGATATGCCCAGGAGGTCTGAACTATTGATTGCCATCAAAGCTCCAATCTAGTGTCCTTTACAGGGCTTCATGAGGACCACACCAATCTTTCGAAAACGCGAGTTCCAGATTATGTTTGCTCGGTATTGTGAGTCATCGAGCGTGAGGTTGTCGAGCTTGAACACGCCCTTTCAGACCCTAAAATCGAAACATAATCGGCTCTGAGCTTTCCGGCGTGTTTGAATCTCTCAAAAGGAGGCCATGTGAGAGCCAAACAACGTGCTGCGTTGATAGTGGTTCTCGGGGGCCGTGGGTGAAAAGTTGCCGAGTCCTTCGGGCAGTTGGATCATCGACTGAAAGCCAGCGGCGATGCCCCCAGTAAGCCCCGGATGCATGTGAACAGCATATCGGGGTCCCGTGTCGTTCTACAGAGCCTGGCTCCAGTGGCAAGCATCGCTATCCAAGCAGCGACTGTCGTCGGTTCGAGCCACCAGTTTTGGGCGTTGACTGCGAAAGGTCTGGCCCTACCCATCCGCTGGCTAACCCAGACTAGATCTCGACATGCTCTCTCTCTCTCAGGCTGTCAATGAGCAAAATATCCCCAAAGAGCCAAGGAATGGTATCTTGACAACACCGGAATCGCTCAAGCCGCCGCAGGTTGCGGATTGTTGCCCACCGTCTTGTACAAATCCCGCAGCTCAAACTCCTCATGCGCACCATCCGGCAACTCACCCACCACACGGCCCGGCTGGCCCGCCACAATGGAAAAGCTGGGGATGACCATGTTCGCGGGGACAATCGTCCCATCCAGGACCTTGACATAGTCCTTGATGATGGCAAACTCGTTGACGACGCACCCGCTCCCGATGGACACGTGGTTGCCGATGCTCGCGGCCTGCACGACGGTGCCCTGCCCGATGAAGACGTGGTCCCCGATCCGCAGCGGCATGTACGTGAAGACGCCCTTGTAGATCCTGCCGGGGGGCCGCAGCAGCACGGCGCGCGAGAGGAAGCAGTATCGGCCGATGGCGACGGCGGTGGTGTTTGCCGGCGCGGCGTTGCCGCCCGAGGACGAGGGCGGCGGCGCGGCGGTGCGGACGAGGTCGCCGCGGATCATGACCTCGGGCTGGATGACGGTCTTGCCGCCGAGCATGATGTTTTGGGTGCCGACGAGGACGGCCTTGCGGGCGACCTTGTTGCCGGTGTCCTGGGGGGGGAAGGCCCGCGTTAGTCTGCTGTGATGCGGCGATGGAATGACACGGTGGTTGTGTGTGTGTGTGTGTGTTTTTGAGAGGAAGAGAGCAAAAGATTAGGATTCTGATGATTTCTTACCGTTTCAATGTAGTCTCCTTTTGCTGGACGGCGCGACATTTTTTTTTTTTTTTTTTTTTTTTTTTTTTGGTTGGGATGGTGTTTGTTGCAAGTTGGTGACGGTTGAAGCTTCGAGTGACGATGGCGATCTTGGGAAGTTCTGGTGGGGCGGTTGAGCTTGAGCTTGGACGCGTCCCGCCAAACCGGCCTCAACACCTCAAAGCATCCAGCTCTACCTTACTATACCTGGGTATTCACTGACATATTCCACTGCAATTCGATGAGGCCATCAACCCCCCTCAACTGCCTTGGGTAACCTTGTGGATAGTGCAAGAAGCTTCATTGTGGTTAGTATGTGCAAGCCCTCTCTGCTCGGTCAATCCCACGGCGAATCGACCCCAAAGGATTCATCACCTGCCGCGCTGCATGACACCTTAAGCCGGATCCAACCAAATCCTCCAAGCATCATCCAAGCCTCTTCTCTTCCCCGCCCGCTATCCAGCATATTTTCTTAGGTCTCGAACACACAATCTAGAGCCATCCCGGGGCCGCGTCCGTGGAACTAGGTAGTCTGACATGTAGACTGATGTTCCTTTTTTTTCTTTTTTCTGCCTTTGAAATTGTGCCTGCTGTGGGCTAGCTCGCTCGAGTTGGGGGCAGAGCCGCAAGGAAAGGGCAGAAGTTGCTGAGACCTCTCTCGGTGACTGGATGGGATGCTTTCGCGCAGTTGCCGGGGGTTTTGCTTTATAGTCTCGCAAACTCGCAATGTTTCTACAGAACTATCCTTGAGCAAGACTATCCCCCTTGATTTTGTTGACTATGTCTTCCTTCACTTGAAACAGATTGTATAGCCTTAGCCAGTTCTCGCCGCAGCGATGCCACTTGTCCTAGATCCCAGAACCAGCTCACCACCACAATACACAACTCTATTCCAAATAACAACGCAACAGACGACGCTTGCAACTCAAACGACAGTTCCTACAGATACTGTGTATACGCCGCTTCCGACAACGACAGATGAGCCACCGAGCCAGACGAACACCAGCGGTCTCAGCACCCAAGCCAAGATTGGCCTGGAATCCGGCATCGCCCTGGGGGTGCTGGCTGTGGTGGTTGCCATAGGACTCTGCGCATATGGCTTCAGTTGCCGCAAGTCGGAGAAGGACTCTGATACGATTCGAAGTTACTCGCCGGAGCCGGGGACGCCGCAAGCTTCCATGCTGGACTTGCCCTCTCAACACATGTACGGGAACAGCGGACTGCGATATGAGGCGATAACAAACACCCACCTACTATATGCAAACAGTACAAATCTCCCTCAGAAAGCCCCTCTCGTGTTTGGGCATCGAATAAACCGCGATCAAAGCTCAAACCCCTTGATATACACCGCCGAGCTGGACGAGGGCGATACTTGGGATAGATACCCTAGAGTGTCCGAGTTGCAGTCGGGGCCATACGTGAAGCTGCCCGCAAATGCAAGGCGAGCCGAACTGGAAAGTAACCACACTAGGAATCCAGCGGTCATGCACAAGATTCCTCGGAAAGAGGTTCAAAGTCATACGCACAGAGAGCCTTTACTACAGTCAGAAGTGTCAGTGTGGCCGGCTTGATGCTGGGGGAGCGGCAACAGCTGAACATCGATGCTACCAATGATCAAAGCACGGATGGAGACTTGAGGCGCAGAAACCGCCTGTAGTCTTAGAGATAAGGTAGCTTATTGAGACTGAGGTCTCGCTGGCCGCCTTTGACCCTCACAACGGTTTTGGCCAGGGCGGCATATGCATAGGTAGCCGGGGAAGAGAGGGAAAGGAAAACGCTAGGAAAACACATTGAGAGCACCACAGGCGCTTTTATAGCAAAGGGAGAGGCCAACTACACAAGAGCCACTGACCCTTTATGTAGCTCAGTAGATGTATGAATACAGCTAGTAACGCTGAAATTTCCGTTGGGCGAGTTGACACGTTCAAAACTCCTATCTGTCACTTGAGCTATGAATCCTACATATGCGTGTAGGTTATTATGTTGACGATCCATGAATCCTTCAATAAGAATTGGGACTACTACATTTCCTGGCTCAAATAGCAGCTAAAACCGCAATGTCTCTCCGTCAATGACACGCATTTGCCCACAGTGACCTCTTAGTCCAGAGCACTGACTGATGACATTCACGGCTGACCAACAGTAACAACCAAACGCCATGCACGTCCACGCAAACGGAGCGTCTGTGAGGCTTTTTCGGTATCAATGTTACAAACATGATTCAGTCTATAGAGCGCCAACAATGACGAGGAGTTGTAGCCGCCGGCGGCCTTTGACTCGGTGGCCGCGCTTGTTCAAGGCAGACACCGAGCCACAACGCCTCAGCAACTACATCTAGTATTAGACCAGCCCAGTGTCTGAGCCCACCTCATTCTACAGTGTCGAAGCAATCAAATCTATTACAGAGGATACAAGCATTTGAAACGTAGAAGCCTCCTCGAGGATCGCCAAGGGGAATGAAGCTGGGTACATGAACCAACTTCGCTTCGGTACGTTGAAGGATGAGAAGGATCAACTATCTATCTACACTAGCCTCATCCTGCACAGTAGGTACTAACTCATTCTTCATCCTTCAGGTAGCTCAAAAGAAATGGGGATTTTAAATGCGAAAGCAACCGAGATTCAATATGTGCTTCCGGCCGGGAAAGCTGTAATGTAACAATGCAATTTCATCTTTCTTCTACAGAGGTATGTACTGCATACATACATACATACAGCCGGCGTCGCTCGTCCGTCAATCTGACCGGCTCAAGAGACCATCTGTGCGCTTCCAGCCTAGAAGGCGCTTCTACTACTACTGTACTATAAGCCGCCGAAGCCCCATATTGAATGGAGCGTCTATTTATAGATGGCCGCGCAAAATGGGGTTTGGGGTCCATTATTGCATCAATATAGTAGTATGTAGTATGTAGTACTTGTATTCACCGCGGCATCGGGTCTGAGCAAGTTGTCGAAGAGAAAGATGATGTGACTGTGCGAGTTAGAAAGAGTATATGATACTAGATGAAGACGTAAAGTGGGAGAGTACATGTAACTGGGTGGACTCGAGGTCTGTGCTGCTGTTACCTGGGCTTGAAGAGCCAAGGAAAGGGGATTATACTGAGCACAGAGAGAGGGCTTCAGTGCAACCACGCGCTCATACCCATGTATGTATGTATGTATGTGTGTATGTATGTATGTATGTATGTATGTATGTATGATTCCAGTCTTACAGCAGCACTCTACAAGGCTCAGTCAGTCAGTTGATTCCGAAAAATCGAAGCCTTTCTCCCGTTCTTCACCTTCTTCTCCAGCTTCAACCCCCCCCCATCCAACCGCACAAACCATGTGGCAGTGCCGCGGGAATCCCTCATTCCGGTCCCTCCCCCCCAAAGCTCACCCACGCCATGGCTTTTGATGGAATCACGGCCTTGCTCCCTTTCAGCCTAGACGGACAACACTAGTAGTAGTAGTAGTAGCAAGAATCCATGTTCCCTTCAAAGGACCAGGACCTTGTCGCGAGGGGGATCCGCTCCCCTGCTAAGCCCTGCGAGCTGCTGCTGCTACTAATAAGCGCGACACTTTTTTTTTTTTTGGCGGGGGAATTCGCCTTTGTTTCGTTCCGTGCGTTCCAGGGGGGTTCCCGGCTTGAGCGTCTGGTTCCGTTTCTTGGTACTACAGTATCTATCAGTTCTGGAGATGCGCGGTTTCATGGCGTCAAGGAAGAGTAACGAGCTGGAAATAACGACTACGACTGTAATTTTCCATCGACTTAGATACAAACAGGGAAACAATCGACTGGGCTGAAGCCACTCAGCAGTCTATTCCCGAATTCCATTTCATTGTTCCGCCGGGGAAGCCTGGTCCGAGATCCGGATGACCGCCACTCATCAGCATTGAAGCCAAGCTGAACTGGTAGATACTCGAGACAGACGAGATATCCTTCCCCTACCTCATGAGTACCTACAGAATCAGGTGATTTCAATAAAAAAAAATGAAAAAAAAAAAAAAAATAAATAAATAAAAAAACAATCGCCGGAACTGATAGTACCGAAAAAAGTGAGCGCAGCAGTGTACACGGAAGCAATACTAGTAGTATGTTTCTTGCCGCCGCCAAGAGTCTTGGAATCTTGAAAAAAACAAGTCTGCCTCTGCCCCGTCTGTGAACACCGGTAATCTCACGCCCTCGCGTGGCACCGCGTATGAAAACTCGGCGAATCAAGGACCCAAAAAGAGCCCCCCCCCCCCCCCCCCCCCCCCCCTTTCCCTTTGGTGTTTCTCGGCTGACGAAAGGCGACTCACCGATTCGTACGACAACCAGCCAAGTATTAAACCAAGAAATACTGGCAAGATCATAGGTGCTATTATGAACCGGGAGTGAAATGAAGGAATCCTTTGGCTGCACATTCCCGGGTATTACATAGTCTCATCGCAATCTTCAGTAAAACCATCCAAGAGCCCAAAGGAAAAAGGGGAAAAAGGCTGGGATGTTGATCCGGATGTAACCAGCCGAAGAGCAGCAACAAGAAAGACAACTTCACACGCGAGGAATCCCAATACTACTATCTGGCCCACCTGGCCGTCCAGCCACATCCTACATACTACTGGACTAGACTGGATGGATGCTCTGCCTCTCTTACATGCATGGCCCCTACTATCTACTGGTTACGGATCCGCAAGGCATCATTGGAATTTGAAAAGCAACTGGAGCTCTTTGGGATCCGAGTTGCCGGCCAGGCCCCTGCTGAATCTCATCTCAGCCCAACACGAGTCTCAGATGCTCATGTCTCGAACATTGTCGACAGCGCCTCCTCGCTTGCCTCTCCTCGCTTCGAAGCCATGGCGCAAAAAAATTAAAAGAAAAAAAAAAAAAAAAAAAAGAAAGAGAAAAAGAAAAAAAATAGAAGATGAATCCAGAAACACACCCGGCATCAGCGCCATTCAGCAGAGTCATGCTCCGTCATTCGCAACTGATTCCAGAACTCTTCTCCCCCCTCCCCCCTAAATCCATCCTCCCGGATCTCGCAAACAAAGACCCAACAACATCATCATCACCACCATCATCATCATCCATCGCCAACTATGTACCTACTGAATCCAGACCCTCGTACACACACAGTACTACAACACGGAACCACTGCATCCCGCCGCTCTAAGCGCCCAAGCGGAGACCCCTGCCCGGCCTGCTCCTCGACCACCATCCAGCTTGTGATCCCGGCATGCGTTACTCTTGGGTTCCGCCGTGCTTGTAGTACTAGGACTCGGGACTACTAGCTCGCATGTCTATTTCCATGGGGGCTCTCTTTGCTCTTTTTTTAGCCCATCATGGTGTGTGTGAGTATGTGTGCCAGTTGCATACATGTATTACTAGGTAGGTATTTATGGGCTTAGCTTACAGGTACAGATGCAGCCTCGTTTTCTGTTTCTCCCCAATCATCCCGGGCTTATATATAGCTGTTGGCGAGCTTCCCACCTTTACAACAGCTGTCCGGATCTGGTCAGCTTCAATCTATATAATACTAATCCTTTCCCATCTCTCTCTCTCTCTCTCTCACCTTGTTTGTTTTCCTCTCTTCACCTAGGAGAAAACATCTTCAACTACCTCACATCAACATCCGCATCATCGTCACAAAAAAGATGCTCGCCCAGTCTCTCCTCGTGCTCGCTTCGGCGGCCCTGAGCTACGCCTCCCCCGTCACATGCCGAGCCCCCATGCCCGATCCCGTCCTGCCCTCCACCGGCGGTGGTAAGTCTCCCAACAAACCTCATCTCTCTACTAAACCAACACAATATCACACAAAACCACATCCAGAAACTAACAAAAACAACCTCCCTCCAACAGCAACTGAACTGCCCCCCGTCCCTTCAAACCTCGAGCTCAAAGTCATCGCCCTCGGCCTCGGCATCCAAAACTACTCGTGCCCTTCCGTCGGCGCCTCCTCCGCCGCCTCCACCGGCGCCCTCGCCATGTTCTACGACATCAGCGCCCTCTACCCAGACTCGGGCCCGCGCGCCCTCTCCCTCGAAAAGTTCAACCAGCTGCCCGCCTTTGCGCTCAACCACCACGCCGTGCCCCTCAACTTCAACGACTCCAGCGACGGCCGCGTCACCGCCGAAGGCCCCGGCGCTGTCCTCTCCCGGCCCTTCACCCGTGCCGCGCCGCTGGATCTCGGCGAGGAATTCGGCAAGCTGCCCTTTCTGGGACACCACTTCTTCAACACGGACGGCGCCCCGACGTTTGTTCTCGCCAGGGGCAAGTTCAACGTCGTCGCCGCCAAGAAGGCCTCCGTTCCGGCGCCGGGGAGCGCCGACCCGGGGCCTGCGGGCACCGGGGCCGTGGCCTGGCTCGCGCTCGATGCGAATCAGAACTCGCGTGGCGCGACGCTCGTGTATCGCGTTGAGACGGCCGGAGGGAATTCCCATGGCTGCTCCAAGGCTGCTGGGCAGGATAGCACGAGCTATGCTGCTCAGTACTGGTTCTATGGACCAAAGGCATAAAAATCTGCTCCAGTCTGTGTTCTTTCTTGTTTTCTGTTTTTTTTTTTTTCTTCTTTGTCTGAGCTTCTCTCTCTCTCTCGAACTCTTAATGTTCTTTGTGATTGGGGGTTTATTTTATTCCTTTAGACAGGCTTGTTGGAAAGGGGTTCATCCAACGGACTCGGTTCAGCATTCACACTTTTAAGTCATGTTTTCATGGGCACGGGGAACTGGGGTATTACAGGGGCTGTTCACAAAGGCTGGAAGGCAATTGCATGTTTGAATCATCATTTTCCTAGGTACGCATAGATCAGGTCACTTTGGCGTTTGCTGCTTTCATCAATATCAACAACGTTACTCAATACCTTTCTTCATCTTGCCATCTCCATCATAAACGTCCCCCCTAATCAAGACAAGATCCAAAAATACACCCTATAGCATAATCAATTCACAACCCCACCGTCAAAACCCACACACCACTCAGATAACCCGTCTACTACTACTCTTCGTAAACACATTCTGTTTTCGTAACCCCCATGTCCCATCTTGCCCTCTAAAATCTCACAGCTGTCCTTCCGCGTACTATTCTTCGTAATCAACTTTGTCGTGAGGCGTTCTTTTTTTTCCCAACCTTAGCTCTTACGCATCCAGAACCCCGTAATATCTTAAAGGGTCCCCCCCCCCCCCCCCCCCCCCCCCCCCATACCAGATTCAGACAGACGACATGGGCTGATTTGCTCTTCCGGTTTGCGGGTAAGAAGAAGAATCTAGGGTGACATCTGTCTGCTGCAGTGCAGGGCGAGGGGTGTGAGCCGCCTCGTCACTTCTCACACAGGCACCAACACAACTAAAAAGACTCCAAAGAGCAAATAGAGAGGAACAAAAAAAAAAAAAAGGCATGGTTTGATATTCGGCAAATTATACTCGCATGCGCCTTGTGTAGAGTGTATTGTATACATCAGTCCCTTGTAGTAGTAGTAGTAGTCTTTTTCTTTCCCTTCCATGGCTTCATCCAATTTGACTCGCTTCTCTCGCACGATATCCAGCGCCAGCAACTTTGCAACACAGCAAAAAGTAAAAACTCCGTCTGTCTTTGTTCGATCCGCCTCTTTCGGTGCTCTTGCATGTCGTTAAATAACGCGCCGTTCAGTGCAAATGCGCAACAGACAAAACAGACCGCTCCAACCCAAGCATCTCGCGCTCCACATAGATTTACCTCCTAATGTCCATGCCCGCCTGGAGCTCCTGCTCAAGCCCGTTGGGCTGTCCCATGTACTCCTGTGGTCGCGGGTCCTCGGCCGTCCACTGGCCACCGGCTGACGGCAGCGGGACTTGAATCTGCTGGCCCGCGCCCTGGTTGCCCGACGCGGGAGCCGTGCGCACCAGCTGTCGGAAACGCAGCACCTCGTCCAGGATCATCTTTCGCATCTCGCCAACGTCTTCAACCACCTCAAAGTCAAAGTTGAACGTCGTGGGGCAGTCCGGCTCGTCGGATGCGTCGTGCCAGATGTGTAGGTACGGGTGCTCGAGCGCCTGCTCGACGCTGATGCGCTGTGACGGGTCAAAGGCGAGCATCTTGTCGAGGAGGTCGAGGGCGTCGGGGTTGGCGTCGGGGAAGAGGGCGGGGAAGGGCTTCTTGGGCATAAACGGCAGGTTGCGCACGTATTCCTGGGCGCGGGGGGACCCGATGCGGCGGAGAGTCTCTTCGTTGGGGGTTCCGAGAATGTGCAGAATCTGGTTAAGCTGGTCGACATAGTCTCGGCCCTTGAAGAAGGGGCGGCCGCCGAGGAGCTCGGCAAGGATGCAGCCAACAGACCACACGTCAACTACAAAGCGTTAGTCCTCATGAGGAAAGAATACCCTCCCTTGACAATCGCACGTACTGGCTTTGGTGTAGCTCTGGAAGCTCAGCATAATCTCGGGCGCACGGTACCATCTCGTGGCAACGTACTCCGTCATGTATCCGGCATTCTCCTCGGGGTCGACGGAGAAGCCACGGGCAAGGCCAAAGTCGCAAATCTTCAGCTCGCAGTCGGCGTTGACGAGCAGGTTGCCGGGCTTCAGGTCTCGGTGGAGGACGTTGGCGGAGTGGATGTACTTGAGGCCGCACAGGATCTGGTAGATGAAGGACTGGAAGTGGGCGTCTGTCAAGGGCTGGCCGGATCGGATAATGGCCGCCAAGTCGCACTCCATCAGCTCTGAAAGAATCGTCAGCCTCTGCGGTCCATCGAGGTGCTACCCCTATTCGCCAGGGGGAATCGGTCCTGCGCGACTCCTCGGCTCGTACTGACCTTCGTAGAGGTACGTCTCGTTGAAGTTGTCGGGTCGCGGGATGTCCATATCATAGAGGCATGTGATCTGTACGGTCCCCAAGAGTCGTCAGCGTCTTGGCCATCAATGCAGCAGAGTCCTCTTGTCAACTCACGTTGCGGTGGCCGCGGAAGTGCTGCAGCAGCTTGATCTCGCGCAGGGCGCGCTTGGCGAGAATCTTCTTGCTGAAGACATTGGTGACCTTTTTGATGGCGACGCCCTCGTTGGTCTGGTTGTTGACTGCCGCGCTGTGGCCGGGAGCTGGCCGTTAGCAGGTGAAGCCCGTGATGGTTCGTTCGCTCGGCATCGTGGCGGCGGGGAGGAGTGGCAGCAAGCGGGGTGTGCAAATGTGCCCTCCCAGCTTGAAGCTATGACTCGAATAGCGCCCGGGTTGGGACTCACCAGACAATGCCGTAGGCGCCCTGGCCCAGCTCCTTGGTGACGGTGTAGCGCTCGTCCACCACAAAGTCCTGGTTGAAGACCTTGAATACCTTTCGTCCCTGGAGGTCGGCCATGGCTGCTGCGCTTGGGGGAGGGTTTGTTGCGAGTGAAGATTCGACCTGTCGTGGATTTGTTCGTGTGTGGGGGGGAGGAGAGGGGTTTATGTTGTCTGAGTCCCAGCAGGCGAGCCGCTGTGGGTTTCGGTGCTTGTAGGGGGGTCTCGGGGGGGTGCTTCAGTGCTGTGCTGGTGCTACAGGGGCTGATGCCGGCTGGCGCAAACAGCTGGAGCTGGTGAGGACGAGGGGGGAGAAGAGGCCGGACGGCTGAAACGATGGACGACAGGCTGAAGCGTCGATTGCGGTGGCACGGCGCAGGCAAAGAGCTGTGCTGGATGTGCTATGTTTCAGTGGATGAAGGATCAAGAAGGAGTGATGATGAGGCAGAGGAGAAGAAGACAGGAGCATTAAGAAGATTGTCCCGGTCCAGGACAAAGGGGCGAGGACGGGAATCATACACCATGGAGACCTTGTTGCTCTCTCGCGCGCCAGAACCACAACCTCCTACCTCTTCATCCGACCTCCCAGGCCCGTGGTTGGCTGCTCCCACAGCGCAAGGAGACGGGGCTAGCGGACGGTGGAGACGGCCGCACAAGACACAGAGCCAACGCCTCGCCTCTGCTTGGCCTCCGCTGCTGGGCTGAGCATCGCCGGCCGCAGCCAATCGCGTCTTACCCCAAGGTGTGATGGAGCGAGTCCCGGCACTCTAGCCGCGCGCAATGGGGGGGTCAAGGGATCCAGGGGACCCTTTCTTTGCCTTGGCGTTTTGTTGTCGATAAAGGCGGAGGAGGCTTCTTTGATTGTGATGCCCTTCGCTTATGAGGTGTGCTTTTAGTTGCAAAGAAGCGCTTGATATCACCATCCAGTCTGTCGGCTTACTACTCAACTCGAAGTCACTGTTAAGATTGCTTGGAAGGAGCCTGTGTCACATGCTTTTTCCGATCAATCATCTCGTCATGGAAGGCACCAGTTAGATAATCAACATCAGCCCTGGCGTCTCCTAACTTCTCACAACTACGTGATTAACGTAACACGACGGCCAGAAGAAGGCGACAGGAAGAGAATGATCTTATGCTATTGTGGTGCGTGACGTTGTATTGATCATGACATCGTCGTCTCGACAGTATGGAGGAAGCAGGCGAGCTGGGTGGGAAACGAGCCGCAACGGCTAGCAGTATGAGGAGAGAAATCCACAAAGGCACCGCAGCACCACCTTTTGGCGTCTTGAGATACAGAGGTGGCACCAAGATCTTCACTGCTCATCAAGAACAACAGAGAGGTATCAGATCCAGGAAGCAGCAGGACGCCGTGACCGAGCTACATGAGATCCTGCATACCGTATCTTTGTCCTGGTAGTTGCATTTTTTCGTAGTTCAAGAGGACATTCTGAAGGAACACCGAGAGCATTTCTTCCAGCCTAAGTACTCTGCTAAAGGGCGTATCTTGTAATGTATACTTTAACTGTTACTGCATTGTAAAGCCAAACACTGCGGGCTTCCATATGGGAAATTGATCTATCTCAATAGCGCTCAGTAGGTACGAAGAGTAGGCATCCCTCGAGACAAACCCTCCTCCACGAGCCCCTCAAGTGGTAGGTAGTTCAGGTGCACTCTGCACGAACGCTGACTGCACATCAGACGCACTTGGTGCTGATTCTCGCTGCAGAGGAGTGAGGTACCCGTATCACCCTACTCCAATCGCCTGAGAAGCTTGTATCTTGCTCAACATTCCGGAGCAGCACCTACATGTACTACATGTGAATCGCCCTATATCTCATTCTGACCGGAGAACGAGACAGCACCCACGTATTCATACCTATTTACTTTCTTCTGTTTTTTACCTCTTCTCGATCTTCTTTTCTTCTAATCCCCTCAGAGCCTCAACAACCCCCACCTCTTTCTGCATCAGCACACGAGTGACATCCTGCATCTTCCACACCATCAGATACGTTGGTCCTCCTTTTAAGAAAGCTACAAAACTTGTAAGAAATCTTCACTTGCGGTACTGAGAGGTTCTTGTTTCTTCATGCTACAGTCCTTCGAGATAACTGACACATAGTGTTTCATTCAGCATCGCTTCCATTGCGCTCGTTTTCTCGGCTCACCTCAAAGACATCTCAGCCATCTTGGAGGCCAAGAGCAAGATATCAAACAATCTTCTCTTTCACCTGGTCGCAATGAGCAGCGATAGCTATTGGATTGTTCCTCCTCAACCCCCGGGTGGTGGCACGTGGAAAGGCTGTGCTCTGCTCAAGAAGCCAGATGGAGGAGATTTCGTGCTATTTTCTCCCAATGCCGTGCACCTGAGTGCGATGCTCCAGGTGCATGACGCGCACCAAGCATCTATCGTCAGTAATGCATCTCAGTCGACCTCACAAGACAATGAGATGACTGAGTTCATGGTAATGGGACGATGCAGACATTTGTTGGATGGCTATTCGCACACGAACCCTCAAAGCTCATCAGGACAAATGGCAGAGAGCTTGAACAGGCTACATGCCGATTTGAAAGGAACAAGGTCCCGAGGGCAGAAGTTCATCACTGCAGCATACGTCGGCTTCGACTCCTGCATGCAGGGTCCTGTCTTTGCCAGGGCGGCTAAAGATGCGGCCAGCTCCAACCCCTCCAAATCGATCGCTTCGAATGAAGCAAATCAGTCAAGAGAGTCAAACGGTATCCTTGACCTGAAGGATCTGAGCTTCAGTTGTGGCTCTGCGTCCTCTTCTGGGGGACAGGGATTCATTCCACATTATGCAGTAACGTCTCGGGCCAACATGGGCGTGCTCGTGAAGCTGCTTACCGGACATTCTCTGGAGAATGTCCTCCACTATCGCATCAGCAGATACACGCGCCATGTTCGAATGCTTATCCAGGATCTGGACAGCGGAGGCCCGTTGGTACCCTTCGCCTATACTGAACCGGATGTTCGTTCCTATATGTCGCCGGGAAAAGATCTCAGGAACATCTTAGAACAGGATGAGTATTTCCCGAGCGACCATAACCTACCAATATCCCAAATAGCCTGCGATACATTGCTATTATCTCGACAAGATAACGACGGCTTGTACTCAGGATACCGCTACCAGGCCGCACTCACAGAGGCTTTGGAATACCCCGATGAACTACTCAGTATGTTGGAGGAGTTCGCCACGCTTTTCCCACATGATATACTGCCTTTGCGGACCTTGCTCCTGGGCTGCCATCTGTGGGCGGACATCACAGGACACAGGGTCCTATACCTAGAACGACTCTTTCAGAGCTGCGAAGATCAAAGTGCGGTGCCGCAGGTACCAGATGTCCCTCTCGCGGTCTGCCTAGTATACTACCCGCATTGGCTCAAGTGGACGGAGTGCATGGGCCTTTCCGAGTTTCCACATCCATTCCGCTTCATGTCACAAGCCCTCAAGTCGGATATGGACAAGGAGGCCATTGGCATTGATCCTGATAGCATTGACCAGGCCCGAGTGTACTCGCTTATTGCCAAAGCAAAGAGTCGGATTCCTCTCATGGACGCAACTCATCGAATCGAGATCATGCCTTGCTACATGCCCGGGAGCAAGATGCCGCCCATGTTTGGGCCAACGGTAGAGCTCCCCGAAAAGGTGCCACTCGCCCTCACGGGTCTACCAGATGTTCAGTACCTTGGACTGAAGAGCTACATTCGACCCGACAGCTCGAAGGACGAAAGACCATCAAGAATGCAGTCCATTCAAAGGACGTCCAAGTACACCACCGTGTCATTACCTAGGCATGTCAGGGATGACTTGTTCGCCATTCCAGGAAGGCTCTTCGAGACCTCGACAGGCCCCAACCATGTCTCCAATGACGCCCCAAACAAACGACGCATGGAGCCAGTAGGTTCAGGTAGTTCATTGACGGGACGGCCTCCCAAGAAGGCTCGTGGCCTAGATGTCACGCAGTCTGATGCATCCACGTCAAATGTCACCGCCGGAGGCATGTCAACATCATCTACTGGACACGGCTGGGAACACGTTTGCAGGGAGTATGAAAACGTATTGAATACTTGGGCCGAGGCGCAAAATGGGGTAGCACATTGGGCACACCAAGAAGGACTCCAACAGTTCAATGAACTGCCCGAAAGTCAACAGTCAGGAGAGAAACTGAGAGAAATGATTGACTTAGCCTTTGCCCAAGAAGACACAGATGCGTTGCATCTGTTAAAGGACTTTGGAATAAGGCAAGCGTCATCAAACACGTTCCCACTCGGCTATGAGTTTCTAAGCATTGATATGCCTTTGGCATTTGGGAAAATGCTTGGCTTGAGACCTCCGGCAAACCCGTCGCTCGACCTATGGAGGTCGCAGTGTCTGGAAGACGGAAGAGAAGCGCCCGACTTGTGGAGATCTTATTTCATGCTGCAGTGTCTTCAGAAAGGAGGAAGGACGTATCTCAGGGCGAAAAGTATTCGGACAGCATTGCAGAGAAGCATCGACTGCCCCGGGGAGCAGCAAGAGATACTGAGAGTTGAAGTCATCCGACTGCTCAGTGATCTTTGGAGGACGAGCCCGAATGGTTGGAGGGGCAAGTTGGAAAGGTTCATAAAGGAGCAAGATTCCTTTACGATATGCTCGACGACTGGAAATGATAGCTTGTATGAAGATGACTCCTCGGATACGGACAGTACCTGGGACGGGGAGGATACCTCGGACGAGGAGAGCACTTAAAAGCAGGGCCGTGGGCCTACAGGCGACTGAAGTAGCAAGCCATTCCTACACTTGGTTGCTATATATCCTTTATTGCAACAATCTCTGCCCTATTTTCTTCGTTCACTTTTCTTCTTCTTCGCTTTCAGCCTCACCTTGGCCCCCCTTGACTTGATCAGCGGAGGAAAAGATGGCTTGTGCCGCAGGCATTCGCCTGATGCTCTGATTCCCTGTGCATCCAGTCCAAGGGGGGGCTATATAAGATCGCGCAATTGCTTTTTCCCTTTTCCTTTTCTTCAGATTCAGTCAACTTAGCTTCGCTACTTCAAAGGCATTCTAGATGCTCCTTTCCTTTCTTTGTGTGACCTTATCCCCAAAATGTATCAGTCACTTTACACGTGAAATGTCCTGTCATCGGATTCCAGCCACTCCCGGACCCGCATCCCGTGCCGGCACATCGCCAGCGGACAAGGGCTAATCGCAGCTCGGACCCCAATGAACAAAGAGAGTGGTTAGCCAGCACCCCAACATGGACATCCAACCTCCAAGTGAACCCCCTGTATTCCTCTACCATGGCTATTACACGTAGGTACCTACTTAGATAGAGGAAGTCATTGCTACTTCTTTCACAATTGGTATGCATATCTAATCTATAATAACTTCTGAAATGTGATAAATCAGGTACCTGCTACTATTGCAATATATGTCCATCCTTATTACATGTAAGGTTTTTTCATTCTACCATATGTTAATGCATCTACCTATTGAGCTGGATCGTCACGTTAGGGTGCTGGTTAGCCACTCCCAAGTAAATCGTCAATCCGTCTTCAGCCCTCTGCTAATTAGGTAGGCATTACAAAACACAGGAGAGTACAGGGAATCACGGCGTAAATCATACCGAAAACCATTGTACACGGACTAAAAGGAGGCAATCTCAGGCACAAGGGTTAATGCTCGGTAATTTCAAGCCCGCGCCTTTTCAGCTAGATGTGGGGGCATCGTCATTTCATGGCAACGGACCTGACGGAGAAGGCGATGGATGGATTCGGCTCAGGTCGTTTGTTGCTTGTCGGGTCAAGTCATCATAAGGTACCTTACATCCTTGGACTACTGCATTATTATTAAGAGGCTCGACATCTCCAACTTCCATCATCCTTCCCTTTAACAACCCCCTCGCCTGCAAACGCTCCATTTGTTTCTTCTTCTTTCATTTCTTTTTTTTTTTTTCTTTCTTACCTCTCCCAGTATCCGAGTCTCTTGTCCATCTCTCTTTTCGACTCTTTGAATCCCGCGATTCGAGCAAACAGCCAAACGACGAACAAATCAGCGCCCATGTTTCCCGTGCGACCAAACCGGACAGCGTCCTTTGCCGCCCAACAGAAAGCCAACAAGCGACACAGCAGCATGCCCAGCATGACAAGACTACCCGGCCAGCCCGTCAACGTGCTCTTCGTGTGCCTGGGCAACATTTGCCGGTCGACAATGGCCGAGGGCATCTTTCGGCACTTGGCGCAGCAGCCGGAGTACAAGGACAAGATTGGCGAGATTGACTCCTGCGGGACGGGTGAGTAGACGCAGAAAAAAAAAAAAAAAAAAAGGATGGCACAGATGCGATTGGGAATGGGATGGAGACGCTGACGATGAGAAACGATGTATGTAGCGGCGTATCATGCCGGAGATCCGCCTGATTCGCGAACGATGGAGACGCTCGAGAAGCATGACATTTTCGACTACGACCATGATGCGCGACGGGTGAGTTTGCTCCTTGTCTCGATTCGCAGCCCAAAACCCCCCCTCCCCGCGCGTCAAAGGCGTCATCCACCGGAATATGAAAACTGACGGTGATGATTTTTTTGCATAACAGATCACCAGAAGCGACTTTGAAAAGTTCGACTACATCTTCGCCATGGACCTCTCCAACCTGTCCGACCTCGAGCGCCTCAAGCGCGAGAACAAGGACTCCAAGGCAAAGGTGATGCTGTTTGGCGAATACAGCGGCACCAAGAAGCCGGAGGTGGTGGCCGACCCCTATTACGGCGGCCAGGACGGCTTCGACAAGGCGTTTGAGCAGTGCTCTCGCTTTGCCAAGAACTTTTTGCAAGAGCTGGTCAACGAACAGGGGCCGGCCAAGAAAGATGAGTAAAGAAGAAGAAGAAAAGAGAACAATAGGGGGCGTCGGTCAGCGGCAAAGATTACGATTTTCCTTCCTTCCTTTTTTTTTTCTGCAAGGTCTTATTTTGATGATATATCGGAGTAGATGGGAACCAGGGGCGGGATTTGATACCCTAACACTCACACACACACACACACGCATTCTTTTTGTTTGTCCTTGCCCTTTGTTGTGGGCTTGCGAGATGCGAGATGCAAGATAACATGCAGAGTTATATGCCTAGATCGTGGTCTAGAGTATAGAGCAATTCTTCGGGGATATAGGCATGGAAAGATAGCATGGCTTTTACTGGAATATAGAATGATTTGGCAGAGCAACAACATTAAACGGGTCTCCTCTACTCTTCTCGGAATATGTGCTGGAGAACAATAAGCAGGCAGTCACTGGCATAGTTGATCAGCTGGGTAGGCATGAGAAGACGTTGGACCCAACAGCCGCCACAAATGGACATGTCGTGTAACCAGCGATACCTATTGTAAGTCATCCCACCTTCACATGCTCTTCTAATACTGGGGGAAGAATAATAGCCCGTATCTAGTCTAAGCTCCTGTCGGACGCCTCGTCGAAACGACATCTATCCACGGCGTTTGTGTCGTATTGAGGAGAGGGGATGGGCAAGTTGCATAGGTATGAAGAAGAATGAAAAGTCAAGTCCAATCCTTCATTAAAGAAGGCGAAATGGACAGAATTGGAGCCAGAGGCATATTGAATCCATATGTACCGTGGTTGGGATAATCTCCAATCAACGACATCACTACCCCAACAGTCCGGCAACCGCCAAACCTTCTGTTGGATGATCTCCCGCTTGACAATCGGATGGATTGCCCAGATCGCCAGCCTACCTTAGCACGAGCCAGTCTGTGCTACTTCAACTGAATCCAGACTCTGTGTAGACAAATTCTAGGCACAAGGTGTAGCTGTTCAAGAGATGTTCACCTCACCACATACACCATCAAGGTACAATTTAACGATTTTGTATTGCTATTCTGAGTCTCGACTCAATTGCAAGAGAGGGGATGTCACACGTTTTCCCTACTGCGTGACCTTTTTCCTTGTCCGCATAGTTTCCTCCGCAACACCGACAACAGCACTTCAAACTCCCCGTTGGCCAATCCCGCGGCCCTCACGATGCCCATATAAAAATGATATATAACGCCTTTTTGAAAAGCAACAACACAGCGCCTTGCTAAGGGAGAAAAGAAAAAAGAGAAAAAAAAAAGAGTGGTAATATACATGTAGGGGGTACAAAGTCCGTCATCATGAGGGCTGGTTTTCGCGTGTGTAGGCGATATCCGCTCCCCATTCCGGCGGGTTCATTCAAAGTTCGTTTCGCCCAGGTATTTGTTTCGGTTTTTTCTTCGTCTGTTGGTACACGTTTTGATGTTGTTACATGGCGGCAGCCTGTCTCTGGCGCTCCTGGCGGAGCTTCTCCATGACGCCAATGACGCCGCCGTTGCGCAGCCGCTCGAGGACAAGCCGCATGCCGTCGCGGCTCTTGCTGAGCTGGTCAATGGTCTTGGTGGAGGCGAGGCTCTCGATGCTGCGCTGGATGCCCTTTGCGCCGAGCCCGCCGAGGAAGCCGGGCAGCCAGCCGCTGCTCTCCTGGGCCTGGCCAATCTTGCCCCTGATCTTCTCGCCGAGCCGCGACTTGAACATGACGCTCGAGTTGACGTCGGTCTCGTTCCGGGCCACGGCCTCGGGGGAGCTGGGGACTTTAAAGTGCTGCTTCTCCACGACGGAGAGCACGCCGGTGAAGTTGAGGTTGCGGCTCTCCGTCTTCATCCAGCCCTCCTTGATGTCCACGACGCTGGTCTCGAGAATGTACGAGGCCTTCTCGCCCGAGTTGCCGCCCGAGACGCTGGCAGGCAGCAGCTTGTAGACTGCGCTGGGCATGCGGCTCTTCTTGAGGTGGATCCGCGTCGTGTAGAGGCGCTGCGTCTCCGGGTCGACATGGCTGGAGATGGTGTCGGTGCTGAGGACGTGGGCGGCGAAGGGGTTGAGCTGAGGGGAGGAGTAGCGCAGGAAGTAGGCGAGGGTGACGGTCGGGAAGGGGTGCGAGTAGGTGTGGTTGGTGGAGTGCGTGAGGACCATTGTGGATGTTGGTGTTGGTGTTGTTGATGTGATTGTTGCAACAAGTGGCAGCTGTTGCAATTGGAATGGCAATGACAAGAGAACAAGTCGTCGGTGTCGAATGGCTGCGAATCCAGAGGCTCAGCGGTGCGGAACGTCAGATTGATGCTTCAAGATAGAATATCAAAGGCTGTTTTTTTTTTCTTCTGTCGGCTCTCCCTGGGGTCCGTCGAAAGTGCCTGCTAAGCCGGCATCCGCATGATCCGAGCAAGTCCGCAAAGGAGGCAATCGTTGATACACGGAAGAAGAAGAAGAAGAAGCAGGAGAAGCACACAATCAAAAGTGCGGCGACAGAAGGGGCGGTAAAAGAAAACAAGGCGATGCAAGGCCTCTGGCGACGAGGGAGATGAAATCGACTGACGGCAACGGGCAGTGGCACGAGCATCGACTTTTTTGCCGGATCTGGGCCTTGGGAAAAGCAGGCGGGCGGCGGGGCTGGTGATTGGCCACTGGTGAGGGGAAAAGCGCTGCATGGCCTTGAATCCGGGGTTGCAGCTGCACGTGACCGGCCAGCCGTCGACGTGAGCTTGAGCTCGACTCAACTGCTTGCTATTACCTAGCATTATTAGGTACCTTACCCCACCAACAGACAATACTACGACACACGACAACAGCCTTGTCGTGGTTCTGTCTGTGGCTTTACATATGATGATGACGAGTCGCATTCGGCACACACACACACACACACACACACACACACACACAGGCGTCGGGTAATGTGGCAAAGAGCCAATGGGCAGCTGTCTCGATTGATTAAACGGCCAATCACAGACTACCTAGGCCATCCACGCTGCAGCAGCCTGTTTGCTACCTACTAACGTACCCATACCATGTCGGATGCTACGCCAGTGTCTTCCCTTGCCTCCATCGTCAACGGACAACTCACACCACACCATCCAACACCGTCTCGTTTATATGCGCCATCTCGTACATACTAGTGCAAGCATCATTCCATATTAATAAAAAACCAAAAGGACCCCAAACAGCATATACTCCGTAGGATATACGTCGGCGACTTTTATCATGTCCCATGTCCGACTTCCCCAGAAAAACCCCCCCACGTCAGCGACTCCCAGCATCAGGTTACATCAAAAACTCTTCGCCCGCAAAGTGTCTCAGAACCACCCAGCCCTCGTCAAACGTCTTCTTCTCATACCGCACAATGATGGCCGCGTGCGTGTGCCGATCGTTCTGGATCCAGACCGGATACTTCCTCCACTTGAGCGAATTCAGCGACCGGATCATCTCAAACTGGCACGGCGCCAGGGCCAGCGTTGGCTGTGTCGGGATCGAGAGCCGCCGCTCCCGAGCCATTGTGCTTCTGTCCTCGGCGTTCATGCCCGTCTCTTCATCCTCGTCCTCGTCCGCCAGGTACTCCTGGTTCTGCGAGCTGTTCAGCGCCTCGTAGGCGTGCTCGACCTCTTCGCGAAGCTCCTTGATCAGGATCGGCACGCGGTACTCGGCAACATTGATGCCTGCCATGCCACCCTCATGCAGCCTGATGCGCTTCGTGCTCCGTATCGTTTGAAAAACGGAGTTGATAAGGTAGGCCACCACGCCGATGGGCACCAAGACCGAGACCGTAATCATAAACGGGATGCCCCTCATCCACCGGATGCCCGTTTCGGTAAGCGACGACAACGTGACTGGTGCGGGAATCTTGGGCCGGGGAGAAAAAGGGTGCGCCGCGTCTAATATGACGCCTTCTACATCCTGTTTCAGATAGTTGACCTTGATCCGATCAATGTCTCTGAATGGGTCCGTCTTTTCTATGCAAGTCGTGTAGTAAACGGCGCTTCGGTCATTGACGATGTTGCTGTATAACGTATGCCTCTTGAACTTTTGCAGCCCCAGCATAAAGATGGACTGGGGATCGGCCATGACGGACAGCAGTGGCCGGCCGGTGTCGCGAAACTTGTCGATGATGAACAGCTGGCTGCCCGACATGGACAGCGTCCTCGCGCCTAAAACGTTCCACATGTGGTTATGCCATCCCTTCAGGGGAGTCCGTACGCCGAGATGCGGCGTAGCAAAGGTTGCAAAGTTCTGCCCTCGCGCCATCAGCCACTGATCATCTTTTTTTGTTTTTTTACGTCGGCCAGGAGTTGCAGCTCGTGCTTACCACGCACTCGAGCGAGTCCAGGATGCCCTTTGCGTACAGCAGACCGACCGCGTACCGCGACACCAGGCCGCCGAGGGAGTAGCCCACGACGCTCAGCTTCTTGATCTTGCCGCCGTTGTTCTCAATCATCCGCAGCTCCTCAATGATCTCGGCGCAGACGCGCTCGCCGCCCAGCTCGATGCCGTCATAGGTGAAGCTGCCGCTGTTGCGCTTGGCCAGGAGGAGGTACAGTTCGTCGGGCGAATGCTGGGCTCGTAGCGTCTTTGCGATGTTGTTCATGTGGTTGGGGTTTCCCCATAGCTTTGTCACCACCCGTCAAGTCAGCTCAATGACGCGCGCAACACAGGACGTCTTAAAAGTATCGACTCACTCCGTGCACCAGGACGCAGAGGTGGTCCGCCTTGCTGCTCCCGCCGGCAAAGTCCATTCTGAAAGCCCTGCCTAGGAGTCGCGATCCGGCCAGGCGAGCAGACATTGGCTGCGGGAGAGGCAAAATCGAGACTCGTCGGCGAAAGGGGGGGGGCGGCGGCGCAGGCAGCGGAGCGTCCTTTATCAGGTCTGGCACCTGTTACCTACATGGGAGAGGCGCATTACGTAGGTAGGTTGGGAAAAATGGATCGCGGAGATGGTCCACGTCCTTTTTTCTGTTGGTGTTGGGCGGCCCCCGATTGAGTAAAAAGCGTAATCTACAGCCAATGCAATGTCCGCACAGAAGGCGGGCCGTGGGTGCCGGAGGGTGCTAATACTAGGTGATGGGCTGATGGTGAAAGTCCGCCTGAGCAAACTGTAAGAGACGCTGCTAGAAGGATTGCTATGATGGAGGTCTATTGTGCTTATCAGGAGGCTGTAGCAGGTGGTATGACTGAGGTGTATATTGCGCGGATTGCGTGGATTTTGACTGCTTGTGGTACGACACGCGGATAAGGCTCGACACCAAGCTGGGTCTGCCTGAAATTCTGTCCATAGGCAGGTAAGATTAGCTACGTCTTGCAAGGCGTTTAATGTTATCGCAAGCTTTGAAGCAGGCGACTTGCCCTACAATGGTCCAAACATGTTTTGCTTCAAGTCAAACGGTCGTGATGAGTTGGTGACAGCAGAGAAAAGCTGTCTTAGGCACATCACAAGCGAACACATCAATTCCATGCACGCGGCCGTTGAGAAGAAGCCCGCAGACATTGATGTGACGATGAGTTTAGCTTGATTTCCAGCCGACATGTTAATCAAGGATTTACCGCTTACCAGCCACTTGTTACAGCAAATATGAACAATATCTGTCATGTCAATGAGCGCTTCAGATAATTATGCTTGTAATAGTACTGTAGCCTTTGCATGCGTAGTACCCGACCATGAATAAATACCTAGGTAGGTACCTAGTAACCTATCGTGATGGGGCTCTTCAGCGGTCTTCACTGCTTCATCCATCAATGTCACCTCAGGTTCGGGCTCCATCTGCCGCCCCATCCCGGCCGTTTAGCGCCCTCAGTGGCTCCCTGGACGCCTGTGGCTCGGCAGCCTCACGCCTAAACACCGGCCGCAGCGACCCCCTGACACGCCCCTGCAGCGCTGGCAAGGCTCCAGCAATCCAACATATCGCGGGTGCCTCGTGTCGGGTATCCAGCCATTTGATGCCTCCAGTCACCAAAAACAACCCAAACCCCCAAACTCAGCTCCGTCAAACAAACATCAATCCTTTACTCAACCCATCACTTGACCACTTACTTTCAGCAACAGCGAGCACACCATTACGCAAATAGCAATTCCCCATGGCTTATGCCTAGTCCGACCACAGCACATCACTTTCGCCTGCCTCTCGCCTCTCACCATCTCACGAGGCTCTCGCCTCACGCAAGCTCGTCATGAGCCTCTCCCTCAAGCACATTCCCTGCCCGGCAGGCAACAGATGCACCGCTTTTCAGTGCATCTTCGGGCATGAAAAGGACAAGAACAAAGTCGATGAAGGCAGCATTGGCGACTCGGCAAACGATGGTGGACGGCCCTCGCAAGCAGATCAGCCTCGCCCAAGCAAGCGCCTCAAGGTCGACGCAAGCGATCCTCCTCCATCGCAAACGCAACCTGGTGTAGCCTCAGTGAAGCAATCCGAAGAACCAAAGAAGCAAGCTGCAATGTTGCAGAGCGCCACGCGCCCAATCTCTCCGCCTCCGCTGAGGAGAAAGTCTACGGCGTCAGATCCCGCAAACGCAAGCAGCACAGCGTCTTCCTCAGCCATAAAGAGCCAGCAGCCGGCCGCGAAGCCCAGCAATCCTGCTTCTTCCTCCAAGGCAGCTGCACCATCGAAGCCAAAGAAGGCTGAGTCGCTCAATCCCCGACTGCTCAAGAGCTCACCAGCCAGCCATGAGATCCGACTGAAGCTCCTTAGGCTTGTCCACCAGGAGTTTAAGCGCCTCAACGACGAACTGAAAAAGACTGCCAAGGACCAAGAGAAGAAGCTCCTCTTATCCGACCAGGATCTCATCACTCGAGCCCTGGATGAGGAACAAGCATGTGCCATTGAAAAGCCGGCTGTGTACTCCAATGTAATGAAGAACAAGGTCATGCAATATAAGCGCATGACCACGGCTCAGTGGAGAGAAAGCAGGACCAAAGAGACACAGGAAGCTCAACAGAAGCTTCGGAAGGACGACATGTCCGACGGAGAGCCCAGAAAGATTGAGACTGGCCTCACCCATGCGCAGGAGGTGCAGTTGTTGAAGCGAATACTCACACCGCTCGACGACCTGGTCAACCATGGCTATGTCCCTGCCGTTCCGACCCCAGAACAGATCCAGTCAGCCAAAGATGGGCTAGAAGCCTCAAAGGGATGGGAAAAGTGCGACCGCTGCCAGCAGCGATTCCAAGTCTTCCCCGGGCGCAGAGAGGAGGACGGCGCCCTCACGACGGGAGGACCATGCAAGTTCCACTGGGGCAAGACGTACGTCCCGGACAAGTTGCCCGGAGACAAAACAAGGGTGCCCAAGCGATACCATTGCTGCGGCCAGGAAGTGGGTGAATCGGCCGGCTGCTTCACCCACGACCACCACGTGTTCAAGGCGACAGATGCCAAACGCCTGGCGGCTGTTCTCAACTTTGCAGAGACGCCCGAGAACCCTCTGGCTCCGACCGATAGAGCGGTCTGCTTCGACTGCGAAATGTGCTACACCGTGTACGGACTCGAACTGGTACGCCTGACTGCGACCTCATGGCCTACAGGAGAGGACTTGCTGGACGTCCTGGTTCAGCCACTGGGCGAGATCCTGGATCTCAACTCTCGCTTTTCCGGCGTCTGGCCCGAAGACCTCGCGTCAGCCGAGCCCTGGTCCGTCCACGACGATCTCACGCCCTCTAAGCAAGGCGACGAGGGGAGCGAAGACGGCGAGCTGAAGCCTAAGAAGAAGAAGAAGCTCAAGATCGTATCCTCCCCCGAGGTCGCCCGCGACCTCCTCTTCTCGCTGATATCGCCGTCCACCCCGCTCATCGGCCACGGCCTGGAAAACGACCTCAACGCCGTCCGCATCGTGCACCCGACCGTGGTCGACTCCGTCCTGCTGTACCCGCACAAGATGGGCCTGCCGTACCGCTTCGGCCTGAAGCGGCTCATGAGCGTGCACATGAACCGCAAGATCCAGCAGGACACGGGGCCCAAGATGCTGGGCCACGACTCTGGGGAGGATGCGAGGGCGGCGGGGGAGCTGGTCCGGTTGAGGGTCATGGATGTGTGGAACGACATGAAGAGGAAGGGCTGGCGGGTGGTGGAGGGCGAGATTACGCCTCCTGAGGGCGAGAAGGGGGGCTTGACGGAGGCCTTCATCGAGAGCGGTCATTGAGAGTCATGGGATGAAGTTGTATACCTCTACCTTGAACTTGGCTGTCGGTGGCATCGGATATTCTGTTTCCATGTTTACGCAGGCTTTGGGTTTACGTAGCTCAAGAAAAGTCTTGCCGAGGCAAGCTTTACAATTACCTACACGCATCAAGCCGTAGGAGAGCATATTGCTTTATTTTCTCTCTTCTTGCGAGGCTTCTTTGGCCCCTTTTAGCTAAAAGTACAATATTGTCGTCGTGATTGGGATTTTCCCTTCTTCCCGTATCCCAGCAATGAGCGGGGTGTTCTTGCATCATTATCCTTCCATTACTCTCCCACAATCTCATCCTCACTTTAGACCCTTCCCACAGACAGCAGATACTGGCTGCCGCCACCTCCCTTGCCCCCCGAAGGCAGATACGCCACGTTGGGGTTCGCCGACAACGCCTGCGCGATCTCGCGGCTGGCCTCGATCTTCCTGATCTGGACGAGCCCGTCGCCGGCCTTTGCAATGGCCTTGCTGATCGTCTCGGCGCTCTCGGCCTCGCCCTCGGCGCGGATGACGCTGGCCTGGCGCTCCTGCTCGGCCTTTTCGACAATGAAGCGCGCGCGCTCGGCGTCCTGCTGGGCAATCTGCTTCTGCTCGACGGCCTTTGTGAACTCGCGGCCAAACGTCATGTGCGTGATGGAGACGTCCTCGAGGGCAATGTTGAACTCGGCGGCGCGACGCGTCAGGTCGCTGCGGATGCGCTGGGAGACGGCCTCGCGCTGGGTGATGAGCTCGGCGGCGTCGAATTGGGCGACGATGGCCTTGAGGACTTCGTTGCCGATGGAGGGGAGGACTCTTTCGTCATAGTCTGCGCCGAGATTCTGCGTGTACCGTTAGCACACAGAGGAACCTCCAAGCTGTTGATAATGAAGATTCAGGAGACTAAAGGTATACCTGGTAAATCTTTGGCAGGGCCTTGACGTCCGGCCGGTGCAGGACTCGCAGCGTCAGGCTGACCATCTGGAGATCCTTGCTGCCGGTCGTCGTGGCAATGTTCCGGGGCTTGGTGCGCACGTCAAAGATGATGCTGCGTTGCAGCCAGGGGACGAGGAAGTGCGTGCCCTCGTTGACAACGTCCTCCTTGACTCCGGACAGCCTGTCGAAGATGACGGCCCTCGTGCCGCCGCGGACGTCGTAGATGGACTGTGAGAGGAGGAATGCGCCGGCCGAGGCCGGGATGGCCATGCGGTACATGAGGTTGAGCGTCCGCGCGAATGCCGCCATGGTTGGATTGATTTCTCTCTCGTAGGTACTGTCACTTGGAGCTTTTCCTGCGAGACCGAGGCCGCGGCTGTTTTTCTACGGGTGGAAGAAGACGGCCTGTTTGCGATAAGCTGTTGCTGGATGATGAAGCTCGACCTGCCTGTAATAACTTCGAGCCTTGTCCCGCACTTGCCAGAAGGTTGCTCTGATTTTCCGGAAGGCGCGCTAGGCCTCTTCGGGCAAGCTCGGCAGGACCCGCGAAGATGCACTCTCTGCCTTTTCACCAATCCCGACTCATTCCACCTCTTCTTCCCTCTCTCTCTCTCGCGGCCCTTCAAGAATCGGAAATCGCAACACCTCGACGAGATCCTTGTTACATCAGACACCATGAGACCTACTCAGGCGCTTCAGGGCGGCGGTGCCCCCAACCCCAAGATCGGCCAGTAGGTTGCGCTCTTGCTCCCGGGCAGACGGAAATCGTACCATTGAGATTGCGGCTTTTCCACGGATTGCGAAGGTCGAGCTCGATAGGGATGATGCGGCGGTCTGCGAGATGATGGCAAAGGAATTGAGGATGATGCTAACTTGCTGTTTCTTCCGCATAGGTGGCTCGGTGACTGGGGCCATTTCGGTGAGTTTGCTCCAATTCTCGATCGATTACGATGAACGACCCGCGAAAGAGACGGATGGCAACGGGACGATGGCGCACGACGGACTACAACATGTGGATGGATCGTCTAGAGAGAAACAGAAGCAATTTGTGAAAAACAAGCAGAAGAAGAAAAAGAAGAAGCGCATGTGGCAAGGAACAGCAATTGGTCGAGGCATTACGATCAAGGGCCCTCGGAGGAATTACGACATCGAAGGACATTGGAGGAAGGAATCGACTCGCTTGCTAACCCATGATACGCAGGTGGTGCCAAGCAGAAGGGCGTCGTCACCTTCGGACTCTCCGCCAACCGACAGAACCCCTTTGCCGGTGCCGCTCACGATGCCATCTTCAACACCTTCCGCCGCACCAAGTCTCAGATCTTCTACTGGCTGCCCCCTATGCTGGCCGGTTACTACCTGCTGAGCTGGGCCACCGAGAGGTATGATGGATCGTACACTACGGGGAATCTTGGCTGGGCGTAATGCTAATACGGCATGATAGGAACCACTACCTCAACTCCAAGGCTGGCCGTGCTGAGTTTGCCGACGAGGAGGAGTAAAATGGTGCTTGGCTTTGTTGGAAAATGAATGTCCGGGGGACAGTGTATATCAGCGTCTAGACTGGAGAAGCAGAACGGTTGACTCCATGATCTGGCTTCTCTCATTGCTCCAGACTCGATTGAGTAGTCGATGAATGACCATGGTTGACCGAGCGTTTACAAGACATCACTTGAGAAGAAATACATACTCTCTATCTGCCCAAATCTTCGTCTCTGAGATATACGAGCTATTCCTCACGAAGATTGTCTCTACTTGTTTTCCCTAACCATGGCACTCACGAGCCAATCTTCCATTCGGTCATCCAATTCGCAGCCATCATGATAGGCCAATTGAGTATCACGTGACTGAACTTTTACCGGAGAAGAAATGCTCGGCGTCGGCAGTACAAAGCGCCGAAGACGTTAAAGCGGGCCCCTTCACCGAGAAAAATAAATCAGTTTATCAGGAAATTTTTTTGAAGCGCCTCAACCGTGGGAGGACGACGGACAGATCAAAACCCGCGGCCAAGTTGCGCAAGTCGTCCAATTGGTGCATCGAACGCATTTTGAAGTCCGTCTGCATGATTAAAGTATTTATATTACTTTAATATTCCTTCAACGACTCTTTTGTACCCCTTAATTCCTTCATTCTTATCATTTCAATCTCTTACCACTTCCACAGCTCGTCGCATGAAGCACACACACACACACACACAATAGCAGCAGCAGCCATGGCCTCCGAACGCCCCGAAAAGAAGGACAAGAAGGAGAAGAAGGAGAAGCGAAGCGACGACGCCGGCGTGGCCAAGTCCAAGAAGGACAAGAAGGAAAAGAAGGACAAGAAGGACAAGCTCGCCTCGGCGCTGGACGAGAAGCTCCAGCAGGACGTTGCCGCGCAGACCTCTGCAAAGGCCTCGGAGGAGGCGTCCGACATGGACGAGGACAACAAGCCGCAAGCCGAGCAGCTTCCCCTCGAGCGCAAGGTGGTGCCGTTTGCGGTGCCGCTGGCGGATGAGAAGGGCCAGAAGAAGATTTGCAAGACCATCCGAAAGGGTACGCCACCACTCTCGCACTCTCCCCCCCTTTGCTTCTTTTTTCCTTTTTTTTTTGTCTTTCTTTTCATGACTTCAATCCTCTTTTGCCACTCGTCTGTTTGGCTACATCTTTTCTTGTTGGGCAGCCCTTTACTAACGTAGTATTTGTGTGAATTTAGCTGCCAAGAACGGAACCCTCAAGCGCGGCGTCAAGGAAGTCGTCAAGACGCTCCGAAAGTCTCCCCCCAGCGCCCCCGGCTACACCTCGTTCCCCGGCGTCGTCGTCATCGCCGGCGACATCTCCCCCATGGACGTCATCTCCCACCTGCCCGTGCTGTGCGAGGACCACAACGTGCCCTTCATCTTCGTCACGTCGCGCGCCGAGCTGGGCGCCGCGGCCAAGACCAAGCGGCCCACCAGCGTCGTCATGATCATGGAGAAGGCCGAGGGCAAGAAGAAGCCTGCCGCCGCCGCCAAGAAGGAGGCCGACGACGAGGAGGACAGCGGCGAGGCGTACAGCGAGAGCTACGCTTCGCTGGTCAAGCTTGTGCAGAAGGAGGCTGGCAAGCAGGCGTTTTGGACAAAGGGTGAATCGAAGGCGTGAAAGAAGAAAAAAGGGGGAAAAGGCCAAGTTGTGGGATTTGACCAGTGTTGGGAGGTTCGACATGTTTGGGTGAATGGGGGTGGTGGTGTGATGCAAAGTAATCTGGGTGTATATTAACCATACCAGAGGGATTGTCTTGCAGCAAGACTGCTGGGGCAACGGCGGCGTTCGGGTATATAAAGTACTGCATTGATCAATGGACTCATTTCGTTTCTTACACACTGGTTGGTTCCTTCAAGTTTATGCCACAATTGCACGAGGAGACATTTCAAGTGTTCCAAACTGAATTGACTACTAGGTTGATGTTATACACAATTCACCATCGGGGACGCGATGGCGTGACATGATCATGAGTTTCCATTAACTCCTCCCGAAACCAGCCTCAGGAAAAGACTTCATCACAGAAAAACTATGCGCATTTACGCAAAGGGGTTGGTCCTGGTTCCCCACCAGTTGAGAACCAAGGACAGGCCAACAGTCTCTAGCAGCTTGGCAGCGATGTTGACGCCGACGGTGTCCAGGGGCCGCTTCTCGCTGAAGATCTGGGTGAGGAACTATAGGCGGCATCAGCACCATTGGGCTTTTTGAGAGCATCGATGGGAGAAAAAAAAGGGAAAACATACCGTAGGAGCAGAGGTGGCGGCAAAGATCAGAGCACCCAGGTACGCAGCGCCCTTGTGGCTGAGGGTGCCGGTGGCGTTGAGCAGAGCACCGACGCCGTAGCTCTGCAGGGCAGAGCCGACGAAAGAGGTGCCCCAGGCGATGGCGGCGCCGCTGGCCTCGCGGGAGCGGATGAACTCCTCCTTGGTGTTGGAGGCCTTTGCGCGGTGGTACGTCTGGCCGAAGACGGGGGCGAGGACGACGAGGTCGACGCCGTGGTTGAAGAAGGTGCCGAGGGCGATGGCCGAGGGCTTAACCGCGGGGAAGTCTGTGGAAGGATCTGATTCAGTATGGCGAGTAATGATTCGTTTGGTGTGTGAAGTGAGGCTGGTGATGGTTCATGGCAACTGGGAGCAGGAGGAGGAGGAGGAGGAGGAGGTGGTGGTGGTGGTTGTTGAGTGGCGAATGGGAGAGACGAGGAGGTGAAGCCGTGATGGCGAGGGTAGATGAGAGAGTCACGACTCACATTGAAGAGACATTGTGATGGATGCTGTTTGATGTGATGCGATGCGATGGAGAGGTTGGCGAGATTGATGAAGGAGTCAAGATATCGTCGTTCAGTACAATGATGTTCGTAGCAGGTCTGCCAGTCAAAGAAGTATACTCGAAGGAAATTCCTTTAACCAGCAGCACCTTCCAAGCTATTTGTACTCTGCTGGTGTCCCCCTTTACATCATCAAACAAGCCACACAAACGTCTCCTTCCCAGTGCACGATCGATTACGTCTTTGGCGCCCCTCACCCCGGATGCCCATTAGTAGGTATTGCAGGCCAAGGTCAAGTAGTAGTAGTAGTAGTAGTAAGGCAGCTGCTTGTTTCCGACCTGTTTGCCTGGGCATTTTCCTCCGCTTTCTGGGGCGGGTTGGTTTCAGTCCTTAGCGATTTCGTCACCGTGATGAATGATGTCACCACTACGCTCACCAAAAAGCTGGATCGTGCTACGGTTACTTGGTAGGTATGGGCGTTGGGGCTATTATTACTAGTATAGACGTCCGGATGAGGAAATTCAATTCTTCCAGCTGCTTTGCCTGGGCTGGGTGAGAAGTTGGTTTTGGGGGAGGCTCCACTGACCTATGGGCTTGATTAAGTCAATTTGACGAACTTGATCTTTGAAGTCGTCGTTTCAAGAATATCCGGATCTATCGTGGTTTTCTCAGCTGTGCTTGTACCGTACAGTACCTAGGTAGGTAGGTAACCTCACTGGCCAAACGTCATTATGTAATGATGCGGCTATTGTCGCCTTTTGCAAAGCCCTGCTTCGACAACTGCATCCGTTCGGACAAGCTCATGTCCATGTTTATGTATGTAATGCATGCGTTTCTTTTGTTCAACAACCTAGAACCTTGTCGCAAGGATTTGTCTGCAGGGCGAGATTGATCGACAAGAGCTGGCCTAGACGATCTTTCTTCTTAGTACATAGTACTTCTGTAATACTATCGTACCTTACCTCATATACACCATAACCTCGGCCAAAGCCATCCACAACGACCTTTGATCGTACCACCTAACTACCTAGACTGCACTCCATTCCCCAAGACAAGAACGACTCTGTTCTTCACTCTCCACTCTTGAAGGAGAAATGCCACAGGCTCACCGACTCCCATATAAGAAACATCATACAAAAATTCCGTCAAGTTAAACTTGGAAAAAAAAGATGTAATCCGATTCCGCCCAACAATTTTACAATCCTTGAGAGCAAAAAGTCACCCACCGCTTTACATTCCGAACTGCTCCACTGCGGGGATACATAGTACATACTACTCGCGATGGATTTGCTGCCAATTCTTCGGCTTCGCTCCAGGCGTGGGGCTGGTGCTGTGTCATTTCAGCTCTGTTGACGACATCTTTTTTTCCTAACTCCCTTGAGTGATGGGCATACCAGCTTGTTTACCTATACATTGACGAAACGTGTTATACTGACATGCACAATGTGCTAGACATGGGAAATTTTAGATATATATTCCTGGAGAAAGAAGATCAATTGGCAGTATCCGTATTGGCTCGAATAGATGCTGAGCCCCATCACCGTAAAACAACCCGCCTGCATCTCATCATGTCCATCCTCGTTCCATCATCTCCAGTCAAACACCACAAAAAGATACAAAAGCATGATGCCGCTTCTTCATTGCTTTCTCTACGAGAAACGCCCGTGTTGCTCATGCCAAGCCTCGATAAACAGGGCATGTCAAAGAAATCAAGAAATGCAAGCTAATAGAAACCCATAACGTCTCTTTTTCCTCGTAACATCCGTACAATCAGGTCGCTTTTGTTCACGTTTCAAAATCGTCGTCAAATTCAACGCACTTCCCCTGTCCACATATGAGCTGCTTTCACGCCTCACACAAATCATCTCGCCGCAACAAAGACTTGCCAGTTGATTCTTTGCCCAGTTTGCATTATGTAGTGTGTAAAAAAAGCTGAGAAAAGTAGCAGCAAGAGAAAAACGAAACGCACAAGAACAATCAGATACAAATCTTTACCCATATGATATGTGTTCCCATAACCCCTTCTATGCTTGGAGATGGCCGTACTCGCCGCTGCGTAGCCCAAGTAAAGCTCTAACGTCGTGAACGTACTGGAGACCCTCCAGCAGAGGTACCAAATGCATCAAGTCGCCGTCTGTCGGGTCGTTGATCCAGCCTTGGATCGGTATGGCGTTGTCTATTTCCCACCAGAATTAGCCAGGGCTACAACGCTCGAACACGCCGTCGACAAAACGCACCTTCATGGAACAAATAGCTCAGCGGGCTATTGTCCAGAATCATCACTTTACTCAAATCCGGCTCGACTGCGCTCAAGTCTTTAATGTACGCTCCCTGTCGATATGTGCAGTGCTGGCGATAGTATCTCGCCGAGAAAAACTTCCTCTCCGTCTCGAGCCAGTCAATCACCGGGTCGGCATACTCCTGGACCGACGCCGTGAAGATGACGAGGTTGAACCACTTGCACACCCTGCGCAGGAACTCGTCGCAGTACGGCCGCTTGTTGACCCAGTACAGGATGGGGTGCTGCGCTGCACTGCTCTGCCCGCTCATTCCCAACGACGCCGCGTTGAGCTGAACCTCAATCATGTGGCCGCTGTTCATTCGTCCTCCCTTGGACATGCTGTGGATCAGCGTCTCGTCGAGATCCAGGATGAGCGTCTTCTGCTGCTTCCTCGTCGGCTCAAGAAGATTCAGGTACGATGGCTGTCGCCGGGGAATCAGGGGTCGCGGTGGCGCGGGCGTCTTTGGGTACTTGGTCAGGGCGGCAATCGGAGAAGTGGGAGACTTGAGTTGCGCAGAGAGATCGCCCCGGCTGAGGTCGCCCTTGGCGTGAGAGGCGGTGGACTGCGACTTTCTGTGTTTCCGCTGCTCCTCGTCGTTGAGCTTGATTCGTATGGAGCGCCGCGCCGCGCCCGCCTCGTCACCGGGTTGGGCCGACTTGGAGCGAGTGTGTCGAGCTTTGGCGGCATGGCGCTCGTCTTCGGACTCGGATGATATGCCAGACGAAGAGGTGCTCGAGGAATGGAACGTATTCGACGGCACCCCTAGATGCCGCGAGTTGCGGCCCGTCTTATTCGGCCGCTCGGCAGAGCCATACAGCTTGTCCGTGCCCAAGTCTCCGCCGTGGAAGCCAAACAGCTTCTTCAGCTGCGTCATGGGCGCAAACTTGCCAAAGTCGTCGTAGAAGCAGGCCAGCAGGTAGTAGCCCGGCGCAGTCAGCGCGGCCAGCAGCCAGCGGATGCTGCTGACGAAGCTGGACGCGATCCCCCGGGGCAGCACATGCCACCACCTCGAGCGCTTCCCGTCGGGCTTGGACTCGCAGAAGAGCGGCGTCTCCTCGGTGGCAAAGGCGGCCTCGTCGTCGCGGTCGTCGTCGTCGTCGTTGTATCGCTTCTCGGCGGGGGAGCCCTCGGCGGCGGCAGCGGAGGGCTGGGCCTCGTGTCCATCCGCCTTGTCGCCGGGCACGTCGAGCGCCTTCTCGTCGTCGAGGCCGGCGGAGACGCTGTTGGATCGGGAGTGGGTGGGACTCGGCGGCGGCGACACGCGCGCGGTGATGATGTTGAGCGAGTTCATGTTGAACAGGGAGAGCAATCCATGGGGCATTGGCGGCGGCTCCGGGGACGAGAAATGAGGAAGCTCGGCAGTGCGCAGCGGCGGGATGGCGGCAGGGAGCGAAAAGGGAGCCGTCGCAGCAGCTGCCGAGGCCGTTCGATGCCGCTTCCGGCTCTCTGGGGATACGAGCTGCCAATGGCCCTGCAACGCGCTCCAGGGGGGGTTAAAATGAGCCTCCGCAGGGCGCGCGGGAAACGAGTGTCATGAGTGAGTCGATTCCAAAGGGGGGGAGGAGGAGAGAGGAGAGGTGGAGGTGAGGGAAGGAAGGCGGATAGGCGACAAGCCGGACGTCAGACGGGATGCGATGGATGACAGTAGTAGTTAAAAAAAAAAAAAAAAAAAAAATAGAGGCAGAGAAGACAGAAATGACGCTACGTGAGAGGCCACGGAAAATGGCTGGAGGTGCTAGAAGAGGCTCGAGGCGATCTTTGGGGGGGAAAGACGTGGGTTGTCTGGTGCGTACGAGTACCTAGGTAGGTAATGAAACCACCAGAAGAAGCCGTCACTTTTTGGCAGCCAACATCCACATCCACATGTCCACCTCAGTTTTTGGTCAAGCTCGACTCGGCCCAGAAGCGTTGAGGCCAGGAAATCCGCCCCAAGCAAATCGGGCCAGGTCCAGCATCATCAGTCAATGGCTAGCGCTCGGCTCAGGCAGGCCAGGTAGCATCGAATAGCGGGCCAAGGCCGCTGGGGAGGTCAGATGCCGCCCACGTTAGGGCGGCCTTTTGGGGGGGCCCTGGGGGGGGGTTGCAGGTGGTTTGCAGCGGAATCAGCAGGGCTTGTTGGGGGACGGGAGCCCTACAGGACATTTGATGGAGCGTGGTCGAATGCGCTGCTCTGCTTGGAGAGGTGATGATGGTTAGGTAGGTACAGTAGGTATGTAGAGAGGAGGAATCCGGAGCCGGGGGTTGGATGCCGAGGGTAGGTAAGTTGTCTCTTGATGTTGCAGCTGGTTGTATATGGTTCTGTGAACAGCAGTGATCGGGATAGCATCTACCTTAGGTTACCTTATATTAGAGGAATGCCTAGGTAGTTGAGGTAGTTGTACTGTCTACTTAGGTGGATGGCTGATGTCAAAATCCATCTATCGAACAGACATCCATGGACTCTTGAGCAGAAAACCCGAGGATACCAGACAGACAAATGTGTGCATTCAGATAATATCGGGGCAGACAGCCTCTCTCTCTGCTGCGCTAGGCGTGCATCATACCTACATTAGTGCACAGCGGGCTGCATTAACCTCGAATGTATGTAGTAGTAGTAGTAGTATGTATGTATGTATGTATGTATGTACGAAATTCCAGAGCCTCGCGGGTTTGAGTCACGATCTCGAGCACCTCTTTTTGCGCCCACAAACCAAGTCAGACCCAACCCAAGCCAGACCAAACCAAACCAAACCAAACCAAACCAAACCCCGCCCACCTCACCACACCCGTTCCGGATTTCTCACAGACAGAGAGACTCGAACATCAAAACTCGACAGCATCACCGTCCTTTTTTTTTTTTTTTTTTGTTCATCACCCGAGCGTCACCAGCATCGACGCAGCCGCGAGACCGTCATCGAACCAGCTCGAAAACCGCTTCTCCCAAGTCGCACAAATTTCAGGCCATAGCGCCGATCGATCGTCGCCCATACGCACCTCAACTTTTCCCCCCCCGAGCATCGGCCCTTCCAGCACCGCACAACAACGCACAAACCGCACCGTCACGAAACAGCATCCTTCGCAAGGGCATCTCCGCGCAGTCGCATACAGTCTACGATGCCCTCCGTCTCCTCCGGCCACGCGCTGGACCTGGAAAAGTTCCTCAAATCGCTCAAGGGCCAGCCATTGGAGGCTTCCATCAACAGCTTGATATCGTACGTGATGTGATTCATCAGTTCTTTTCGCAGTGCGGGGCACGATAAGATTGTCGCAACGGCGGCACAGGCTGGCCTCTCTCTATTGGCCGTGATGCGACACGGGCAGGAAAAAAAGAGGGAGGGTGGGCGACGCAGCATGCAATAGAGCACAATGTAACTGACCAGCGCTCCTCCCAACGTAACAGCCTCCTCAAGCGAAGACAGATCAAGGGATCCGAGCCCTGCGCCGTCGCCACCGCCCACATCCTCCTCCAGGTCGTCGCCCGCTCAAAATGGCACGACGTCGACAGCCTCCTGATCAACGTGTCCCGGACCGGCCGTAAGCTGGTCGACGCCCAGCCCAACGAGCTCGTCATTGGCAACATTGTGCGCCGCGTCCTGGGCCTGATCCGCGACGAGGCGTCCGAGGACCGAGGCGACGCCGGCGACGAGTCTGCGAGCGATGCGCCGACCCCGACGGACATTGTGCCGCCAGCAGCCACCAGCCAGCAGTGGGCGACAAGACGCCTCGACTCGGCCAACAGCGCAGCCCCGGCGGCGCGTCCCCCGATTGTCTCGTCCTACAGCTCCATCAACCCGCCCAAATCGCTCTTCCACCTGCTGTCGACCTCTCCGCCCGCCGACGGAGACGTGTCGCCGTTTCGAAACTCGGGAGCCTCGACGCCGACGTGGAGGGGCAACTCGAGCCAGATCCACGCGCTGCGCTCCGAGGTCATTGACGGCATCGAGGAGATCAAGGACGAGATCAGCCAGGTGGACGACCAGATCGCCGCCTCGGCAGAGGTGCAGATTCACCCGGGCGACTTGGTGCTGGTCCACCAGCCCTCGACGACGGTGGAGCGCTTCATCCTGCGCGCGGCTCAGAAGCGCAAGTTCACGGTGCTCATCGCCGTGGCGCCGCCGAGAAGACACTCTGCCGAAGGCCAGCACGCGACGTTTAGGAAGAAGCTGTCGGCCGCGGGCATCACAGTGGTCAACGTCATGAACGGCGGGCTGATGGCCTACATGTCCCGCGTCAACAAGGTCATCATCGGGGCGAGGGCGATTGTGGCCACCGGAGGGGTCGTTGCCGACGCCGGCGCGGCAGCCATTGCCCGGGCCGCCAAGGAGCAGGGCACCGCCGTGGTCGTGCTCAGCGGCGTGTACAAGCTGAGCCCGGAGAGCCCCTTTGACGAGAGCTCGCTGATTGAATGGGGCGACTCGTCGACCTTTGTGAGCTTTGCGGATGGCCCGCTGGTGAGCGGCGCGGAGATTCGAACCGCGCTCACCGAGCTGATTCAGCCCGAGCTCGTCGACACCTACATCACCAATCTGTATGTTCTATCTTATCCTATCCTGTGTCCAAAGTCTGAGGGGGACGAGCGGGTTACTGACTGTCGCAGGGGCACACATTCGCGCGACCACCTATCGAGCTTGATCTCAGACCACTACAAGCGAGAAGATGCCGACTTTCACATCTGGGAGGAGGCTGAGCCGTGATGATGATTTAACGATGTACGACTACAAGAAGAAAAAAGAGTAAAAGGGAAAATAGCCAAGAGCGCAGCATCCAGTGACTAAGCAAATGGATAGTTTGAAGAGGGAAATCAAGAATAGACTACCTAGCATCCTGGCAAGCATGAACTATAGACGAGCAGCATAGGGGTTGGTCACCGGTACAGCGTCTCATTTTGCCTCTGTGACTGATGACGCCCTTTTACAAACCGAATATCTGATTCGTACAGTAACCACGTTTCATCGATCTGAGCATCAGGTGTTGTGGTTAGTCTTGATGCTGTCAAGTGAACAATTAGTCGGTCTCATATCGTCGAGTCAACTGGTCCGTCTAGACGTCACCCCTCTCAGCGAGCCGCGTCAGCAAAGAGAGGCAACCAAATCGTTCATTGGCCACCGCCGGACAATATTCGCCTTATTTTCGCTCCCGCAGCCAAAAGGATTCAGGCTCCCCCCTCCCCTCCCAGGCCATTAACTCAACAGACAGTTACGGCTCCAAACAGGCAGCGCAACGGCAAACGTCACCGGGGCTGCGCGGCCTATTTCGCCCTGGGAACAGCCTGCAGCAGCGCTACTGTACCTACCACTTACTAGCACCTCCTGGTGCCGCTTGTCCGTGCTTGTTGGGCAGGGTACTTGTATGGATAGTAAGTAAGGTACCTAGTCACAACACACGATGGGTTGGTGTGTCGAAAACGAGGCTTGATGAGTCGACTACTAGGTAGGTAGTGTTATCCGATGTGCTTCGGCTCTCTCGTTGCGCTGGCTGCCTGAGGAGTGTGCGTATTCTCAAGTACCTAGCGTACAACACACAGGTAGGTAGCGACGGCTGAAGCTGCTCGTTGACCATTTGCTGCTGCTTTTGCCACAGTCATTCGCCTTGCAACAAGCTACAAACAAGTACGAGCCAGAGGGTCAAGTACCCGGTGTTTTCTGCCTGGAGAGCTGCTGCTTCGTTCTACCTCGACTTAAAACAGCCCACCATCGCCAGATCTGCTGGAGCATCCCTCTGTCCATAGACACACAAAGTGATATGTAGCTTCACTTCACTTCACTTTACTTCCAAGAACAGACTCTCTTCTCACTCCAGAGCACACGCAACAAAAACACCAAGACAAAGCATCGCCGCCCACAATGTCCTCCAGCAACGGCGACGACGCCAACCGCCCTCAAAGCAACAACCATCTCCACGTCCCAGGAGACGACGCCCCTCCTCCCCCCTACACAGAAACAGACCTCCTCAGCAACTCGGGCAGCTCTCGCTCGCCTCACCTCACCCCAGCCGCATCCGCATCCGCAACCCCCTCAGCAGCTACCGCCGCCACCACAGCAGCAGCAGCAGCAACTGCAGCAACAGCAACAAACTCAAACTCCTCGTACAGCTTCGTCGACGATGCCGCCTCGTCCACCGCCGGCGATACCATCTACACGCCTCCCCTCACCCCGCGCATGTCGCCGGGCAGCTCTGCGCAGCCTGCCGCCACGCTGTACTTTGAGCTGAGGCCGTCTCCCCTGAGCGAGTCGGCACGGGGGGATGTCATTGTTCATACAATCGATGTGAATGATGCTTCGAGGCCAGAGGATTTTCCATATGTGACCCGGTGGGCGGACCGCGATGTCACTGCCCTCGATTGGTCGACCTTTATCAACTTCCTCATCCCCGAGCACATGGCCAGGCAGAACGAAGCCGTCATTCACAGAAAACTGCTTGACGAGATACAGTCAGAGTCGGCCAAGACCGCCGCCAGCACAGTCCAGGCCGAAGCCCAGCTCGGCCAAATCGCCGACGCAAACACCTCTTCGCCTCATGCATCTGCCCAGCGAAGGCGTGAAGTGGAAGCCACCGTCCAGCAGTGGAACGACGGCTTCTTTGGCCCCCGAGGCATCCAAATCGTGCTCGAGCCCCCGCGGCCGTCCTCGACGCAGATGCCCGGCGGCTGGGAGGCAGACTTTGATCAGACGTCGTCTACGGCTGAGCCTGGTCCCTCGACGCGATCTCAGCAGAGGGGCGGCGGCCGTTCGGCGCCTGGGGGATGCGGTTCGTGGGGGAACTGGCAGATTGATAGCAACGGTGTTCGCTACGGCAATGGCTTCGTGGCGGATCTAAATGGCCTACGGATCGGAAACCTGGTCATGGACCATCACGGCATTCGCTATGACAACGGCGCGGCGGCACAACAACGCCCTGGCGATGCTTCTGCAGATGCCGACCGGGACTTTCGCGGACGGACTGCCTATCAATATGGCAATGAAAAGGAAGGCCAGAGACGCTCCTCGTCCGTCTCGTCCACATCCTCTTCTTCTTCTTCCTCATCCGAATCGTCCATCGGCTCGCTCCCCAGCTACGACGATGTTCCTCTCAGCTCCGCGCAGCTATACATCAACCGCCTCCAAGACTGGACCAAGAACCCAGACCAACTGCGCACCAGGGCAGACGTCAAGCAGCTCAAGACGGAGCTCAAGAGCATCCCCAAGTCGCAGGACAATTCCATCGAGATGGACAAGAAGGCTCTCAGGGCACAGATCAAGACACTGACAGCCGCGTGGCGGCAGATCAAGAAGCAGCAGAGAAAGGAACGCAGGGCTCGCAGACAAGAACGCCGCGCCAAGAGGAGGGCGGAGAGGAAGGAAAAGAGGCAGCTCAAGAGGGAGATGAAAAGGGCTCGCCGAGATGCCCGGAGAGGCAACAACACGACTCCTGTGCCCCCTTTTCCTCCAGGTGCCCCTCCCGTTCCGCCTCATCATCCTGGACATGCGGCGCCTCATGCCCCGCCGGTGCCTCCAGGGCCTCCGCCGCCGTTTACGGGCGGTTTCCCCTGGGGACGGCCAGATGGCAGAGGCAGAGGGAGGCACCACCATCATCATGAGAACCGGCATCACCATGGTCCTCCTCACAATATGGGCTGGGGGTCTCGGCCTCCTCATCCTCCTCATCCTCCTCATCCCCCTCACCCTCCTCACCTTCATCACCCTCCTTACCCTCCTCATCCTCCTCACCCTCCTCACGGCAGAGGCCCCCCTAGTGACCATGGTCTGCTCGGGGGTATGTTTGGCCCTGGTGGTCCTCTTGGTCCAGGGGGGCCGCTTGGTCCGGGGGGCCCATTCGGACCCGGAGGACCGTTTGGCCCGGCGGGGCCTTTCGGCGAGAAGGGGCCCTTTGGCGGGAAGGGGCCGTTTGGTGAAGAGGGCCTCTTTGGTGGTGGCGGTCCGTTTGGCTCGGGCAGCTTCTTTGGATCCAACCAACAAGAGCAACAGTCCCAGCAGCAGCAGCAAGGCGTTGAGTCCTCTACCGCCTCCGTCCCCGGCTCCTGGCCCGACGAAAAGAAGAACCCAGCAGCTTTTCGAGATGACGACCAGGGAGTCCCCCCGCCAGGTCCCGCGGCATCAGCCAAGTACCGCGCCATGGAAGGGATCGAGACGGCGATCCAGCACCAGGTCGCGGCGCTGGAGACGGCCGAGCCGGGATTCCAGCGGGAGGGGCTGGAGAAGGCGCTCGAGGAGCTGAAGAAGAAGTTGGAGGCGATGAGGGTGGAGGCTGATGAGGAGTATGCGAGGGAATTGAATGGGGGTAGATAGATGTTGATGGGATTTGGAACGTTTTAGATACCAGGGTTGCAATTTTTTTGGATTCAGTTGTATCATGAAAAAATACACATGTTGATGAGATAGTCGTCTCTTTATCTCCTTCTTTCCGCCCCCCAACCTGGCGTGATTCGTAGGCTATGCTTTTTGTATCTATCCACCCCCTTTCTTTTTGTTACCTCCAAACCAAGGTGTATATCACAATGCCATCTGAAATCAGGCAAGACCAATCCCATTCTCCCCCCTCATATAGGAGCAAGCCCAAAATCGCCCCTCTCCCCCCCCCCCCCCCCCTTTTCTGTCAACCATATACACAGAACAGAAACCCAGCCCAAAAAGGGGTAAAAACCCCAAACTCTTTCCTTTTTTCCCTTTTCCCTCTTCATAACAACCAAATCTAACCTACTGCTTCGTCTCAACCTTCTCCACCAAATCCCCAACTCCCAGCCCCCTCCCCACCGCAACCCGAATCTTTTTCTGCTTGCCATCCGCCTCCGGATCCCTGCCCACCTCGCCCACCGCATCGCCCTCGTCCACGCCATCGCTCTTCAACGCCGCATCTCCCCCATTCGTCGTCGTCGTCGTCTTCTTCTTTGTCTTGTCCTCCCCGTCCTTATCCTCATCCTCCTCGTCGGCATACCGCTTCGCCAGTTCGGCAACGTCGTCCAGGTCCAGGCGCATGCTGTATGCGTCCTCGCCATCGGCGTAGTACTTGCTCTCCGTCTTCTCGTTGCGGAAGCGCAGCGTGTCTTCGTAGAGGTGCCGCGCGGCGACGTTGGACACGCGGACGTGTAGGGAGACGTATTTGGCCTGAAACGTTTCCACCATGGCGAGCTCTACCCATCATCATCATCATCACCATCATTAGCCAACGTCATTCTCTCTCTCTCCCTCCCTCAAATCCAGCAAGATATAGATCATGATTCACGCTAGACTGTAAAGAAAAAGGGCGGGAAAAGGTGGTGTATAAGGAAAAAAAGAAACTCACGGCTCTGCCTCATCAACTTCTCCGCAATCCCCAGCCTCCGATGCGTCCTCATGACGCTCAAGCTCGTAATGTGCCCGTGCTGCACCCCGTCCGTCGGCTCCTCCTCCATCTTGGCCAGCACGTAGCCCACAATCTTGGGGTAGTCGTACGGCCCCTTGCGCGGCCGCGACACGTCCACCGCCACGAAGCTCAGCTGCGGCCACGACAGCGCGTGGTACAGGTAGTACTTGAGGAAGTAGTTCTCGGGCAGGTTCTCCAGGTTGGCGTGCTGGATGAGGGGGAGGTCGGCCGTGGTGAGGAGGCGGATGTCCATTTTGGGCGCCTTTGTTTTCTGGTTCTGGACTGGCGATCTCTCTTGTGTCTACTTGGGGTTCGGCTGGAAGGGGAGAGAGGAGAGGGAGGAATTATGGACGAGAGGGAGTTGGGGGAGGGGAACTTTCGTCGCGAGCCCGGCTTCCAAGTTGGTGGTGAGAGGTTGAGGCTGATGCAAGTGGCAGAATTGCTTAGAGGTCGATGCGACTTGTCAAACCCCCACCAAAGCCTTGTCCGCTCCCGGTCCCGCTTTTGCTGGGAGCTCTGACTTATTAGTAGTACTCCGGTTCCTATGCCTACCTATATAAACAGACATCACGCCTTACACAGCAGCGAGGTAAATGGCGTGGAATGAACTTTAGAACATAGATTGCTATCCTTCTCTGAATCGTAGAAATAGAAAAAAAGAAAAGAAAAGAAAAAAGAGAAAACTGAAATTCCCGGTCCTAAACGCATCAACTCCCCATGCATTCTGCTATACTACATCTATTTGCTCTGCTGACTTCTCTCGTCATTCTTCTAATTCTGGTCTACAGTCTTCTTCTCGCGAATCGGCAAATCCTTGGTCACCTCGGCAGAAGACGTCGCCATGCCTCCAGCGGCAGACGCCTCATCCTGAGCCTTGCCATCCTCTGGAGCCGCTCCGGCCTTGGCAGCAGCCTCTGCATTCTTAGCGGCTTCGGCCGCCTTGGCCGCCTTCTTGGCCTTCTTCTTCTCCTTGTCCTCCTGCTTCTTCTTCTTCGCCGCCTCCTCGGCAGCGCGGGTCTCGGCCGAGCCGCCAAACTTGTTCTTCCACTCCTCAATCTTCTTGTCGTCTATCCTGGTGAACAGGTAGGCGGCCTTGCCAATCTTGTGGCCCGGCTTGATGGCAGTGGGCTCCCAGACGTCGGGGATGAATGCCAGCTCGCTGTTGAGCTGCTTGCAGATGGACTCGCTCGTCGAGGGCATGTACGGCGAGGCCACAGACGCCAAAAGGTGGCAGAGGTTGAGAGCGAGACCAATGGTGGTGTGAGTCCGCTCGGGGTTTTCGGCCAGGTTGGCATTGTCCAGCCGGCCCTGCAGAAGGTTGTTGCCCTCCCTGCTAATCTCCATGATGGCCTTGACACCAGCACGGATGTGGACCTTCTCCATGAGGTCGACGTATTCCTTCAGCAGGCCATTGACCGTCTTGACCCAGGCGGAAAAGTCAAACGTCTCATCCTTGTAGGAGGGGTTGAACTCGGGGACAACGCCGTCCAGCTTGGCGTTGACAAACTTGACGATTCGGTTGACAAAGTTGCCAAAGTTGGCCAGGAGCTCGCTGTTGTTGGCCAGCTGGAACGCCTGCCACTCGAACTGGGTGTCGCTAGTTTCCGGTCGGTTCGAGAGGAGGTAGTACCGCCAGACGGACGGCGAAAGGCCAATCTCCTTGGCCTGGTTGCCAAAGACACCAATGCCTCTTGACTTGGAAAACTTGCCGTTCTCGTAGTTCAAGTACTCGGTGGTGGAGAGGTGGTTAAGCAGGGTCCAGTTGTATCCAGTGCCAATCTCGGACCCGGGGAAGATGACTTGAACATGTCAGTATAGCCCTTGATAGTTCCATCAGAGAGGAGTAAACACCACGTACCTGTGTGGAAGGGCACATTGTCCTTGCCCATGAACTGATAGAGGGTGACCTCGTCGGGATTCTTCCACCACTGCTCCCACTTATCCGTATAGTTGGCCGTGATGGAGGGATAGCCGATGCAGGCGTCGAACCACACATAGATGACCTTCTTCTCATACCCGGGCAAGGGGACCGGCACACCCCACTTCAGATCTCTGGTGATGCTGCGGGGCTCCAGGCCCTTTGTCAACCACGACTGCGTGATGGACACGCCGTTCTGAGGCCACCCGTACTTCTTGTGAGCGTCCTGGAACCACTTGTCAATCTCGGGCTGCAGCTTCTCGAGGCGGATGAAGACGTGCGTCGTGTCCCGGGGTACGGGGGTGGCGCCGTCGACCTTGCACCGCGGGTTGACGAGCTCAAACGGATCCAGCAGGCTGCCGCACTTGTCGCACTGGTCACCCCGGGCATCGTCGTAGTTGCACTTGGGGCACGTGCCCTCGACGAAGCGGTCCGCCAGGAAGGAATCGTGCTTCTCGCAGTAGGGCTGCTTCGTCGTCCGCTCCTCGAGGTAGTCGCGCTCGTGCAGCTTGAGGAAGATGTCCTGCACAATCTCCGTCTGCTTCTGCGTCGACGTGCGGCCAAAGTAGTCGAAGCCAATCTCGAACCAGTCGTAAATCTCCTTGTGCTTGACGTGGAACTCGTCGCACAGCTCCTGCGGCGTCTGGCCCGTCTCCAGCGCCTTGGTCTCCGTCGCCGTGCCGTACTCGTCCGTGCCGCAGATGTAGAGCGTCGGCCGGTCGCGCAGCTTGCTGAAGCGCGAGTAGACGTCGGCGCTGAGCACGCTGCCCACGACGTTGCCCAGGTGAGGCACGTTGTTCACGTACGGCAGGGCGCTGGTGATGAGCACGTTCTTCTTGCCCTTGACGGGCAGGATGGGATTTTCAACCGCCATGGCTGCGATTTGGTGCGACTTCGGACACTCGATGCTTTTCTTTTTCTGGTTTTGCGATGCTGCTGAGACTCCAGAAACGCCAGGGCCGATACCAAGGTCGTCGCTTTTGTAGGTCGTCAACGAACTGCAACAACAAGAAGCGTCGCGCGAGTGTAAGTGGCTACTCTAGTAGTAACTCGACCGGGGTACAGAAATCAGTGAAGGGCGCATGTGCAAAGGACAAGACAAGACAAGACAAGACAAGACATGACAAGTCAAGTCAAGTCGAGATAAGAGGCTGCACATTTCGAGTCATCGCACTGCCCCGCTATCGCACTATGGCTTAATGGCGGGGTGTGTCACAAAATTCTGCCGCCGCTAGCCTGTTCCCGATTCGGGAGGTGGTCAAGAGTCGGCGGTTGATGCTCAATGGAAGAGCAGTGAATATCTATACTTCGTCCAATTATTCTCACAGGCTCACGCCAAGATCCAAATCAAACATGTCATCAGATCCTCTGGAAGACGTCTTCAACCTCGAGGGCCGCTTCTACAACCAAGGCTACAACCAGGGTGTCGAGGATGGCGCCCGCGCAGGCCGGATAGAGGGCCGCTCGTTCGGCATGGAAAAGGGCTTTGAGAAGTTCCTCGAAAGCGGCCGCCTCGCCGGCAAGTCTCTGGTCTGGGCAAACAGACTCCCCAAAGTCAAAGGCACAACACAGCAGGCGGATGCATCCTCTACTTCGCCAAAGGGTCCGGAAGAAACATGTACGCTGCCGCCGCTGCCAAACAACCCGCGGCTGGTCAAGAATGTCAGGTTGGCGTACGCATTGGTCGAGCCGGACACGCTTTCCACGGAAAACAGCGATGAGGCCGTGCAGGATTTCGACGACAGGGTCAAAAGGGCGCAGGGCAAGGTCAAGATCATTGAGAGGATGTTGAACTAAGATGTTCTTGCCGGAAAGGGGGTCTTGTCAGTCAACACATCATCAGCAGACAGGGGATTTCACAGTCTTCATGGTCGTTTCAAGCATAGAGGGATATCTGTATCGTGGAGTTATGGCACATCATGGAAATAGGAGTTTATAGGAAATGTCAATTGGGAAATCTATCAATCATCTTACTTCAACCATCTGTATTTACACACATCGACCCTATCCACCTTATTTGAATGTCCTGCAAGGATATCTATTTCACCCACTATTAGCAAACACACTCCAATCTCTCACGATATGTTGGAAGATACTCACCCAGCTCCGTACGTCTGCTCCTCATTGAGCTCATAGGCGTGCACATCCCACCCCCCAGCCGTCAAGCTCTGCCCGCTCGGCAACGGCGGCAGCCCATTCACAAAGACATCCTTTGCGACGTCCGCCTTGGGCGCCTTCTCGAGGAGGAACTTGGCCAGCCCCGTCGACTCGCCCTCCTCCTTGGCCGCCACGAGAGCCTTGTCGCCCGCCTCGCCAATCAGCTCGACCTTGGGCTGTGCGGCGCTGCCCACCGTCAGCAGCGACACGGCATCGCCCTGCGTCACGACGCTGAGCTTTGGGTACGCGCGGCGGACGTCGCGCTTCCAGTAGGGGTTGTCGGCGATGTCGCCCGCAGGCAGCGTCACGGGGTCGTCGTACGTCTTGGGGTCCAGGGCGCCCGGCGTAGGGTTGCGGAAGTAGGGATTCAGGGGCACGCCGTTGGAGCGGTTCGGGTCGAGGGAGAAGGCCTTGCGGATGGACTCCCAGATGCCGGTGGACTGGAGCGTTTGTTTCTGCGCGGGTTTGAGGTCAGCTTTGTGTTTGATGAAAGGATCGCAAAGAGACGGAGCTGAGCGCGGATCAAGGCCCATTCGTCGGAAGCAGATTGGGGAATCGATGGATGTTTCCGAACCTTTGTGATGGAAACAACGCCGCCAGCAACCTTTGCTGCCGCCTGAGAAGCCATCTTGTGCGAGCGATGGGAGAGCCTCAGTGCGATGATGTCGAGTGTCGTCTGAGAATTGGCTCGGCACTTGGATGAATCTCTTGGTTGGAGTTGGCGATGGTCTACCCGAGGCTTTGCCGAAGGCTCTCGTTCTCAGGCAGGTACCCTGCAACCAACTAGACGGGCACCGAGGAATGAAGCCAATTGAGCTTCAAGCGTGAAATATTCTCTCAAAAGTGATTGATTGTGAATCTGCGAACTTTTATTCATAGAATTGCCAAAATTCAATTGACGTGGCTGGGTGGCGGTATCCTAGTGAACCTAAAGAGCTTCCTCCTTTGCAGGAACATCGAGTATGATCCAAACCTCGAGTATGTATGATCTCATATTGCGAAAGGAGGCCTCTCCCACCATGCACTCAACCTTTATCAAACTCCCCCCCATAGATTGACTTCACTCGTCAGGGTCATCTGAACACGTAGGTGCCATCAAGCCGCCAATAGCAGCACCGTGTTGGTAGGCGGTAACAGCACACACCCGCAAGTCAGAGCACACATCTCAAATGCATCATGACAGCACCATGGACACACTTCTCAAAAGGCGCAAACAAGAAACAACCAACTAGATAACGTGATAGTAACCCTCAGGACTTGGACGAGCAATACATACGAGATCAATGGGCCCTATACAGATTCCCAGTACCAGTACACAAAGAAGCACGCTTGCAATCCCTCACACCCATCAACTCCCACGCCGACTTGTGAAAAACAGAACCAATAAACTGCAAGACAGACGACAGGCCATTAACGTACGACTCAGTTCTTGCCCTTCAACTCCTCGACCAGAGCCTTGACCCTGTCCGCCGTGGCAGCAGGGCCGCCAGGCTCGGCAACAAGGACCTTGCCCTCCTTGTTGATGACGAAGACTCCGCGCTGGGTTCCCTTGGGCTGCTTCTTGAGCCCAATGGCACCAATCAGGGTGGCTTGGGGGTCGCAAAGCAGGGGATAGGGCAGCTTCTGCTTCTCCTTGAAGGTGGTGTTGGCCTTGGGCGAATCCGTGCTCAGACCGTAGATGGCAAGGCCGTCGGCAGTCAGAGGCTCATACGAGTCACGGAAGAGGCACACTTGGGTAGTGCCTGATAGATTGTCAAGTCAGCACACGCGTCGCGTTGAATAAAATCCTTCAAGCTAAGATGGCACGCGGTTGAGCGCGTTTCATGCAAGAAGTCGGGTGTAAATGGTTGGCATATTTGGGCAGAATGAGCGCAAAAAAGGGCATTGTGAAAGGAAGATCACAAACAACTTACATCCGGGAGTCGAGGCCTTGGGATAGGTAAAGAGGACAACGCCACTCTTGCTGTCATCGACCAGCTTCTTCAAAGTGGTCTTCTCGCCATCATTGGTCTGCACCTCGCCACCGAATCCTTCCAGGTCAATGACATCGCCAACGGCAATCTTACCCGCGGCGGCCGGCTTCTTCTTGTCGTCCTTGGGCTCCTCCTTGGTGTCGTCCTTGGGCTCCTTCACCGTCTCCTTCTCCTCGGCAGACTCTGGCGCAGTGTCGGTGGCCTCGTCGTCCTTGGTAGCCTTGTCGCCCTTGGCCTCGGGCTTTTTAATCTCGTCCTTTGCCTTTCCGGCAGCGGGCTTCTTCGCCTTGGTGGTGGCCGCCTTCTTCCTGCTGGGCGCGGGCGCGGGCGGCGCCACGGGGGCCTTGCGCTTGCGCAGCTCGACAGGCATGATGGCTGGAGTGGTTCTGGCGGTGCTCTCCGGGCGCGAGTCTTCAGCGATGTTTCTTTTGCTGCCGCGTCTCTTCCAAAGAACGGGGCGAGAAAATGGCACGTAGTACAGGCCGACTCAGCTGCGCAACGCGGTCTGCAACAAGGAGGCGCTGCGGTAAGCACAGGTCAGGCGAAGGAGGAGAATAAACAACAGCGGAGGGAGAAAGAAAGAAAGGAAAAAAAAAAAAGGTCTGGGCCAGGCGGTCGTCGTGACATGGAAATTCTGCCGTCGCATGGCTTGCGATTGCGGCCAGGCACAGCACACGCACCTGCCCCGTGAGCCGTGCCCATTGGCCCTGGCAGGCCTGCAGCTGATGAGCCAATCAAGGGTCCAGACCGCCCTGTAGGAGCTTGTCGAAGCTTTGACCATCTCGGTTGCTTTAACGCGGAGCTCCAGTTTACGGGATAAAGCCGTGGATCGCGGGCTTGTGGCTGGTTGGCTGGGTGGCCGCCAAGCTGGGGGTCTGGTGCCGGGGTCTGAGGCTTATGTTGATGGCACTTCAGTCGACTTCCGCTGTAGGTAATGGATTTGATGCCTAAGCAACCAAGGTAAGGTAAGGTATCAGCCACCGCGACCTGATGAAACCGCCGTAGCGCCCTGATTCCCGCGCCCATTTGGCTGGAATTGAGCCCTTCACCCAGCGACTTGGGATTCTTGACAGCGACAGTTTGTTCGGCCGATAGTAGAATGTTTGTTTAGTGCTACCACGTCGTATAATCTGGGAGTAATGCACGAGAACGGAGATGCCATGGTGGTGGCTCTGGTGAGCAGCTGGGAGGCGTTGGATGTTGATGCCCGGGAACTGCAGGAGTGTCAGGACGAGGCAGCGCGATATCACACCAGCACCGCCTCATGACCTGCATCTGCAGTTTTGAGCACTGCATCTCGCTAGTACAGACTCAAAAAGTGAATCATCTTGTCCGGCTTGCAAGGAGATGAGCAAAAGCGTGCGTTGCGCAGCAAGGCTTCCATCATTTTACCATTCAATCACCACCAGACCACTGGATTCATTGTGTCACCAATAGACAAGCCCAGACCGGCGAGGGCTTCGCATTCAAACGTCAGCAACTTTCGATGCTGGTGCAGTTTCCGTCTTACTATCAACAAGGTACATCGCATGCTTTCCAGCCCTCCCTCTTCGAAAATAGGTAGGCAGTACCTGGATGCAGAGTCGTATCAAGGAAAAGATCGTTTCATCCTTTACATGTCCTCCGGAAAAACCACATCAGTTGGCAAATCCTGTGTCTTCCCACCATCGTCAGATCATCAGCCGCATCAAAGGTAACCGCCCCAAGATGGTTTTAATTTCACCGTGTTCCAGAGCATAGGCTCAAACCTGCCAGCTCCAAGCACTTGGCAACGTGAGTTGCTGATATATCGTCGCATCGATCATGCCGGATAAACTTTTGGGCCGCGCCTTGAAAATGCGCGAAATATAAGACATAAGAAAAAAGAATGTCTGAACAGACCATCATCGTGGGTATCATAGCTGCCACGCCAACTTCCTCTCCTTGAGCAGGTCGCCAGGGAGAGGACAGCTTCCGCCAATTTAGTTAGGGCACTGAGCCTGAACGTGGCCGCCCTGCTGGCACTTGTAGCAGATCTTCTCGCCACCGGCAGACTCCTTGGGGCAGTCACGGGAGTAGTGGCCAGACTCGCCACAGTTGTAGCACTTCATGCCGTTAACACATTCGCCTGCGGCTGGGTTAGAACATACACAACAGCACTCGGAGTGGAAAGATGCGTACGAGACATGTGGCCGTAGCCACCGCATGAGTAGCAGGTCTTGCCAGCACCGCCGCCATAGCCGCTGTTGCCGTAGGAGTTGTTGCCAAAGCCACCGCCAGACTTGGGGCAGCTGCGGGCAATGTGGCCCTTCTCGCCGCACTGAATAACAACACATTAGCTGCAGGTTCACCAATCTGCTCAAATCCAACTGCATACCTTGTAGCACTCGGTGGACTGGCCACCGGCAGCGGGACCACCGCCCTGCATGCAGTCGCGGGAGATGTGGCCAGGCTGGCCGCACTTGTAGCAGGACTTGTTGTCCTTGGTGGGCTCAGTGCAGTCACGGCCTAACAACAAAGTCAGTGGACGAAGCGAAGAACAAAGTCAATATCCAGCAACTCACTGATGTGTCCCTCGCCTGTCATCGCTGTTAGCATCAATCAGCAATATTAGCAAGTTATGAGATGAACGCACCGCCGCAGTTGTAGCTAAGGAAAAAGTCAATAAGTCTGAGGATTCCTCACTTTAAGGTGATGATCACATACCACTTAGCAGGGCCTTTGCTGGGGCAGTCACGGGCCTAGACATGGTGAGTTGAGTGTCTCGTGAAGGTTAGGTTTCAATATGTTTTTCTGCCGTACCTGGTGGCCGGTGGAACCGCCTAGGGACTCGTTAGCGATTGACTTCAATGACACTTCGTTGGGAGATGCATGAAGAAGTTGAGGCTAAGATCAAAGAGACGGAAAAAGTTGATATGTGGACAAGACAAAAAGCAGAGCTTGACATTTGAAGGAACGCCATGCTTAGTCTCGAGACCTGATGAGCGCACTGCAGTGAGTTTGGAGGGGCCACCATGAGCTTCTCCCAAAAAAGAAGCCCAAAATGCAGGGTACCTGGCAAAAGCAGAAAACGCGGGGCACTCCAAGTGAGGTAGCGCAGAGTGGCAATTCATGAAACACGAGAAAAAAAAAAAAAAGAGAGGACTCACAAGAGTAACACGCTCCTCGGGGCTGGTATTCCATGGTTGATTTGGTGATTGGAGAGATGGGAAGTAAGCTGTGAGTTTGAGATGATAAAAGTCAGCGACTATGGAAGCTCTGCGAGGTGAGTCCTGAAAATGAAGGGCCATCTGCCGAGCCTGAGGCTGAGGGGCAACTCGCGACCCATTGGCAGCGCTATCTCAGCATCGCCAACCAGAATCGGGCATGCGCGTGGCCGGATCGAAGGCAATTGTCCAGATGAAGCAGCAATGGGCAGAGCAGAGCATTACTCACCGGCGAGGAGTATCGTCAGGAATGAAGCGGCGAAGAGGCTGTGGGACGAAGATGCTGATACCACAAATCGATAATTGGAAAAAAAGACGTGAGGACGAAAAAGGGAAAAGTTTTTGACGATAACCGCTACTGGGGCCCTCAGCCTAGGCCGGTCTAGCGCGGTGCTGGGCGGTGGCCCGCTAGAGCCTAGGCGAGTGTGGGAGGCCCTTGCCGGCTGTGCGGATTAACGTTGCGCCGCCTCAGCCGTGTGCTTGTACTGCGTGTGCGCGGAGTGCTGAAGTTCGTGGGCATGCCGATATGCGGCTTCCATTCAGTCTGAACTACTACTACTAGTAGTTGTAAGTATCCATGGGATATCATTTCGAGCAAGTGCAGTGATAGAGCTCGAGGTTGTACTTGAGAGATGGGCACAAGCTTCGCGAAGCCGAACCAACGGATGCGTGCACCACAACCGAGCGTTAGCTGCACCTCTTCTTCAACTTTGCAGATACCAGGTCAAAGCACATGGGACCAATTCTCATCCAAAGACATCTACAAAGTACTGGTACGCGGGATTAGCCCACCAAGATGCCGTAGTAAGGTAATGAATTATCTTTGTCGTTCAACAATGGCCATTCAACATGTCCCACAGAGCCAGAGATGCATTGTGCTCTACGACTTACCAGCTGCCTAACCTCCAAAATGTAAGACAAGGTAGGAGGAGGTACCTGAGTACACGGTAGCTCGGGCACTTTAAGCTCATTCACTTTTCAGGCACGGGCAGGGGCTTCATTGGTGCCTTAATGGTAGTCACGTGCCCTGGCGTTTACTCCGCTGCTGTGGCGCGCGTCAACCGGCGGGAGCAATCGCGCTCTATTTGTTAGCGCCAAATAATATCCAAACAACAAGCAGCTGGCTTCGCTGCCTAGCACAGTCAAACCCCTATCAAAGGCCGTCGGGATGGACAACTGGGCAAAAAGAGGCCGGCCGATTGTGCGCGAAGCTCTCAATCATGCGTGGGAGGTGATTGACCGCGAGCTCCAAGATGGTACGTCATGATGCTACCACCGCTTGGCCATGGCGGGCTAACAGGACCAAGAGCTTGCGCGGAGAGCCGCGGATCATGCCGCGAATGAGGAGCTGCTCAAGACCAGACTGGCGACTATCGAAGCTCTGCAGGAAGAGAACCGAAAACTGCGAGCTCAGATAGCAGCCATGTCCTCGAGCTCTTCCACAACCTGTTCAGCGACCCCAACAACTGAGAATGAGATGTCGGCAAGTACATGTAGTGAGGACGTCCCCGCTTCCAGCATCGCGCCCGCGCAGCCAATTCCAGCCTCTACAGCCACGAAAACGCCTCCCCCTGCCTCCACCGAAACTGAAAATGCCGAGCTTGTCAAATCCAAACTGAGGTTCAACGCACTCGCAGACAATTTTAAAAAGGCAAAGGAGGCTCTCCGGAAAAGGAAAGATGAGCGCGATCTGTGGAAGGACAGGGCCAAAATGTTGGAAAGTCAAGTTCGGGCATTTGAAGAAAAGCATGGCATACGAGTTTTGGAGCAACAAGAGGATGGCCGCCCCGAGGAAGCACACGAGACACGCTCCCTTACCGATGTCCCGTCCCTTGATGTCGAACCAACGCTACCTCCCCTTGTGCCGGAAACATCCAATCGCGAACACACAGCCAGCGAAGAGGATCCCCTGTTGCAATCTACCCAAGGCGACCCTGATGAGGCCGAGACTGAAGATTTGCCTCTTCTGCCAACAGATGCCCGAGATCAAGGTGCACCAGTCATCAAATCAGAACCATCTTCGGACGTCCCGGTTGTGGTTTCGGAAAAGAGGTTGAAACGAAGACGGGTTGAAGAGAATGGACATGCGGTTGCGGCCTATTCAAGAATCAAGGCTGAATCAACGAGCTCCAGCCCAATTACTGCCTCGGAGCATTATCACTTCAACATTCAGGAGAGCATCGATCTTGATGACATAGCACAGAGGATAACAACGCCTCGGAAGCGCAAGGACCTGGAGGCTCTAGCAGCTGTAGATGAAAGCTCAAGAATTGCCCGCAAGCTTGATCTTGGGCGTCCAGATACTTTACAGCAGCCAACCGGGAGACTCCAGGGTCCATCGGTGCTCACTCCGATAAGCGGCAACAAGAGAATGACCAGGTGGACCGCCGATGAGAAGAACGCTCCCCCAAAGGATACATTAGCCCATGGCATAGCGACACTAGCCGAAGATGGCACCTTTTATGGGAAGCAGAGGCTTGACAAAGCCTTGAAAGCTATGCATACGCCTACTTCAATGGCCAAAGGCCGCTTGGATACGCTACTCAACACCTCGACTCCCGATGGTGCGACAACTATTTCACGAACTCCTCAAGCGCGCCATTCGGAGCGAGCTTCGGGCGAACATACACCCCTGGATCTCCTCTTCCCTCAACCACGAGAGCTGCCATTTGAGAAGATGTTGCGACAGACCAAACAGCGTCAGGCTCTATCCGCGGACATGGCGACCCCTTCCAGGAGAATAGATAAAAGAGTTCCTGGTCGAGATCGCTCCCCTGTTAAAGGTAGAATTTCTGCCACTGGCCTCCGTCACAAGCCCCTGGCCGAGCTCCGCCTTGATGATTTCAAGGTCAACCCCTCGTCGAATGACGGGCAAGATTTTGCGTTCTCGGAAGTTGTCAGAGACAGGGACGAACGGGCGGGGCTCCGGGGCTGCACTGATCTTCACTGCTGTGGAAAGCATTTTAGGGCATTGGCACTGTCACAACGACCAGATCCACCGCTGACGGCAGCGCAGCGGCAGGAAGAGCAAAAGCTGCTGGAGGAGTACTTGGGGGACGATGCATGGCGATTGGCATCCATGGCGAAGGATGAAAGAGACGAGATCTGGATCAAGGCAAAGACCGAAGAGCTGGCCAACAAATACGGCAGGCATAGACATCGCTTCTCTCGCATGCAGTCTCCGCCGGGATTCTGGAACGCCGATTTTCCAAACACACAGGAGCTGGCGGCTGACAAAGAGGAGGCTCTCAAACGAGAGAAACGAGCAATTGCGGAGAGGTACAGAGAGGCTATGCGCCCCGGCGGTATGTGGCTGTTTAGAGATGAATAAGGGAGACGAAGCGTGGATTTGACCAAAGGAAGTACCTAGGCGTTGGAGTTTTGAGAGGTCCTGGTTTCGGGTGGCTTGTGGTTCTCATGGCGTATACACTGGATGGTACCATGTCGTTGGTTGATTTTGTTCGTAATGGAAGGGTTCAGCCTTGTTTGTCTAAGCATGAATGTCTCATTATCTGGGGCTTCCGGTTGAGCATGTCCCGATGGCTTAACTCGTGATAAAGTTCGGGGCGAGCATGGCGACGTGGTGATGGACGATCCTTCGCAGTACATTTGGACCAAGCAATGTTGTCCCCTCGAACAATGAAAGGGGACCAACGATGAAGCCCATATGCCACTCCTGTACTTTTCTTTCATCAGGGACTACCTTACATACGTCTAGATACTTCGCATTCTCATGCACATTCGTGCCTACGCATGCCGCCGTCGCAGCAGATCCCTCGCGCGTCTCCCGGCCAATCCTCGGGAGATCCCCCTAGCCGGAGGGCACGGATGCTATAAAAATCCGGGCGCCGCCGCTATCACAGCGTCTGACTGCATCTCAGCAGCGGCTTCCAAACATCGCCGTCCGCTTCTACAGCCCAGTTTTCCTGCTCACCACCAACCAGCTGTGGCCTCATCCTGTCCAAGGCGCACGCGGTGGTCTGGCCCTGAATTCAGAGCTTGAAAGCCAAATCTCTTTTTGTATTAGAACCTTTTGCTTTCCACCACCGCCGGGAAAATCGTTGCTCCCGACTCGTCACGTTACCTGGTTGCGCCTCGACTCAACATCTGTGTCGCGCAGCTCTCACAACGCTCGCAGCATCTGATCGGTGGACAACGCTGCGCCCTCGCCCTCGTTCGCCGCTTCAAAGCTGTTGCCACCAGCTGTGATACCACTGACATTGCGCTCCCCCCGCTCCGGCAGTGCATGTAGATGCGGGAGTCGCAGCTCTGGGCGATACTCGAAACAGTACGATACCCCAAGCCGGCAGGTTGAGTAACCGCCATCTGCCGGCTGGGCAGAAGAGCATACAGACGGCAACTCGAGACTCTGGCGGCATCATGGACATGAACGGCGGCAACATGGCGGGCGGGCCTCGACGGAGGCCGCCGCAGTACATGACGGGGTATCAACAGCATCAGCATCAAGGCCATCACCAGCATCCGCATCAGTACCAGAACCACCACCCGCAGCAATACCAGCACCAGCCCATGAATAACATGTACTCGAACTATGCGACTTACGCTCCTCAGAGCTACTACAGCATGCCGCCACCGCAGTACCCGGCTGGAGTCCACCCGGGGTACATGCCATATCAGAGCTACACACGGTCCCCGCCGCCAATGCAGCAGTTCGCCCCCATGACAGGAGTCGCCGTCTCGCCAGGCTACCATCGAGCGTCCCCCAACCCGACGGCGCCGTACCAGGCTCCGCTTGCCTACGGCCCCAATGGACTGCCTCATACCCCGTCTTCGACACACTCGTCACTGCCGCTGCGCCCGCCCACGCCCATGACTCCCCAGACGCCTCGAAGCGACCAGTCGACCGGCGCTGTGCCCCCGTCAGTCATGAACTACGCTCCTCCTCCCATGGCTGTTCCTATTCCTGCTCCTGAGGTCGCTCCTGTTCTTGCCCCGGAAATTACCCCTGTGCTTGCCTCTGCGGTTGCTCCTATCCCGGCTCTTGTGGCTGCTGATGTTACCGCTGTGGTTGCTACCGAAGATGTGACTTTGGTTGTTGAGTCAAGCGAGCCCTTTCGGCCACCGGTGAGTCTTCTGATAGCGGCCTTTGTTAGTCATTGGATGTCAGACTAATCCGAGTGACACAGCTGCCCTGGTTCTCACACCCCGACGTTCCATTTCCCAAAAGAACCCCTCGATCAAAACGGCAAAGCAAGCTTCTTATTGCGGAAGGAGGCTCGATCGTGCTCCCTGTAGTAGCTCTTGAACAGAAGTCCAGCGAAGAGCCTGCGATTTCTGCCAAGCCTGAGGCTAGCTCCCAACCTCAACAGCAAGACGGGGAGACAGAAGCTGGTCAAGCCCCTGATTCAGGAGACCTCCCCAGCACTTCCGATGAGAAAAAGGCACACGTCACTCGCCCAGCTGCGCCCGCCATTCCTGTGGTACCAGTGCTGCCTAAGCATAGTCCCAAGGCATCCGCTTCCGTTACGTCTGCGGCGGAGGAGCAGCAAGGCGTCAACGGAGACGCTGCCAAGTCCGACGACCAGGACTCCGAAGTCGCTGCCACTGCCGACTCCCAACCCAACGACAAGAACGGTACTCCAAGCCCCGTCGTTCGAGCCCCGCCTACCAGCTGGGCGAACTTGTTTGCCAAGCCGTCGGCACGGGCTGCTGCGAATGGCTCGGGCACCAGTGGCGATGCTGTCAATGGCGACTCGAAAGATGGCTCAAACAACTTTGCATCGGGCTTTGCGAAATCGAACATCCACTCTCTTGCCCAAGCAATTCAGTCCTATCAAGTCGACAACATTGACAAGGTAGACTTCCTTGAGCCGCGTGGACTCATCAACACTGGTAATATGTGTTACATGAATTCCGTAAGTCTCATTCCATAGCCATCTTCCCTCTTGAGAACCTGCTGCTCATTTAGAAATTCCAGGTTCTGCAAGTGCTCGTGTCTTGTGTGCCCTTCTATGACTTCCTTGATCAGGTCGGCAAGAAGGCTGCCCACAGCTTCAAGAGCGAGACCCCGTTGGTGGACGCTCTGATCATGTTCATGAGGGAGTTCAAAGTGCTTAAATCTGCGCCGTCGGTTGAGCAGCTTAACCGAATCCTGAAGAGCGAGGATTTCGAGCGTTACGGCGAACCCTTCACCCCCGAATTTGTCTACGATGCCATTCGGCATCTTCCCCGATTTGCCAGCATGCGAGTAAGTGTCAAGCGTATCACGATGCTATGTTATGACATGGCTAACCCCTTGTTTTTTGTAGCGTGGCCATCAACAAGATGCAGAAGAGTTTTTGGGCTTCCTTCTTCAGTCACTCGATGACGAGTGCACCCATGTCATGAGGGATCTGCCAATGGGGAACGAAGAGGTGCCTTCGTCTAATGCCTCGACTGGATCTGGTGTCGCTTCTGATGACTGGCTTGAAGTCGGTCGCAAGCAACGTGCCGCGGTCTCTCGCTTGTCGGGCCATAATACGTCAACCCCCATTACCAAGATCTTTGGTGGTCTTCTGCGATCTGAATTCCGCGTGCCAGGGCTGAAGGACTCCATCACCACCGAACGCTACCAACCTCTGCAGTTGGATATTGGATCCCCCGACATCCACAACGTCGTGGATGCCCTGCGTGGGCTGACTCGGCCCGAGCGTCTCCAAGGCGACTTCAACTCCCCACGCGGAAAAGACGTCGTGGCTACGAAACAAGTGTTTATCGAATCACTTCCCCCGGTCCTTATTCTCCACCTCAAGCGATTCCAATTCGACGCTGAAGGACGTGGCACTGTGAAGATCTGGAAGAAGATTGGGTATCCACTGGAGCTTGAGATCCCCCGCGAAGCCTTGTCCAGACAACGCCGTCAGAACCTGGACAATGCTTCAATGCCTCGGTACAGACTCATCAGCGTGGTCTATCACCATGGCAAGAATGCCAGTGGCGGCCATTACACAGTGGACGTGAGGCGACAGGATGGCCGCGAATGGATTCGGCTGGATGACACCGTTATTCGGCGCATCCGGCCCGAAGACGTTGCCGAAAGTGGCACCGAGGAAGACCCCAAGGACGCACGGAAGGACGCAGCCTCGAATGTTTCCAGCAACCGTTTTGGAGCAATGAACGACGATGATACCGGCGACGAAGACGGCTGGAAGCAAGTCACCGCACCCACAAGCGGTGGCAAGAAATGGAGCAGCGTCGTCAACGGCGCAACGAACGGAGCTGCCAGGGACAAACAAGTCAAGGACAGCATCAAGGACAACAAGGTTGCCTACATCTTGTTCTATCAGCGTATATAAGCAGCCCGCTGCGCACCTCTTTACACCGTCACGATATCTAATGCGTTTTACGGCCGAGGGGCGGATATGGAGTGGAAGCCTTGTATTATCGGAGGATTTGTACCTGATGTCATGATACGGAAATAAGTCATCACCGTTTCCCTAATTGGAGCTTTGATTATGGCAAAGGGCAAGGGAAAAGTAATAGAGAGAACAAGCACAAAAGCCGGGGATGGACAAGGTGGCAGGGGACTGGCGGGTGTCTTTACGGGTTCAGATCTGGCGTTGCGGCGTCTCGGCACGATTTCTCCATGATTCTCGTCGAGACTACAAGCGGATGGACAGGGGGTCTGGAGGAGAATGCTTTGGTGTGAGCTGATATTGACTGGAGCTTTCAATGGGAGCTTCTGAGCCAGGGTAAAAAGCATCTTTTTGGGGCAAGCGTATGTGTTTCCTGGTTCCAGGATTTGCATTACGCTCTTGTACAAATAGTAGCCAGTTTGAGTACGATAATGATATCAAATATGAAGTGTTTGGAATCGTTTTTCGAGAGAGGTGACAAGACACCGATTTCTCAAGTAATGTGCAAAGGGAGTCGAGGGGTCTTAGAACATGTCTAAACTTTTTTCTTTCTTTTTAATACAAGGGACCTGTGTAGGCCGTTGAGCAATAAACATTCCACTTCGCCGCCGCCGCCGCCGCCGATTGATCCTGCCTGCTGCCCGCCCCGAGCCCCAGTATCGCGCGTTTCATTCCATCATTTTCTGAATGTGTGGGTAGATTTTCTTTTTTCGTTTGATTTAGTGCTTCTTGATGACGGTCATGGAGTCGAGGGCATCCTTTTCGGCGAGCTCGGCCTCGACCTGTTGCAGGATGGTTCGCAGGTAGGGGACGTCCTAGAAAGCCAATGTCAATATGGATCCCTCGAACCCTCGAAGCTTACATATCTCCGAGCTGGAAATGTGTAAAAAGAGAAAGAGAAGGGGGGTTTGTTGAAGGGGGAGACACATGAGTTTACGTACCTCCTCGGGCTTGGTCCACTGGTCCTTGGGGAGGAGCTTGTGGATGGTGCTGCACTGGACAGAGCGGCGGATGCGGTAGACGCGCTCGTAGGCCTCCTTGGGAGAAAGGCGCTGGAGGGCGATCTGGACGGCTTCGTTTTCCTCCTCGAGGAGGTCGTCGTATCTTTTTTTATGGCATATGGTGTTAGCGGACCCGTTGATATTTCTCATGCGCCCCAACCTCCAAATTGTGTCTCCAGCTCTTTTCAATATCCTGATTTCCTGCCATATTTCCTAGCTCTTGCGTCTCATTTGATATTCTCTCCTTCAGGTTGGTTGATAACATCCCAGTCTTCCTCCAGATTCGCAGAAAAAGCTCAAAAGGTTTCGGCATTTCGTACCTCAGACCGAGCTGGCGGTATCCGGCAGCGTTGGCGTACCAATTGGCGGCGGGCGTCAGCATCTTGGTCAGCCAAGGCCGCTTCAGGACAAAGGGAGCGAGGGAGACCATCGTGTCGGCTTTGTCGAGGGAAGGGGGGAGGGAAAAAAGGCGAACGGGAGCCGGTTGCTTTTTGTCGTTTGACGGTTGGTTTGGATTGATGGAATATGCGCGAAATGGGATGATTCGGCGGGACGGCAAAACTTGGGAGAGCTCGGGATGTCACGTGGGGAAACGGTCGGGCGTCTTTGGTGGTGGTGGGGGGGGATGGTTGATTTGTGAGGTTGGAGCGTTTGAAACGGTGGCGGCTAGTTACGGTGTGCTGCGTGTGCCGTTCCGGTCTGGGAGAAGGCAAATGGGTGGAGTGGTCCGGAAGACGCAGGCCGATGTGGGGGACTTGGAGGACTTGCTGAGTGTAGGTACGTATTCCGTAACGTTGATCCGTCTGTAACCATCATTTATATGCTGCACGGAAGATGCAGGACAGGCCGTTTTGTCTGTCTCTGCCATGGCATGCGTCAGCATGTGATGCCGCACTCACAGTTGCAGAGCAGAGCCGAGTGGCAGCATGTGATGAAGAGCTGGTTGATACATTGCTTCTGATAATCATCAAGCAAAACGGACATACATATAAAGGGACTCTGAGCCAATGCGCTGTCGGTACCTTTATATGGTTCGATACGGCCAAGCAAATGTGTCCCTGGCTCAAGTACCTCGCCTTGCGTCATTTGTCTCTGACGTAGCGCCTCTGTTTCCTCCTCTTACTATCAGTTTGTTTGTTCTGTCCCTGCATCAACCTGATCTGCATGCGATACATGTCAGAGCTTTTGCCATCCATGAAGTCATTCCCATGATACCCGGTTGACGCTTGATTTGACTGCTAGCGCAGGCGGATGGGTATAAACTCAATGGAATATTGACACCGGCCCGGCTCAAGCCCAGCACGTTGGAAGCGCCATTGATCAAATTGCACGGGCAGGCACCAGACCGCTAAGAAAAGCGAAGTTACTGGGCTCAACCCACTGTGGCCGGTCGAGGCTCCACTGAAAGGCCCCAAGTCTCAACCGCTCTGAGGCGCACTGCAGCGACCGTTGCCAACCGGCTCTCTTTCGTCCACTCCACCATTTCTCTTCTCTCGCTCCAACTTCTTTTCCCTCTCATTTCCTCCCATCTTCGACGCCTTGTCTCTCCTCCGCCACTCCTCGCGCACCCTTCCAGACACCCCGAACACCGCGATCCAACCCACAGCCTTGCGCTCTCTCGGCGACTTCCTCTGCTCGCTGCACACGTCAATGGCCGGCGGCGTTCGCTAGGCAAGGACGGATACTGCGCGTGGGAGCATTCCCCGCAGTACCCGGACTTTCCTGGACCGAACGGATCCCAGATTCAAGAACACCTGCGATATTGAGAGCGAGCCGGAGTGAGGAGCGACTACTATTCCACTTTACAAGACACTTTAGATACAAGCCGCACAGCGGCGTCCTCGACGTCATACGCAGCGCCGGGGACAGTCTCTCGAGAGACGCAGCCGGACCGGATCAACAGCCAGCCAGTTTTGATATCATCTTCACGAACGAACAGATTCTCGACACAACACCTTGTCACCCTCGGCGCCTAGGTCTAGCTTCCACGACAAGCGTACAATCATCAAATCGCTCGCCGCCATCACACATACTTCTTCTTTCGTCACTTCTTCTGACTGTGGTGAGGGTGCTATGTCTCACGACCAGTCCTCCCAGCAAGCTCAGCCCTCGCCTGCAGATCATGCGTCACCTCCCTATCGACTCGCCGATCCTCCAATGCCCGCAATCGCCGGGGGCTTGACCCCGCTGCACCGCTGGACGCTCTCCGCCTCCGACTCCCAGTTCAATGCCCTCTCAGGAGCCATTGGCGGCTTCACGTCGGGCATCGTGACTTGTCCCCTTGATGTGATCAAGACGAAGCTGCAAGCCCAGGGTGGCTTCACCCTGGTGGACAAGGGCCGGCACGTGGGCCACCCGAAGCTGTACAATGGGCTGGTAGGAACAGCCAAGGTCATCTTGCGCGAGGAGGGCATACGCGGACTGTACCGGGGTCTGGGGCCGATCGTGCTCGGATACCTGCCCACCTGGGCAGTGTGGTTCACCGTCTATAACAAGAGCAAGAGCTTCTTATATCAGTATTATGGTGCGTGCGCAGAGGTCTCTCGTGCTTGATCCTGCTGCTAGAGCCTTCCTACTGACCGGTGGAACAGAAAACCCTCACCTCATAAGCTTCTGGTCCTCCATCATTGCTGGCGCCAGCAGCACCGTTGCTACGAATCCCATATGGGTCATCAAGACTCGCCTCATGTCGCAGAGCAATCCGAACACGGCTAGAGGCCACCACGCGTTTGCTCGTCCTGGTAACACCCCGACAGCAAGGCCGGTCATGCACGACTGGCACTATAGATCGACGATTGATGCGGCGAGGAAGATGTATACCTCGGAAGGCCTTTCGTCATTCTACTCGGGCCTCACCCCCGCCCTCCTCGGCTTGACACACGTTGCCGTTCAGTTTCCCACGTACGAGTTTCTCAAGACTACCTTCACCGGACAGGGGATGGGCGAAGTACAGGAAGGAGAAAAGGCACACTGGGCAGGCATCCTGTCGGCCTCCATCTTGTCGAAAATCCTGGCCAGCAGCGCCACCTACCCTCATGAGGTCATTCGAACCCGGCTGCAGACCCAGCGACGACCGGTAGCTGGCGAGGCCTTCGTGGTAGACATGGCGGCACCAGGGGTGAAGCCAGCGTCAGGCCCCAAGTATAAGGGCGTCATCATGACTTGCAGGACTATTCTCCACGAAGAAGGATGGCGGGCCTTTTACGCGGGCATGGGCACGAACATGATGCGAGCCGTTCCCGCTGCGACGGTAACGATGCTCACATACGAGTATGTGATGAGGGAGCTGAACAAGAAGAAGCTCCAAGCTCTGGAGATACAGCGCGCACTTCAGGAGGCTTCATAAGGGCCGCTCGATGCGCGGGTCACCAATATGGGCTACTACTGCATTGAGCGGTTCAAACGCACAAGAAGCATGCAGACATTTTGCTCTTGACCGCTCTCTGTTTTTCGTATGTCCATGGACATATGATTTACGAAACAATGCGCAGAGGTCCACGAGGGTCAGATACACCCTCGTCTTCTAGCCTTTTCTCTCCTTGTCCAACCCCCTCGGCCGAATTGTAGGTTATAGAACATATCTTTCCAAAAGCGGATCATCTGGCATTCGCAGCAGCGCCGCTCTCTATAAAGTCGCAAGGCCTCTCTGTTAGCCACGTGCTGTTTCTCTGTTTCAGTTTCAAATTTGTGTCTCTTCTGCATCCGTATGGAAGTTGGGTGGACAGCGGAATCCTGTATTATGTCTCCTTTGTTTGGTGTGTCTTGTAACAGAAGGATGGCGAGTCATATTGGAAAAGGGGGAGGTGTTGATCAGGCTGTGTGCATTTTAGCATGTCACTGGACTTTTTCTCTGGGAAAGGGGTGGTGTGAACGGCTACATGTATGTATTTATGTATAATCTCGCAAACAAAGCAATGCAGACGAATACGCTACGGACAATTATCAGTAGGTAGTTTTGATGAGTCCTCGGCGTCTACGCTGCTTGTAGATGGGTTGTGTGTGACCTATCGAGGCGAGAAGGTACCTAGGTAGGTGAAAGGGCTCCGTACCTGGCCAAAAATGTCCGGTGAAGTGATGATGTTCATTCAGCCTTGATAGTGGTTGATGGTGGAGATTTTCTGACCTGGAGTTGATCTGGCGAGCGTAGTGTTGTAGCATGCTTCGCATTTTGCTTGCTGATGTTATAGTTGATTGATATACAAAGCCCCTTGTCTGTACGTGATTCCAACCTTTGATGGTTGTGAACTTGTCTTCCCCTGAAAGGATGGCCACAGCTATAGAAATCATCAAAAAACGCCGTAGAATACTCCAAATCCCCTTCCATACCAATGCACACAAGATGTCGTACAATATTCGCAAACGGTTTGGCCCCCCTCTCTGTGTGGCTTTTCACCCCTTTCTCCTTCTTATACACACACGCGCGCGCATTCTTTCTTTCCCTTCTCTTACAGCATCGCCTTTGGAAAGTTCTTCATGGCCTGCCTGACGCCCAAGTCGCCGAGGACCTCCTCCGCGCCGCCGAGGATGGCGTCGAACTTGTAGGTGCGGTTGAAGTGCTCAATGTACTTGCCCATGCCGGACTGGGTGAGGCCGCGGCCGCCCCAGATCTGGACGGCCTCGTCGGCGACCTCGTGGGCGACGCGGGTGATGCTCATCTTGAGCAGGCCGATGGGGCCGGCGAGGTGCAGGGCCTGCTGCTTGTAGGGCATGTGGCACATTTGGTAGGTGATTGTCTCGAGCCAGGACTGGTTTGCCTCGACGAGGGCGATGAGCTTGGCGAGTCTTGGGATTGAAAGTTTTTTGTTAGCATTGTTGATGTTCCTGTCGCTTTTCTGATATGACTTGTGTTGACCACCGAAAGTAGCTCCTCAAGTCGGCTGCTTGCTTCCAAGAAAAAAAGGAGAAAAGAAAAGAAAACTCACTTTTGACGAATGACGGGCTGGTCAATGAGGCGCTTGCCAAAGACGATGCGCTGGTTGGACCACTTGAGGCACTCCTCGACAATGAAGCGCGACGCGGCGATGGAGCCGCAGGACATGACCCAGCGCTCGTGGTTGAAGTTGCTGAGGATGACGTGGATGCCCTTGTTCTCCTCGCCGAGCAGGTTCTCGACGGGGACCTTTACGTTGTCAAAGGTGATGTAGGCGGTGCCGGCGGTGGGGGAGTAGGACGTCTTGATGGGCTTGGTCTCGACGCCGGGGCCGCGCTCGATGAGCAGCACGCTGAGGGCCTTGCCGGTGCGGACGCCGACGACGAAGTAGTCGCAGAAGACGCCGTTGGTGATCCACTTCTTGGTGCCGTTGACAATCTGGGTAGTAGAATGGATGAGAAGAATGATCAAATACTAGAAGAAGAAGAAGAAGAAGAGAACTCACATAGTGCTTGCCGTCGGGCGTCTTCTCGGCAGTCGTGCGCAGGCCGGCAACGTCGGAGCCGGCAAAGGCCTCGGTAATGGCCAGGCAGAGCTTCTTCTTGCCGCTGAAGACCTCGCCGGCAATCTTGTTCTTCCAGGCCTCGTCGCGGGCAAAGTTGAGGACGGCGGTGAGGCCAATGGTCATGCCGGCCATGTTGCCGTCCTGGAAGCCGCGCATCATGGGGCGGCACATCTCCTGGCACATGATGAGGTCGTGGAAGTAGTCAAACTCCTCGCCCTTGACGGCGCCGCCGAGGAGGGTGACGCCGTGGAGGTGCTTGCCGGGCCCCAGGCGCATGTGCAGGATGCCGGCCTGGGCCATCTTGTCGATGACGGCCTGGCTGATGTGGCGGCCGGTGGCCTCGCACTCGAGGGCCTCGGGCTTGACGACCTCGTCGGTGAAGAGGCGGATGGCGCGCTGCAGGCGGCGGTGCGAGTCCTTGAAGTAGGGGCTCTTGAAGTGCGGCGACAGCCACAGCGGCTCGCCGTAGGGCACGGGGCTGAGGTCGCCGGGCTTCGGGGTGATGACCTCGGGGGTCTCGCCCTGGACGGTGCCGATGGCCAGGTCGGCGTAGCGCGAGAGCACCTCGTGGCGGTGCAGGTTGTAAAAGGCCGAGGTGGCGTCCTGGCCGGCGACCTGCTTGAGGACGCTCTCGCCGCCGGGGTGGGCGTCGACGAAGTCGGTCAGGTCGTAGACGGTGCTGTCGATGATGCACCAGAGGGAGTCTTCGGAGGTGTGGCTGCGCACCTCTTCGCGGGTGAAGGTCTTTGCCGGGGGAGCCATGGCTGTGGGAGGCGGAGGAGGAGGAGGAGAAAGAGGAGGAGAAGGAGGAGAATGAGGAGAAGGATGAGGGTGTCTATGTCTCGTCTATATCAACGGACGGGGGGAGGAGGAAGAAGATGCTGTAGATGCAACAGAGGTGAAGCTGTGGAGGAGGAGGTGGACAGAAGAAGACAAAAGACAAGGGCAAGAGTGTCAGCCTCAATTGAAGCTGCATTCCAGAGGCGCGACGTTGCTTTTAAGCTTCGGGGGGGGATGCCCCGGATCTGATGCTCGGCGGCTTGATGCATCTGGTTGGCCGTCGAGCCTCGGCAGAAGCTGGGGCGGATAGCTTTGGGGATGGAATAAGCGGGCTGTGATTGGCTGGGGGAGGGACGAAGCTGCTGATGCACCCCCGGCAATGGTGGAGATGCAAGCATCTGTGGTGGTCCGTATAATGTACTATGTATGATGTTGACCGAATTGAGAAACATGGCCGGTTGTATGTAATATGTAGGACCTATGTATGTATTTGAAGCCTTGACGTGTTCTTCTTCCCATAGCAAATAGCTTGATCGAGAAATATCAGCCCGGGGAGAGACAGATCAGAGCGGAGATGGTCGGGGCGTCGGAGTGCCATCGGCCAGGGCAGACTTGGAGATTGTGGGGTTTGCATCTCGCCCATCTCGAGCCTGGGGCATGTGAAAGTCCCCCGTTGCACAAGTACTGCATAGGTAGTAGGTATCGAGAATGGAGGCTTTGACGCCAAGAATTACACAGTAATAGCAATCAAGAGAAAAAAAAAAGCTGAAAACTAATACTTGGAGCTCTCAACACGATGCTAGAGGTACCTGTTGAGGATAGTCGTTCACCTGTACATAAGGTCTAGAGGTATGGAATCCTGCGATACCCCTGCCTGGGCTGATTCGTGCCGTGCCCATCCATGTCCGCTCACACATGCGTCGGTTCTACGTCCAGCCGACAATTGCGTCTACGACGGCCAAATCAAACACGCCATGATGCCTGAGAAGCCTTGGGCATAAGCATTATACAGTACATACAACCTGCAGGACTTGTAGAGTAAGGTAGGTGGCAACATGTGGTTGCTCCATGCCATGGGCCACGCCGCTATACTAAAGAGGGAGGGCCTGATGGATAGGTAGAATGGATCCTTATAATAATACCCGCCCAAAGCCGTAAAATCCACTTGTCAACGATTCACTAGTATTCGGAAAACAGTTCCGATCATTGTCTTCAGGTTTCATCTTTTTTTTTTTTTCTCTTCTTCTCCTCTCGTGAAACCACCATACAAGCGGAAGCCTTGGACATCTGCAACGCTGCATCACGGCTTACCGACAGGCCACTCCGCAACTGCGTGTAAGCCGATGATTTGCGACAAAACACCACTGCTTTGCCTTAGGTTGCAATAAGGTACATACATACATGGTTCGGGTCTTGACCAGCTGTAGCTTACGCCTTGGTAGGTAGGTACTTGATATCGTTCCTTTTTTTTTGTCATCTCAATTTTGTCTGTTATAGTAAGGTTGTCTCCACGTACAACAACAAAGCAGCAGTCTAGTGACTCTGTTTAACTGCTTCAACAACAGCTCGCACCCCATCACCTGACTTGACGAGCAACGAATGCCCATTATTTCGTTTATTGCAGACACCTGGGAAATGGCAAGCGCCGTCGTCTTGTGGGCGTTTGGCCACCTCCAGTCACCGGACCTGGTCGTGCCTCGTGGCCCTCGTGATCGGCCAATAGCGCTCCTTGCGACTATCTGCCCGTTGGGCCTCACTGCCTCGATATCTCTCAGCCGCATATCGAATCCTTCTGAGCTGTTTGCTGTTGATCTATTACATGTCGTCCCTCTCACTGCTGTCCTGATTCAATTACATCTTCTCAGCAGGCCTGCATCTTTTGCTTATTATTTCATTCTCCTGTCTCTTATACCATATTTGGACAGCTCCCACCTACTGCACATCTGCTTCAGTCTCACCAGCGCATCCACCCTGGAGCTTCAAAGTCAAGTGACACCAGACGACCCATTTCACAGCTACCAGCATTGACAATTACTACGCACAAGCCTACTCAAAATGGACGCTTATGCAATGTACCCAGCTAGTCTCTCAAAACAAGCCTCGTCCAGGATATATCAGGACCTCTTGGCATCGCGAATCCACAGCCTGGTGCAGCTGGCATCAGACCGTTCGGTGAAGACAGCCGCCGTCATGGAGAGCTTCAAGCAGGTATTAGCAGATTTCCCAGACATGCCCTCCTACAGCCCACGGTAAAATTGTCGCACATATGCTAGTCTGTACAACATCCGCGTCTTTCAGCATACTTGCGAAAGAAAATATCACCGCCATACCTTTCAATCACAGGACCATCCTCAAATGACTTTCAGATGGACACCTCTACTCACACAGCCTACAAACAGCGCCGAAAAGTGAACCCGGATTCCAAACCACATGTGGGTATCATCGGTGCGGGATTGTCTGGTCTTCGCTGCGCGGATATCCTGTTGCAGCATGGATTCCAGGTGACCATTCTCGAGGGCCGGGATCGCATCGGCGGCCGGCTCTATCAGGAGAGACTGGGAAACGGGCACTTGGTTGATATGGGGCCGAACTGGATCCACGGCACCGACGACAATCCCATGCTGGACCTGGCGAAGCAGACGGGAACGGCTGTTGGGGCCTGGGACCTGACGTCGTACGTGTTTGATGAGTCGGGCAGCCTGCTGCCGGTGCAAGAGGGAGAGGTGTATGCCACAATGGTGTGGGACATTATCCAGGACGCCTTTGTCTACTCCAACAAGTCGTCTGCGGACATTGACGCGAGGATAAGCCTGTTGGACTTTTTCAGAGAAAAGGTGGTGGAAAAGATTCCAGAAACAGAAGAAAACTTCGAGAAGAAGAGACAGACGGTGCTGCAGATGTCGGAGATGTGGGGAACATTCGTCGGCAGCCCTGTTGGTCAGCAGAGCTTGAAGTTCTTTTGGCTGGAGGAATGCATCGAAGGCGGTAAGTTGATGATGACGACAGTAGTATCATCCTTTGTTCTGGTCTGGAATGCTTCGAAAAGAACGGCGCTCTTTCGAGAAGGCAAACCATGAGCAAAAAAACACTGGACGAAAGCTGATCCAAGCACAGAGAATCTCTTTTGCGCAGGCACGTATCAAAAGATTTTGCAGGAGGTGGCGAGGCCGGCGCTTTCAAAGGCGACGATATCGTTCAACTCGGTGGCCAACAAGATCTTCTCTCGAACAAAGCCAGACGACGAGGTCCGGGTCCAGCTCAAGGGCGGCCAGACCTTGTCGTTTGACGAGCTCGTCGTCACATGTCCGCTGGGGTGGCTGAAACGAAATCTCACCGCATTCGACCCTCCCCTGCCGCCGGTGCTCACAAAGGCCATTGGCTCCATCGGCTACGGGAGTCTTGAAAAGGTCAGTCATCCATGCTTGGACCTCGTCCGTTGTTGTTGTTGTTGTTGGGTGGCGGCGAATGGAGACCAGCAGAGACGAGATTCGCTAACCCGTCCCAGGTCTACATCAGCTTCCCCAAGGCCTTCTGGCTGCCTGCCGAGGGTGATGGGCGTCGAGTCCAGGGATTTGCCCAGTGGATTGCGCCAAAGTACCATCCCGAGAACGCTCGGGGATGGAATCAGGAGGTGGTTGAGCTGGCCAGCATCGCACCCGAAGCCGCTCACCCGACGCTGCTCTTTTACATCTACGGCGAGCAGTCCGACTTCCTGACAGCAAGGGTTGCCGAACTGGAAAGCAGGGAGAAGAAGGACGCGTTCCTGCTCGACTTCTTCAAGCCGTACTATTCCAGGCTGCCGCAGTACTCCGAGGACTCGGCAGACTGCCAGCCTGTCTGCTGTCTCGCGACCAACTGGGTCCGCGATGAGCTGGCCGGACACGGCAGCTACTGCAACTTCCAGGTCGGCCTCACGCACGGCGATGAGGACATCAAGGCGATGAGACACGGTCTGCCGGTGCAGGGGCTGTGGCTGGCAGGCGAGCACACGGCGCCCTTTGTCGCACTGGGCACAGCAACGGGTGCGTACTGGAGCGGCGAGTCGGTGGGCAAGAGGATAGCGGAGGCGTACAATTGCAGCCTGCAGGTGACTCTATGAGTCTGACCGGGGGCGGCGTTGAGATCAATGTGTCGAAGTACGTAAGGTAGCTTTTGCTGCAGATTAGGTGGCCATCACAGTGCTCGTGCCATGCATGCATAGGTATATACATACATGTATCTGATATCATCACCACCACTACCGTCCTCGATTGGATGAGCCGAGCCGCCATCATCTCGACATGGGGAGCACAAATGAGCCAATTCACCAGGCAGCATCTGCGTGCTTACGGCTCCTACTGAGTACCTACCTAAGAGCAGAGCAGTAGCAGCAGCAGCTGTATGTTAGTAGATACAGGTACATTGATACTTGTATGCTCAGATGCCTAACGACAAGACAAGACTGCGTACATGTGCTGTCGCCGTTGGTGCATGTGCAGATGCGTCAAGTGGTTGGCCTTGGCCGTACCCGTTGGTTCCACCCTTCATGACCAACTGTTCGGACCTAGCCTTACAGTTAGGCCTAAAAACCCTGTTCCACCTTAAAAATCATTCCACCTAATTTATATAAGAAATACAGCTATTTTACAGAGATTATAATTTTTATTATAAATATAGCGTTTTTTTATAATTAAAATAGTTATATTTAGTGTTTTTATAATACCCTTAAAGTTCTAAAGTCTGCTAATATATTTATAATCTTTTTATATAGTGTTTTAGCCCTGGCTAAGGTTAGTAAGGGCAGTAAGTTAAGGAGGGCATTATTATTACTATTATTATTAAAAAGGGCAGGAAGGTTATAGTTACTACTAGCCTTATTACTACTAGCCTTATTATTACTAGCCTTATTACTGCTAGCCTTATTACTACTAGCCTTATTTAGCATTATAATTTATATCTCTTCTTATATAGCCTTTTATATTTCTTCTTATATAGCTTCTAGATTCTTATTATTAGTATTATTAAAAGGCCTTATTATAATATTAATAAAGCTATTAGTTAGTACTACCTAAAAGCACTTTAATATCTTTTTTAAAATCTATAGCTTTATTAAAGCTTATTAAAGGACTTCTTTAATATATTAAAATTATTATTTAGTTATATTTATAAAAAAAATATTATTTTTATAGTTTAAAAGCTTAGTAAATGCCTTATTTTAAACTTTAAAAATAAGGAATTTATTCTTTTTTTTTATATAGTTAAGCTAAGACTTAAATATTATTTTTTTTAGCCTAGCTGCCTTTTTTTTTATATAGTTAGCCTGCTATTATATTTTTAATTATTTAATCTTAAGCTTAATAACCTAGCAGCTTTTATAAAGCTAGGCTTTTATTATTTTAGCTTTATTAGCCTTCCTTACTTATTAATTTTATTATTAAATTTATTTAAAACTAATAATAGTATAAAATTCTCTAATTAGTTAAATAAAGCTGCCTTACTTCTTATAGCATAATAGTAACTTAATATAGTAATTTTAATTAACTATAAAGTTATTAATATTTTTTTTAAGTATAGCAGCTTTTATAACTATAAGGCTAGCTTATTAAAGACCTTTATAAATTAGCAAGCTTATAAAATTACTATATTTTTTATAAATATAGCAGATTAAAGCTAAAGCCTAATAAAAATATATATTTTTAAGCAGTAATAATAAAAATACTAAATTAATGCTTTACTAATGCTTTACTTATTAAATAAAGACTTTAGCTAGTGCTAGTAAGGTATTAGGAGGAAAAAGACTAGTCTTTTTAAATTTAAATATAATATTATATTTTATAAAGCCCTTATTATATATAGCTTAAAAGGAAGTTAAAAAGTCTAGCCTTATAAAGGCTAGGTTCTTTTTAAAAAGTAACTTTTAAAGTATCTTTTAATAAGTAGCTTTAAGCAGCTAGAAAATGCTAATATTAAGCAGCTAAAGGATATAGGTTAAATATAATAAAAATTAAATAATAAAGATATTAAATTTAATATAATATTTAATAAAGTTAAGGCTTATATAGCTTATAAAGCTATTAATAATAAGAATATAATATATCTTCTTTTTTTTAAGCTGCTAAACTAGTAGTATATTAAATAGCAGCACTTATAGTCTTTTAGAATCTTAAAGCTATACTATATAGCTAAACCACTCTTTAAAAAAGCAGCTAGACCTTTAAGCCTTAGCTAACTTCTGCTATAAGATTTAATTAAAATAATAAAGCTATTTTAATATAATCTTAATATTTAAAAAGCCTATTTTTAAGTAAGTAAAATAAATATTATAATTAGCCTTAATCTTTACCTAAAACTTAATAAAAAATATTTTAAAAATTATTTATAGTAAAATAAACTTACTAATAGTATTAATATAGTTAAGGAGGGTGTAAAACTTGCAGTTACTTAAATTAAGGACTTATAGCTACTAGGCCTAGGATATATAAATAATAATTATAAAGATAGTTTTATAAAGGTATTTAAGCTAAATGCTATACTTATTTTTATTTTAAAACTTTAAGGCGCTAATATTATACTTAATAATAAGATCTTCTAGATTTTAAAAAAAAATTATAAAATTCTTAAGGTTTAATGCTTTAAATAACTTCTAGGCTTTATTAATAGCCTTAATAAATAACTTTTAAAGCTTTAAATAATTTAAAAGCTACTAACTATATTAATTTTTTAAAAAATCTAGTATTTAAGGGTCTTACTAATACTAGAGATTATTAGCAGTAGTAATAAGCTAAACCTTAGTTATTAAAAAGCCTCCTTTTTAAAGCTATATAGTATATACTACTAAGGCCTTATCTTCTTTATTTATAAGTAATTATAGCTGGCCAGGCTATTAAGGGATAGGATTAAAGGCCTTTAAAAAGGAAATTATATACTATATAGCAGTATAGCTTATATTAAATTTAATAGCAGCAGTATAAATAAATAAAGGCTTATAGCTATAATAAGGGTAATTATAATTTTATAAGATAGCAGCAGCTGCCTTAAAGGTAATAGGGAGTTTATTTATAAAATCTATTATTAATTTTTTAGTATTTTAAGATAGATAATTATGCATTATTATTTATGTTTATATATAAAATAGGTGTGTTATTAAACTAGCGGCAGTGTGGAATGATTTTTAGGGTGGAATAGGGTTTTTAGGCCTAACTGTGAGGCTAGGTCTAAACAGTTGGTCATAAAGGGTGGAACCAACGGGTATTATCTCAGGTGCTGCCGTGGCTCGCCGATCCACTGCTGGATGCATTGATACTGTAGGTAGTACTGGTATGCCAGCAATCCGGACATTGGCTGGCCAACCGGCTCTAGGGGAACCGATGCGTGCGCTGTCCACCTAGGCTGGACTGTGACGATCGTGATAGGGAAAGCGGTGGTGTTTCTGATTGGGCGGTTGATGCTGTTGCGCTGCCGATATCAGGCTGCCTAGAACGGGGTGCCTTGTGTGAGGGAGAGATGGATGGATGCAAAAGTGATTGGAGCCGCTGTACTTCAGCATTGATGTGCCCTACATGTACCTTAATGTAAGGTAAGGTACCTAACCTGCCGGGGCGGCTATTAATCAAGAATGCGGACGCCGCTTTGAGCATGGATCCGTTCAATCTGGGCTCGTCAAGGAAGACGGGATTGAGCATTGATCCGAGTGCTGCCCCCTGTAGCTGTACCTTGACAGATGCCGCTTCGGCACAGAGCAAGCAGACAAAAGCATCATGTCGTCTCGTACCGAGTACATGCTCCCCAACAGCCTCGGTGGGTGGTTAGGTCCCTCGGTGTGCTAAGGCAGTGACATAGGTTCCAGGTCCCCCATTCTGCTACGAGGTACAAGCTGGTACGTCCCGGACTGACGTCGCCTACGGCTATCGATAGCGGCCCCAGCGGTCAACTGACGCTGCAGCTCCCTGTCTCTTCCCTGCCATGGGGCCATGATCCCCCCCCCGGCAGCGTCACGAGCTAGCGGGTGAATGGGGCTTCTCGGGGGTCTGTGGTGCAGGCGTAGCGCTGCCGCCATCGGCATAGCGGCGCTGGGGGTAGCGCCAGGTATCGCCTTAACTGCCTGCGCAGCTCGTGAGTTCATGCTCCATGTCCTTGTCCAGCCCCTCAACCGCTCAACTGACTCTTGGTCTCGCCTTGACCCAGTACCTACCTGACCTTTACCTTTCAGGTCACCTCACCTTTTGCCTTTTACCTCTTACTTGCATCTCGTACGCCTCGGCGCCGACAAACTTTGTCCTTTCAGCAAACCCTTTGTGGCTTCAGGCTGCGATAACGATAACAAAGCGACGCTTCCCAACCCCCAGCCAGCCCGAGCGGCCAGACCTTGTTGCGCCCTGCTTGCCTCAACACGGAACCCTTCGCCTTTCATGCCTCGCCTTGTCTCCGTCTAATCATGAGCCTCGTCCCCGCATTTGGCCGGGGGTCTGTTGATATCGCGCCTACCTCAGCGTTTGGCTGGCCGGCCTGGATCCGGTGACGAGTCGATTCGCCTTTCGTTTATTTGCCCTTGTCCTCTCGAGCGGCCGGCCTGCTTCAAGTCTCCCATACTCTCTACACCTATTCTCCGTCTCCATCATTCAGCGCCTCGAGACAAGCCCATCATGGCTGGCCTGTTCCAGTCATTTCGGAGCTCCAGCATGCCCAAGCGGCTGCTGCGATATGCCTTATCGCGGCTGGAGCTCCTCGACTCTGATGCGTTGGATATGGACAACCTAGATCTCGCCTTGGGCAGAAACACCGTCTTTGAGTTTCGGGACGTTGGAGTCCAGCTAGATGTGAGTCCTTGCTTTCCATGATGGGATTGATCATCGGGCCATTTCGGGGAACATTGGTGACAGGGCAGAGCTGACGTCTACCTTAGAAGCTGGAGAAGCTGCTGAAGCTGCCCAAGACGTTTGCGCTGCAGAAAGCCAAGGTCGTCCTCCTCCGGGTCACGATTCCGATGGACTTCTACACGAGCCCTATCAGCATCGAGGTCGATGGCGTCGATGTCAAGCTGAAGGTGGTAGTTCCCGATGCCAAGGCCAAGTCGAGCCATCCCACGACGACGACCGACGACGATGACGACACCGCCGCCGCCGTCCCGAATACCGTTGATCTTGCGCAGTCATTCCTCGAAACGCAGCCGTCCTCGGAGAGACGGAAACTCGAAGCGGCGCTGGCTGCGGAAACACAAGACCTCGGCGCATCCGGATCCATGAGCGACGATAGCAGCGAAGATGAGCCAGTTATGGGTACTGGGCAGCCTTTGTCATTGCCGGGCTTTCTGGCCGGATTCCTGCAAGGAATTGTTGATCGCATGCAAATTAAGATCCAAGGCGTGGCTTTTCAGCTAGATATGGACATTCCGGTGGACGTCAGTGCGTCGGCTACAGAGCCGGTCTCTTTCCAGATCGCGCTGGAGGGCATCGACATCGAAGGCGTCACCACGAAGAGCGAGGGATCACGAGCGTCAGCGGTGGCAGCGCCCAAGGAAGGCAAGCGGCAAATCTCCCTAGACAACGTCCGCGCCTACTTAATATCTGAAGCCAACGTCTTTTCGACTTTAACCCGGTCCTCATCCATGACTTCGCCATCTGCAGCATCGTCCCCTGTTCATTCGCGGAATCCACCTTCAAGAGAAGCTACAAGCCTTTCCTTGGAGAGTCTCCAGGAGCCTGCTTTCGAGCCTACTTTTGCGCCGTCCTTCGTGCCTTCAGCATTGTCGTCACATCCGGGCTACCTCGATCAGACCCAAGAGTTACCCCGAGAAGGTGTTCACGGCCAGCAGATGTCGATGTCACAAACGAGTAGCAGCGACCCATCCATACAGTCGCTACACGCAAGCTTCCTAGGTCACGGAGCCGATATCCACAGCTCGGGACAGCCCAGCTATCCTTTGGCAGATAGCGAAGAAGCCCTTGGAATTCCGTACGAGTTTGAAGACGACGGCGGGCCTGATGACGAATGCCCCGCGACTCCCCGCGCTTCACAATCCCGAGACTTCCACTCTCCCGAGGATACAGCTTTCCACTCTCCCGAGGACCCTGCCTTGAATACTTCACCAACCCTACGAAGAGATATTGATGACGGACTTTCATTATCCCAGGGTTACTTTGAGGAGCATGGGATGACCTCCTCCTCATTATTACAGCATCCAGAAGGTCTAGAGGCTTTTGGTATTTACGGCCTTCAACCTTCCCCGGGTTCGGAATCCGAAGGCCACGCCGAGCCGGGAGATCTGGATGAAGATCTCGCACAGTCGCATCTATATACTCATGAGGAGGCTGAGAGCATGTATATGAGTGCTTTTTCAAAGGCAGGAGCCCAGTCATCGGATGACATATCAGAACTCGAATCCTCGAGACACACTATTCATCCAGCGGACGTTGAACGCACGATGAACTCAGCAAACGTGGGGGAACACGCCGCTGTCCACCCAGCAGACGTAGAGGAGGAACACACTCTTCCGCCAACGGACGTGGATGAGCACACTCAACCTCCGGGGGATGTAGACAAACACACATACAGTCCAGGGGCTGAGGACGAGCATACACTCTCCTTAGGCGATGCGGACGAACATGCTCTCCCTCCAGTCGAAGTGGACGAATATCCGCTCTCCCAAGGGCATATGGACGAACACGCACCCTCCACAGGCAATGTGGACGGACACACACTCTCTTCGTCTCCCGTGGACGAGCATACTGCTCATTTGGCAGACGTGGAGGGGCATGCCCTTTCTCCAGCGGATTTGGACAAATACAGACTTTCTCCAGAGGGCGTTGATGAGCACACTCTTTCCCCAGCAGACGTGGAGGAACATACTCTTCCTCCGGCGGATGTAGACAGACAAAAGTCTCCCTCGCCCACCGAAGAGGCGGCAGAGCTTTTGCAAACCCCTCAAGCCGCCCAAGGGCAGTTCAGTCAATCCACAACTCCATTCGCGATGCCGGGTGGTTGGGATGATGACGTCTCAGAAACTGATAGAGCCGAGTCTCCCGAGAAGCAGCACCCTCCTAGCGATAGTATATCAGAGCCACAGCCTCAGCTGGTGCCCGAAGGCGAAGCGGCGCCGACAGCCGAACCCGCAGTTGAGCAACAGAACCCAAGCTCTTCAGTAGCTCCACGAGCCCCGACAGAAGGTAAACCTGGTTCGAGGGATGCGGAAGAAGAAACATCTCACCTTGAGGATACGGCCACCCCGAAAGGGCCTACACGAGTTGTCAAGGAAATCCTGCATCTCCAGTCCGTCTCCGTTTACATACCAACGACACATCCACATATCGAACTGGAAGAAGACACATCTGAGTCAGTCGCAGAACTTGCCCGAGCTATGAGCAATTCAGTATATCCTCAGGCTCCCGGAGCCTTCTCTGTGCATGCACCCGCGTCCGGCTCCGTGTTTGAACAACGGCCTAACATACAGCAGACTCAGAGCGCCGATAATGCATTGGAGGTGGACTTGTCTCCAGTGTCCATTCGCTTTGATGCGTCGCTAGCGTTTGTGCTTGCGATGATCGTTGGGAAGCTTGTTGATGCGGTGAAGAGTAAGCATCCGGTTGCAAAACCCCATCAAGGTGCCGACGCTGCACAGCAGCAGGAAAAAACCCCAGAGGTCAGAGTAACGGTGAAGGAAGTGTCCGTGGACTTCTTGAACCGACTGGCCGGAGTGGCAGACACCCCTCGGCGTCACCTGGATCCCTCGGCATTCATGTTCGACCACGAGGTCCTCCTGAATGCAACTCTGCGCAATTTGGGTGTCTCTGTGGCGCCTGTCAAGATACCGTCAGGTCATGTAGTTGGAGGGACGGCTGGAGAGGCACAGGATGCGATCCAGACCAGGATTGACCTGGAAACTTTCCGCTTCGGATACAGCAACGGCGACATCATCTCTTTCGACAAAGCTGCACAAATGAGCACGTCTGTCAGGGACACGTTCCTCTCGAACGGGCATGATATCGCCATCAAGATGTCACAAGCCAAGGAGAGTGTCAGAACAGAAATCGAGACGCTGCCATTGGCGGTTCATGTGGATTTGCAACGACTGGACGAGACATTCAGCTGGTTCGGAGGTCTGAGTAGCTTTCTCAATATGAGTGCTTCCATGACGTCTAGCCCGTCGCCCACACCCAAATCACCGTCGAAGCCAGCGCAGCGGGCCAAGGGCGTACGCTTCGAGACACCAATTAACCCAGACGACAAGTCTGCTGTTTCTGAAAACAAAATCAACATGCGCATAGGTGGCTCCTACATCGAACTTGTTGGCAGGGAATGCAGCTTTGTCGCGGAGAGCAACGCCATCAAGTTCATCAACAGGGAACGAGGCGCCGGAGTAAGCTGCAGCAGGATGCGCGTATCCGGTCCGTATCTGAAGAACTCGATGGCGAAACCTGCCATCAACACCGAGATTGGTGGGGTGCGGTTGGAGTTTGTCACCACTCCCAACGATTCGGACCTCGAGAGGCTGCTTGGCTTAATAACGCCCTCCAAGGCCAAGTTCGATCACGGTAGCGACGAGATCATGGTTGATACCCTGATACGCCAGCGAAGAAAGGGTTCGGTTCTCAGGGTTGGAGTAGAAACGTTGAATGTGCGGGTGAAGAACCTGGCTCAGCTCGAGGTGCTTCCAGCCCTAGCCGAAGAACTGGCCAAGCTGTCAACCGTCGCAAAATATCTCCCAGAAGATGACAGGCCTGGGATCATGACACTTGCGAAAGTGCATGAACTTGGCGCAAGCGTTGAGCTCGGTGGTACCTTTGGGCAACTCAGCGGGGAACTGAAAGAGCTTGAAGCTGCGCATATCAGCATTCCCTCGCTGGTGGCTGTTGCGGTATCGGGCATCTCCGTCAGGCGTAACAAGACCGAGGAACTCATCAGTTCCTCGGTTCTATATGCTCCAGCAGAGATTGCGAATCGCGGACCCGTCATCATGGCAAGGATGATTGGTGACGACATTGAGCCCATTGTGAAGCTGAATCTGCAAGACATCAGCATCGAGTACCGCGTTCCGACGATCATGGATATTCTTGGTCTGGCAAAGGATGCTACGCCGCAGGATTTTGAAGAGAGCTTGGCCGCCTCGGTCGCCAGTCTCGGCGACCAGGCTCACGCAGCTCTGGCACGACAGCAGCCCCTATCGCCAACACATGCTCCCTCGAAGCAGAGCAAGCCACTCACTCTGGATGTGTCATTCCGAGATTGCCTTGTTGGCCTGAACCCACTGAATCAAAAGTCAAAGATGGTCCTTGTGTTCACGGACGCTCGACTTGCCGTTGTTCTTCCCCAGGACGAGGTCACAAAGGTGACTCTGGATGTTCACAAGGCGTCAATCTTACTCACCGATGATGCCTCGCAGGCCACTTCGGATTACCGCCCCTCGTCGAGCACAAGGCGCCGAGCGTCCTCTTCGGCATCCCCTCAAGCAGTCTCTCTGAGTGCGCAAGGCTTTGTTGACATTTGCTACATGTCGTCAGCAAAGGTAACTGTTGTTGTTGCTCCCGGTGTAGATGGCGAGAAGCAGGTGGAGGTCGAAGTCCGAGATGACCTCTTGGTGTTGGAGACTTGCGCAGATTCTACCCAGACTCTGATAAGCTTGGCCAATGCACTTTCGCCACCCACACCGCCCAGCAAGGAGAACAAATACAGGACCAAGGTGATGCCCGTGCAGGATCTGCTTGCCTCAATCTCGGCAGAGGCGTTTGGGAGGCCGGAGGGAGAATACGACTTTGATCAAGACTTTGCCGGCGCCCAGGAAATGGCCAAGAGCCAGTCCGAGGCCGGCTTCGGGGTGGACAACAATTTCCCCATCGAGTCGCAGTTCTATGGGAGTGAAGCCGAAGGAGAAGAGCTGTTTGATGCCATGAAGCTGTCTGCCACATCGCAAGACACACGAATGCAAGATACCCAGGAGGGCGTCTTGATCACGGGACTCGACCGTTCTCGCAGCTACGTCTCAGAAGGTTCTAGCGATGATTTGGCCTTCAAGGAAGACTTTTTCAACGAATCTGCGCCTGACGAGCATGGCGCCAAGATATGGAACTCGGTCAAGAACTCGTACGACAAGGCTCCCGCCAACTTAGTGAAACGCAGCCCCCTCAAGGTGTCCGTGAGAGACGTCCATGTCATCTGGAATTTGTTTGACGGCTACGACTGGACGCATACGCGCGACACGATCAGCAAGGCCGTTCAAGACGTGGAGACCAAGGTCTATGAGCGCCAGGCACGACTCGGCGGGCGGCAGGTCTTTGAAGAGGAGATTGAAGACGAAGAGACCATTGGCGACTTCCTGTTCAACTCCATCTACATTGGGATTCCGGCGAGTCGAGACCCCCAGGAGCTGTCTCGTGCAATCAACGAAGGCCTGGCCGATAATGCAACGGAGACGGAATCGGTTGCCACCACAGCGGTGACGACATCGACGAATCGAACCGTCCGCAGAGGGTACCCCAAGTCGCGACGCCTCAAGCTGCAGCGAAGCAAGCACCACAAGATTACCTTCGAGCTCCAGGGCGTCAACGTGGACATGGTTGCCTTCCCGCCTGGCACCGGAGAAACGCAGAGCAGTGTTGACATACGCGTTCAGAACCTTGACATCTTTGACCACGTCCCTACATCCACTTGGAAGAAGTTTGTGACGTACGATCGCGACCAGGGAGAACGCGAGATGGGCACCAGCATGGTGCATCTCGAGCTCTTGACAGTCAAGCCACTGCCAGAACTGGGAGCTTCGGAGATTGTGCTCCGAGCGACGGTGTTGCCCCTGAGGCTGCACGTCGACCAAGATGCGCTCGACTTCATCACTCGCTTCTTCGAGTTCAAGGATGATAGTGTGCCAGTGCATTCGTCGCCCAGCGACGTCCCCTTCTTACAGAGGGCCGAGGTGCACGACATCCCCGTCAAGCTAGACTTTAAGCCAAAGCGAGTGGATTATGCTGGTCTTCGCTCTGGCCACACGACCGAGTTTATGAACTTTATCACGCTGGAGGAGTCTAGGATGGTCCTTCGGCATACAATCATTTACGGAGTATCTGGCTTTGACCGGCTGGGCAAAACGCTCAACGACATCTGGACGCCCGACGTCCGTAATAACCAGCTTCCGGGCGTCGTGGCAGGTCTGGCGCCCGTGAGGTCTCTCGTGAACATTGGTAGTGGCTTCAAGGATTTGATTGAGATTCCCCTCAAAGAGTATCAGAAGGACGGCCGCATCATCCGAAGCATTTCCAAGGGAGCAGCAGCATTTGCCCGCACAACCGGCACGGAGCTGGTCAAGTTTGGAGCGAAACTGGCCGTCGGGACGCAATACGCTCTGCAAGGAGCAGAAGACATGCTCACCACGGGGATCAAGCCAGACGATGGCTGGGATGACGACGACCCCGATGCAGAAGACAAGAAGCAAATCTCGATCTATGCGGACCATCCTACGGGGGTGATTCAAGGTATCCGGGGTGGCTACAGATCGCTTGCTCGGGATGTGAACCTGGCACGAGACGCAATCATTGCCGTGCCAGGAGAGGTGATGGAGAGTCAGACGGCTACGGGAGCCGCCAAGGCAGTGCTGCGACGAGCGCCTACCATCATTTTCCGGCCTGCAGTGGGTGTCTCCAAGGCCATTGGACAGACATTGATGGGAGCGACGAACTCGATTGATCCACACAATCAACGCAGAATTGATGAGGTAAGTTGCTTGGGCATGTCCCTGACGCGGGTACGGCATGGAGAGGCTAACACTTTTGACAGAAATACAAGAAACATTAGATCATGGCTGGAGACAATGTCTTCGCGAGAAGAAGTTTTTGAATGTGGCCATAGCGGATGCTATATACGCGCAAGAGGACCATTGTTTAGAGTTGCTTGTGGCAGCCGGCTTATAAAGCGACGAAATTTGTTACGACGACAAGCACAGTGGGTAGATTACTCTCCTTTATACTTGCTTTTTTTTCTTGTTCTTTTTCTTTCTTTTCTTTTTGGGGCCGTACGTATAACGGGCATCATGTTGTGCTTTGATTTGAGGAGGGGCATCTTTGATGGCAATGATGTCTGGTCCTGTTTGGATTATTTCTTTCTATCAGGGGTTGGAATTGGCGTTTGGGAATGTCGAACTATACCTGAACAGAATGATGTCTGTCTTTGTTTTCTTATCTTGGGTATTGCTATATGGATGGATCGGGGAGAGACGTATGGATCATTGAGATATGTGGGCAACTTCCAGAATGACAGCTTGAGAGTACCACCAGATTACAAGATAGACAGCGCCTACGCGAACAAATCTGATACATGGACTTTTATCTGACGATGCTTGCCATGCCCATCAGCCTCGGTTGTTAGACCAAGTTGTTGGGGTCAATGTAAAAAGCCTTGGTCAAACTGTCCAACGCCTTGTCCATGTCTCCTCCCCAGCTCTTCTTGCCCGCCTCAATCACCCTCTGCCGACTCTTGAGCAGCTCCTGAGCCACATCCGACCATTCCAAGCGCGTCTTCTTGGTAGACTTCAGGTCCGACATGGACAGATCAAGATCAACGGGCACAAGGTTTCCGCGCTGCTTCACGATCCTGCCGTCGACAATGACGGTCTCGATATCCGCAATACTCGAGTGCAGGACAATCGCCGCGACGGGATCTTGCTCTGCAGCGCAGATCATGCCAGGGGTAAGACCATCAAAGATGACTATATCAGCCAGTTTCCCCTGTTCCAGGGATCCGAGCTGGGGTTCCATTCCAATGGCCCTCGCGCCGCCCAACGTACCGAGTTGAAAGACGTCGTGGACAGACAGGTTGAGGTGTTTCGGTGCTTTGCCCTGTTGAATGAGCGCAGCGTTGCGGATCCCGCGTTCGGCCTGCAGGCCGAGACGCATCTGGTTGACGAGGCTGGAGCCGTTGTTGCTGTGGCAGTCGATGCCGAGGGAGCTGATGGACGCCGTGTCTTTGCGGAAGCAGACGGGGTGGCCGAGGCCCATCTGGAGCTCGGTGTCTGGGGTGGAGGAGATGGATGACCCTGCGGCGGAGAGCTTTTGGGCGTCGGAGGGGGTGAGGTTGTTGGCGTGGGAGAGGAGGATGTCTGGGGCTAGGAGGGCGTGGTTTTCGAGCATGTCGACGATGGAGTGTTGGCCTTTTGTTTTTTATTTTGAGTATATATTGTTAGTTGGTTGGGATCTATGATGAGATGGTGGTGAAGGATTGGGATGGGGATGAGTGAGTGAGGAAGTAAGGGGTTAGCAGTTATACCGAAGATTGCGCCGCGGACGTAGTGCGTTGTGAAGACTTTTGCGCCGGCTCGACGACATTTTTGATAGAGATCCGTGACAGTCTCCTTGGGGAGGAAGAGGGCGTCAAAGGCGAGGCCGACGCTGACGCGGCCGTTTCCGTAGGGCCCGTTCTTGATGAGCTCTTGGGCCTGGTCGACGGCCCAGGAGGGCAGGATGTCTGGGTTGAGGGTGAGTTGAGGGTCCCATTGCTGGACGCGGGTGGTGGGTGCGTAGCAGAAGGTGGAGCGGATGCCGGAGGACATGGCTGCTGCGAGGGCGTTTGTGTCTGTTTGACGATGTTAAGACGCTTTGGCTTGGATTTCAAGGCTGGAAGGGGGGGGGGGTGAGAAAGGGGGAGAGGATGGAGGGTTGCGTACTGTGAGCTGGGGAGTAGTTCATGTGTGCGTGGTCGACGACGGTCGTTGTTCCTGCGTTTAGGGCTTCGAGGCAGCCGCCTAGTTCTCCCCAGAAGATGTCTTCCGGAGTGTAATTGTAAGATTGCATGTTGCCTGAAATAACCATGTCAGTTTCTTGAGAACCAAATTATGAGGGATGGAAAATTTGTTGCTGACCAGTCGGCACATATTCCATCAAGGTATGGTCCGCATGCCGCCCCTTGAGCTGCGTCTGCCACACATGATGATGCGTGTCGATGAATCCAGGAGACACAATCTTGCCGGTACAATCAATGACTTGGGTCTCGTCGGAGGGGGCATCGATGCGGGCTGCAATGCGGGAGATCTTGTTGCCCTCGATGAGGAGCGAGTGGTTTCGGAGGGACACGACCGGTTTATTCCCAGCTGGACCTGGGACTAGGATGGTGGCGTTGCGGAGGAGGATGGATGAAGTTGGCATGGTGGGCAAGCTTGCGAGGAATTGCTCGACAGCGAGACAGTTGGGTACCTAGCTTGGGATTTTCTGAGAAGGGTTACTGCTGCTTCGATGGAGGTTCGGGAACAAGTTGTTTCTTTATAGGTATTCCTATGATGCTGGCACTGACGACAAAATAAAGGACCTTTTGGCCGATGTGGAGGAGCTATTTCTAAGCCGGAATTATATCCATGAACAGAATGTTTGCGAAGACGGGTCGGCAGCAGGGGAGATTTGAGGCTTGTTTCTGAGGCACGTCAGAATGACATGAAGTTATCTTGGTTCAACTACGTACCTATTTAATGGTTGATCCCACGACTTGACTACCAGGTACCTAGGTAGTGCTTATCAATCCTTAATGGTGCCTGGATCTTTCTCTTTGGTTTCAGATCCAAGTGCAGTTGTATGTGATTAGAATCTATGGAACTCATTGACAGAAGTGAAAACTGATACTGAAGCTCGCTCATTGTAAACATAACGTGTCAAGACATTCGGTGGATAACGACTTTGGCAGCCTCAACTCGGCACATGGGTTTTCCGGGTTCATGCAACCTGCAGAGTATAACGAAACTAGACCCTCTTATGTCTTCTGAGCCGAATTTCCTCTGGAGAAAAGAAGCAGTCACAGAGAGCGAATTGATAATCATCAGGAGTCAAGATCGGTTGGTGTTCCTAGCAATTCAACCCTAGGAAGATGTGTATAGCGTCACCAAATCTGGGGCGCTCGCCGTATTCTCAATCGGGAATACACAGCTCGAACGGGTCTGATAGCCACTGGCTCCAGACTTGCTCGTCTTGTCTGGGGTTTTGATGAGCCACGACGGGTATAAACCCCGGTGGAGTTTATAAGTTGGTCACAGCAGACGCGGTGCTACATCTGCACTCGCAATGTATGACCATGGGCGTATTCAATCTAGGTATGCACATATAAGTTTCTGTCCGCATTAAGAAACAATGACATACTATGTGATTCTACTCGCACGTAAGGTAGTGTGAATCTTGAAAGTTACTCCATCTTCGGGCCATCAGCACTTGCACCGAGAGCAAACACAGTTGTAACAACTGCCTTGTCTTGGAAAGAATAATATATTGTCGTCTATATTGCCGTGGCCCCAGCTGTCTCAAGCAAGGAAGCATGCCAACACCCGACAGACAAGCTATAGACCGTCAAACAGTCCAAGGTTACAATATGTTTCTCTATGTATCTTCTTCCCTTGGTGAGTTATTCTCATATAAGGCAAGTCCCTTGATTCAGTCTCGCAAGCTTGTTGCAGAGGGTATCAGCAGACCATGTAGAAGATCGATCTCCTGTTTCTTGACGAGACGGTGCACATAGAGCCTTGTGCGTATCATAACTTCTCCTCCACTCTCCTCACTCTCTGCCTCTGCTGTAACTGTGCCTTCTGTGCTCCTGAATCTCGCGCCAGGAAAGGGTATCTATTACATTTGCCCAGCGGTAGAGTGAACGATGGAGTGGTAATTCGCTGTCCTTGTTCAATCACTCATTGGTACAGACGATACATAAGACAGAGAGATTAGCGAAGCTGGACTTTCTCGCTGAAAAGTGAATCTTGAAAAGTGAAAGAAGATTCAGGGGCCAATCTTTCAGACTAGAACCAAAGACTCAACCGTCGCATACTGTAGGAACCTCACAAACCCTCCTTTTCCGTTACAGAACGAATGCCAAGTCCCAACCCTGTAAAACTTGCCGTTCTCGCTCTCCTTTATAGTTGGGAACAGAAATAAGCCGAATGCCGTTCGGTCGTCCTCCTCCACATCGCCATTTTCGCTGATGTTACCATCACTTGATGCAGCATTTCCAGGGGAGACCTCGCCTGAGCTCTTGCCTCTACCGCTGCTCAGCAGCAACATACGGAGATGCTGAAATTCGCCCTTGTCTATCCTGTCCCATGAGGTGTAACTCAGAAAGTCCCAGTTCGTGTGGCAGAAGTATTGGCCCGAAATGGTCCACTTCCAGAAGAGATTGGTGTCTGCCTCTCTGAGTTCGTCTACTTCCAGGGGTTTGTCGGCGTTGGCGAGCGGAAACCGCGCAACAAAGCCGGTGATCTCAAGCTCTTGGCCTCTGAACTGCATGAAGCGATCCACCACTGAGCTCTCATCGCCGCTCTTGCCCGGCAACCTCCATTCCAACCGGAGTGTCTCGTCAGTCAAACCCGGGGACGGTGTGATCGACATGTCGCCGTGGCCGTCGCTGCCATCATCTTCAGGTTCGGTAGGTAAAACTGAATCCCTGATATACTGATAGTCGATATTGATCCTTTGTATCCAACTCCACGACGGCGCATGTAGGAGGACTCGTTCTGGCAATTCAGGATCAAGAAGGTTAAAAAACCACCCCCACGAGATGCCCTCGTACATGGCGCGGCGCCAGAGAAGTTGCTCGTGAAGCTGGCTGAGCCACATACCGGAGCAGTACTCATCCTTCTCCCGCAAAGAGTGGAAACGATGAGCCAGTCCCGCCAGCGCCGCGATGGCATCTGTGTGCTTGGTAAAGTTACGCTGCGAGTAGGAGGCGACAATATGCTTCCACGCCTCGTCGAGCTTGTCACCCGACAGCGTGCTTGGCAGAAGAGGGAACAAGCCCAAGTCGTCAAGACTGACAGAGGTCTCAGTGTCTTCTCCCTCGGTCACCCGCGAGGTCCGGCAATGAAAGTGGGTTGCTGAGGCGCCAAAGAGGACCATTCTCGAAGACAAGGCTGCCTCTTGGAACGTCCATCCCCTTCGGACCCAGGACCCCGAGATGAGATCCACGGCAAAAGGATGGTGCGGGACAGTCAAGTACATTTTCCAAATCCAGGAGCGGGTGAAACGGATTCTGTACATCCCGGCCGGCTGGCCGTTCAAGGAGTGATACGGGAATACAATGCTCGGGGGGTCTCGAAAGAGGAACCCGTTCAGGCAGGACTTGGACATTGTCGGACAGAGTGTGATATATGCGCTTCCGTAGACTTTGTGCATCGAGCCGGCTTCCTTTTCCCAGTCCTGTAGATTTCCTTGGATGATGCAGAGGCAATCGATCCAGATGAAGGGGATGCCAAGCTCCCGAGTTGCGCGAATGGCGTCCTTGAGCACAGCAGGCATGCCCTTCATGGGGATCTCAAACAGATGCTGACCTATATTCTCGTCGGTGGTCTTCAGCTGTTGATCGGCGTGGGCTCTGGGGCCCCAGCAATAACTCAGAGCTGCGTATTTCGGTGCACTGCTCGAGGAGGCATCGTCACCACCGACTATAGTGAAGCCCTCAACAAGTCGCACCGCGTTCTCGTCTCGGACGTCTACTAGCCTCGTGGGGAGGAAAGCAGGGTCTCTCCCGACCTTGCACTTGTCGTGATAAGCATCACACCTCTCGATAGCCTGGCGCAAGAACAGATTCGTCGTTGACTGAAGCGCATTCTGCGACGGCGCGACACGCGGTTTTGGAGGATCTTGAAGGGAGAGACTCGGTAGAAGTTCCATGTCGCCTGTTGCGTCTTCAACAGTGAAGATCAAGCAAGTGTCATTCTCTCCTACTGTATAGACGAACGCGCCCAAGTCGCCAATTGATCAGCCAAGCGCACGTTTACGGTAGGACAAGTCGGATGTGATTTGGTTGGAAGAGATTTTGGGCATACCATGAACGATCCATATTTCAAACGACAACCATAACTTTCCCTCGTCATAAATAGACATGCGGTAGCCGGCTCGGTGGAAGAGCAACTGGTGGCCAGCGTCTCGGTAAGTTTTTCGAATCCGAGGGATTTCGTCCGCGTCAAAGTCGACCTCGGGCGACAGCAGCGTATTCCTGAGAAACAAACAGAAGTCACAACCGTTCTCTGCCGACTCTTTTAGTTTGGGGAAGTCGGGACTTGAATCCGTCATCTCATAGCCTTCTATCTCCCACATGCCGGTCCTAGCCATATGTATAACCTCCTTCTCTGTAAGTACCAGACGCTTGCAGTTCTCGCAAAGCTGGACTTCAGGCCCAGTGGGTGCCTGAGATCCCCGGAGCGGGAAGCAGCACCCGCTCGTCGTGGTCCCCATGATGACCAGGTATTAAGAATAGGGGTTTTTTTCTGCGTTGGTGCGTCGGTAGAGCTTCGAATGAAGATTTGGACATTCAGAAGTTTCTGGGAAGAACTGTACACCCTTACTGGACCCAGCCTGTCTTCAGAACCAGTTGACCAGAATGGAATCTTGGGCCCGACGATGGAGGCGCAAGCCCACGAGCACAAACAGGAGGCGTCGAGGAACTCGGGGAGGTAAACAAGGGGAAGAGCCTCGTAAAAATCCATCGGGCTCAACTCGTTATCGGGCACTGACGCCTTCTCGACTCAACCCCTCAATTGCCCTCCATTATTGCTAGAATCAATATCATTTGCCAGAATCATTTTCGTAAATCACCAGCCAAGAATTAGCATTAGCAAGAAAATACTGGTCGATTCCACAGCTACTTGATAATATGTACCTCACTGAGGTCCAGTACCAGGCATCGCAGCCAAAAGCGGCTCGGGACAAGCCGGTAATGTTGGATGGATTTGCCAGGATGGAGGGAGACGGGACATCGAGGTCTTTGAAGGGGTCACGACCAACGTCATGGAAACGGGCGAACTGGGCGATGACGGCGGAGAAGGACCAAGTAGGTTTTGTCTCAAACCTGTGAGAAGTTGTTGGAGGGCGGAAGGGTAAGACCCAGCCGTTTTGCATAAGACTGAGATTAGCTACTTGAAGAGCTATGTATCTCCAGGCAGTGGGTAGAAACTGGGTTTTTTTTTATATATAAATACTCGTATGCTTGACCCAAACTCCGTTGACAGGTCTGGCGTAATCCTAATCGGCAATACACAGCTTAGACGGGTCTGCTGACAGCACTAACTGCTCGTTAATCCGGAGTTTTAGTCACGACGGCGGTAAAGGCCGGTGGAGTTTATATGCTGGTAAGATGTCCGGTTGGAACATGCTTATAAGGGCCGGAGGGAATGAAACTTACAAGAGTTCAGTCCAGATAGCAGAGAGAAAACAACAACAATCAGTCTGTAGTTATGGCTCCAGAATCAGTCTTTGACCATGTCATTCTTCTTGTGCCCCATAAGCAGCTCGTTTCGCCTCCGCAGTGGCTCTCGGGTGCTTTCACCATTCTGGACGGTGGGGTGCATGAGGGTGGTCTGACGGAGAACAAGCTCATAGTGCTTGAAGACGGCATCTACCTCGAGCTCATTGCCTTTGTGGACGGTGTAAGTTCCCAGGATAGGGCGATGCACCCATGGGGAAAGCAGCCCGAGGGACAAATCATCCACTGGGCTCACACCATCCTCAGCCACGAAGAGGACCAAGACTCGGATACGTCTGAGCAGAAATTCAGTGCCATTCAGGCAAGGATTGAGGATGCAAAGGTGGGAATCAAGTATTTCGATCCGGATCCTGGGTTTAGGACAATGGCGGACGGCTCAAAGAGGGTATGGGCCAATGCTATACCCAACTTTGACGACTACAAGGGGCCGGTTTGGATCAATCAGCAGCCGTTCTGGACCTTTGATCGGACTCCACGATCTCTGCGAGTGCCGGTTACGCCGGAGAACACGTCCCATGCGTCTGGTGTTGTTGGTGTTGCCGCCATTTCTCTGTACATTAAAGACGAGAAGACAGTGGAGAAGATGGTCCCGTTTTACAACGCAGTTTTCAACGACTCTGCTGTCAAGGAGACGCCATCCGACAATGTTATGCGGTATAGATGGGATGCTGCGGCGCCTGCGCATGAGAAGTTTGGGAAGAGATATTTCTTCCTGTGTCACGCGGTGGAAGATGCGTTTACGGAGGAAGAGATGGCTGAGGCGGGTGGCATTGTGCCTGATATTTTCATCAAGCTGTCCTTGTACACAAGGGGAGAGGCGGAAACGGTGAAGGGAAGATTTGTGAAGGGTACGCTGATCACATTCGAGTTGCTTCCGACGGCAGCTTCGTAGCATAGGCAGCAGTCAAGGGGGTATTTCTCTCTTTATACCATACCATAAGGCAGTCTCGCATCCAATCAACTGTCGTTAGGCAAAATGTTCTTTCCGCTTGAGGAGCCATGTGCGAAAGCTTTGCAGCTCACAGAGCGCTTTGGCCGCTTCAACTTCTTCCTCAAATGTCGGATATCCTCCGCTAGCCCTCACACTGTAGCTTCTCTCGATTTCTTTGACCCTGTTTCGCAATCAGCACAAAGCAATCGATGTGATGAGCGGCACGCAAAACTCACACATTGCGTGCGCCGGCACTCAGTTTCAGGACTAGCCACGCAAGGATAGAGGGCACAGAAGGCATCTGTTTTCCCATCACGTCTTGATAGGCCGCTCGGATCTCGGACATTGTAAGACATCCGCCTGTAATGGATAGTATCTTGTGAGTGAATCTGCCGTGATTCTAGTTGATAGCAATGTTAGCGAGAGGAACTGCAGGAGAATATCAGGAGCGTGATGTACCTTGAGAACCCCAGCGGCAACCTTGCCAATATCTTCTGATGCCTATATCGCCGTGAGCCACTCGATCACAATGGGAAATGGCCATACATGTGGCCTACCACGAGAGCTATATCGGTTTCGTTGCCCAATCCTTGGGAGAGTACACCCACAGCGAGAGACCCCATGAAGCCATCAAAGTTCTCCATAAAGAACCCAGGCCGTACGATGCTACCACCTCGCCTCAGCAAAGATATACCCTCTCGAGTGAGTACCTTACCTACGTCCAATTCAAACCTCTCTCACCAAGCTCCTTACAATAGAGCTCAATTCCCAGCTTCGCTCGATGCGACGCATCGTACGCATCATCCAAGTTTTGTCCAGGAGGGATCGAGCTCGAATACACCAGTGCATCGACATCAAACTCGAGCGCCAGATCCGCAAGTAGCTGTGCAGAAGCCATCTCCGACATCAGTCATGCTCTCTGGTTCGTTCATGCTCCGGGGGCAGCAATTGCGACTACCTTTCCTTGTCTCTCCTCTTCATCGCCCTTGTTCCCAAGACCGGGATATGCCAATACGATGAAAGCACCGAATATGCCGCCTTCGGCAGACACTTGGGTAAAAATCTCCCTTATCATCGCGGCATTGTTGAGGTCGCCCTGGACGAAGGTGATGTCCTTTGCATGGCTCTGTTCAGCCTGCAGCAGCGAGGACGCGGCGGACGAAGTCGGGTTTCGCGTTACGGCCCAAACATGGTATTCTGTGTTCTCTGCAGTTGACGGGTTGAACAGCGCATGGACAAATGCCCGCCCCTGTTTTCCCGTGGCACCGGTCACGATGATGTTTCGGGTAGGCATTTCGCTGAGTCTTTTCCTGTAAGAGGGAAGAAGGCTATTGAGGAGATGTCTTTGCAACAAGAGGTAAGCAATGGGCATCAATTGGCATATGTAGGCAGTGCCCTGATGCGTCTTGGGTGATACCTTGGGGTAGCTCATGCATAAGCGTCGAGTAACATCACCTTATACTGGGAACTTTTGATATTCTCTTAGTCTAATTGAGCTATAGCTACAACTTCGAAACTAGCAGCCGCTGACTACCTTACCTATCAACCGAACCGAAACACGTAACGGATCCCTATATTGAGGAGTGCATTTCAATGCCTAATTCTATCGTCAATCAACATCACATTTAACAGACTCGAGGTTCGTGTAGGCAGTGCATGTATTAGAGGCCGTACCCTGTACGAGAAGAATCATGAGGTTCCCGTCTACCTGCCGTACCTATTAGTACTCGTAGAGTCAGTGGCATCTTTGATCAGAACTCATGCTCAGCTGAATGCCAATTCAATAAGCCCTAACGTTGCTTTTGCTATAATACGGGTTCGTCTCCAATATGATCAGACAAAGCAGGCTCCGCAGCGTAAACCCGAGTCCGTTCCGAAGCCGGCCCGTGACTGCATCTGGAGACTCGACACGATAGATTGTAGCCTTACCGATAGATCTCATCTGCAGGGGCAACGGCGCATGTATCCACAGAAGCATCCTGGATCACAAGCAGTTCAAGGCTTATCGCTGGGATTCAACGTTCGATGTCAGTGGATACACATGGCGATCGCTGACTCGCCGGCCGCAGGAGGGAGAGTGTATAGATAAGCTGTCCATGGGGTACCCATATAAGCTATATATAGACATATACAGGTAATCCCTAGCGCTAAAAAAACAGTAAGCTGTCTATATATAGATAGTCTTTTTTCTTATGCTAAAGATAAGCTATATATAAATAGCTTAACTACTTATTACTGTTTTAACTTAAGCTGCTATTATATAAAGTGCATTTTTAAGGGAATTAATTTAAAATTAATTTAAAGTTAGTTCTTTAATAATTATATATAGCAGTAACTATAATAATAATCTTTATATAACTAATAATTACTTATTAATATAGTATATTATAAATAATATTTAAATGCTAAATTAAATAAGAATAATATAAATATAATAAATATTAATTTTAATTTAGTATTACTTTTAAGTCTAAATAAGTTAGAATTATTTATAAATAAAGAATACAAGCTTTATAATAGGTTTAATACTTATAAAAAGTATATTTAATATTAGTAAATGCTTATATAAAGTAATTAACTTCTATATCCTAAACTATTCTTACTTACTTAAAGATAAGAATTAAAATATAATAAGAATGCTATTAATCTAACTCTCCTTATTTTACTTAAAGGTTAAGAATTAGTTATAAAAGATAATAAAAATAAAGTAAAAAATATAGTAATTATAGTTTTAAATATAATCTAATATTATTTTAAATTAAGAATTAAAGCTATAAAAATTATATTCTTATTTCTACTATATATATAATTAAAGCTAGTAAGCTATTATAGCTAATATATATAAAGACTATACACTATATACTAAGTATTTTAAACTTTTTAAAATTAAGTAATAATAAGATTAAATATTTTATACTTAAGGAATATTTAAAAAGAGAAGATTTTCTTACTTTATAAACTTTTATATATAACTAAATGCTATTTTATTTTAATTATAAAATTAATTTATTATTTAATAGGTTTAATATAATATTAAGAGGGTAATAGCTTTAAAAGACAGTTTTATATTACTTTTTAAAGGCATTCCTTATTAATAAATAATATATATATATATAAGGGCAAGAGTATATAAGTTTATTTTAACTATATAATAAAAGTATATATTAATTAATAATAATTTAATTAAAAAGCTTTAAAACTTATAAAAGGAATTATATAAATCCTGCCTAAAAAAGGATACTATTAAGTATTTTTTCTCTTTTTAAATTAATTCTGTTTTTTTATTAATTTTAATTAATTAAATATAAGTATTATATTTATATTTTAAGGCAGAGGATTATTATAATCCCTTTTTACTAACTTATAAACTTAAATTAAAAAAGGTTATTATATAAATTATAAGTAAAATATAATTCTTATAAGTACTTATATTAATATTAATAAGGTTTTATTATATAAGTATAACACTAGGTTTAATATATAAATTTTTTAAATATATAAATTTAATATACTATAAGTATTTATAAGCTAGAATAAATATATTATTATTAAGCTATAAAGAGTATACTATATAGCTAAAAATGCAAGGGGTTTAAAAAGTATTACCTTATAAATTTAAATTAATATAAATAAAAGACTTATAATAAGTTAATTTTATATCTTTTTAAAATTAATTTAAAATTAATTTTAAGTCTTTAAATATTAATTATCTTATATAAGCTAGAATTATTATATAGTAAAAATATAATATATACTATGCATTTTATATACTAATTTAAAATAGCCTTAATATAATGCCTAGTATTATTTTTACTTTATATAAAATATATTACTACTTACTACTACCTTTAAAAAGATTACTTATAGGAGTTACTATAAATCTTTTTAATTTAGTAAAGAAAGTAAAATTTAAAAGTTCTACACTTAATATAAAATCCCTTTTTTATTTTTTCTAGTCTTATAAATTACTAACTTTAATCTAGTTTTATTTCTTTCTTTTTTAAAAGTAAAGGAGTTCTATAAGTAATATTAAGTAAAAATACTTATAGAAATATATTATGCTTTTAATAATTAAGACTATTTATATTCTATTTTATAAAGGCATAAAATATTATACTTCCCTGCAGGTTTATTATAACTAGCAGTTTATATAAACTAAAAGTATAAAAAAAGTAATACTTTTTTATCTTAATATAATAAAAATAAATAGGTATTTCTTTTTTATATTTTTATTCTTTAAGAATTAACTTTAATATAATCTAGTATATACAGTTTATTAAAGATAATAGTAATAAGTATTTTATTATTTATTTCTTTAAAGCTTAAGTAGAAATATTTTAGCAGGAGAATCTTTATATATTAATAGTTAATATTAATTATAAGTATATTACTACTTTTAGTAATATTAAGATTATTATAAGCTAGTTTAGCCTAATTTTAAAATAAAGTAAGACTTTTAATATTCTTTTTTATCTTTATATTAATATATAATCTAGTTATCTTACTTATTTAGGCCTATACTAATATAAAAAAAGCCTAAATATTTACACTTATATATATAAAAGTGTTTTCTATTTTTAAAAAATGCTATAAGAT